CTTGTAGCTCATGGTAACTGAGTGGCCCACTTCTGGCCAATGAGTCAGAAACATAAATCTGCTTTGGAGGAGTGAGTGAGGTCCTGGGGAAATGTTTTGCCTTCATGCTAAAAAAGAAGAGAAGTTTCTGGCATGGCCCATCCCCTTCCTCAAGATCAGCAACTGCCAACTCCAGGCTCCTGGCTCTGGTTAAACAAATCTTTGTTAGCTGGGTGTCTTGTTACTTGCAGTTAACTACATTCCTGCTTGACACAGACAGGTAGTATCATTCTTATTTCACAAATCAGAAAAACAAGATATCTTGGGCAACAGAGTAAGGAAGAAGCTGTGCTAGCATTCAAATCCAGATGCCTAGATACCAGAGGCTGTTCTCTCTTATTGTCTGTACGGTGTTAAGCAAGTAACTAATAAGCAAGGTGCAAGGAGAATGTTTATCCCATAAATATGCTAATTGCAAATGAATTTTATCTCATTAAATTGAGAGCATTGGCTCCTGATTCCAATGCTGCTGTTTCCCCTACCCCTCCCACTGGCCATGGGCATTTGTGAGCCCCTCGCAAAAGGATCTGGAACTCACCAGGGCTTAGCAAACACAGACTCTTTGCCAATGGAGGCCAGCTGCAGTCGGGCAGGAGGTCAAGGGCAGCCTGCAAAGGACTCCAGCACACCCAGTTAGCCCCTCCAGCCCACAGTGAGAAACCAAGGCCCAGGGAGGAAGAGCACTTTGCCCAAATGGCAGAGCCAAGACCCAAAGCCAGGCCTCCTTCCCCTACTCGGTACCCCCAGCAGTTTCTGGAGCCCCTTTATTGTGCTTTAATTCCAAATCCACTTGGTCAAGACTTGGATCCTGGTTCCTGAGTTTCAGAAAGAGCCTTTGCATACTTTGTCTGTGTCCCCACGTGAAGCTGCAGTCGGCCTGAGTGCTGGAAGATTTCTGTCTTAGGCAATATCACATTGCCACACTACCCCCATCCCCAGTTTCCGTCTGTACATGGGAATCCTGGGGCCCACACATGACAGAACCAGGAGCACAGGACAGAAGCAAACCCTCACTTATTGATCAAATGAGGGTCAACTGGCACAAGGCCTGTGCCTCTCAGCAGGCACCTCCTCCGCTCTTCCCTCTCAAGGCCGACTCCTTGAAGCTTGCATTTCCTCTTGAGGCCTCAGGCTCTCCTCCTCTGGCTGTAAGCTGTGGGAAGATGCAGAGAGCTGTGGCAATTCACCCACTCCTTAACCGTCAAGTCCTCCTCTGCTCCTAAACCCTCTCGGGGCTCAGTTACTCCTGCCTCAGTCTCCCTTCCCCTTCCTTTAGCCCTCCCCAAAGCAAACACACACGCTTTCTCTAACATGTTATCTTCAACGTATTTATAGACCGACAGGTGGCTCCCAAGGAGCCCTCTTGGGTGATGGCCACCTGCCAGGCCAACCTCTGATCAGAGGTCGTCCTGGGCTTCAAAGGGCCTTATACTCTGCAGGCAGAAGGGACAAGCAGGAGGCCTTGGATAACTGCACCAGCAAATCCCAGTTGAAGCTCAGCTGTTGCTCCTGCTGTCCTCACATCCAAGTCGCCTGTCTTTATGGTGGTTGGGAGGGTGCACGTGGGATGGGAGGAGGCACATTGAGTGAGAGCTCAGCATTTTGCTAAATCAGCTCTTTCTCCCTCCCTCCTCCCTTGTGAAGAGTAAAGGAAGCTAAACATCTAGTCTCCCTTTCTAGAAGCCAGCCAGAACTAGTATTTTGTAGCAATGGATTTTTTTTTTTTAATGAGATGCATGCAGCTTCTGAAGACAGAGCAGGGAGTCCAAACTCTTGGCTCTGCCTGGGGAAGCTATAGATGCCACCCTTTTCCTTCCCATTGTTTTTAAAATAATTTTGGTAATTTTTTTCAAACACAAAACATAAAATTTACCATCTTGCACATTTCTAAGTGTACCTCTCATAATGCTAAATACACACAGACTGGGGGTGCAGTATATAATAATGTTATAGTGTTTTAATTAACAAGTATTTTGAGAGCTTCCCTAGTAAACGGAAGGGACAGGGGTGGGGGAGGGGAGCCAAGGGGTACTGTGAAATGAAGATAATGAGCATGGCTAGAACTTTCCTTTTTTTTTTTTTTTTAAAGATTTATTTATTTATTTATACAAGCACTGGGTACAGTCAGAAGCGCGGGAGGGTGAGAGAATTCACCAGAGCCAGAGCGGGGAACAGAACAGGCAGAAGGACCGAAGTACACTGCTGAGGGGAGCAGCGGGCGGCAGGAGAGGTCTGCGCGCCATGTGGGACCCTCCTCTGGTGGCCGGGGAGCCGCCAGGGAGCAGCCGGGGAGCAGCCGGGGATCGAACCTGAGCCGCAGTGGCTGCGGGCAGCCCTGCGACCCAGCACTCAACCGCTGCGCCACCGGGGAGGCCCAATGGCTAGAACTTTCTAAGCAGCCCCATGGATAACACAATAGGACAAGGCCATGCCTTCCATGAGTACCAGAATCAGGAGAGGGGTTGGAAGAGTTTGCTTAATTTGGAGGCAGTTATCTACAATAGAAAAAGAATACAAATCATGAATCCAAAAACAGATTTAAAAGTGACTATTTCTGGGGCCTCCCTGGTGGCGCAAGGGGTTAAGACTCAACCTAAGAAGCTACCTGCAGCCACTGCAGCACAAGTTCAATCCCCAGCCAGGGAGCTACCCACATGGCGCAGCAGACCTCTCCTCACTAGCCCGCTGCTCCCCTCAGCAGTGTATTTCAGTCAGTCTGCCTGTTCTGCTCCCCATTCTGTCTCTGGTGAATTCTCTCACCCCCCAACACCTCTGGCCTGTACCCCAGTTCTTGTATGCATAAATAAATAAATCTTTTTTTAAAAGTGACTATTTCTTCAGAATGAAAAAAATCACTTCAAATTTCAAATTTTGAAAAGTTGGTGCATACTCACAAAAATCCCCAAACCTAGAAAAATGACACATTCTTTTTATTTCTCAAAAACACGCCTCTGTAGTATTTTTTCTAAATTTGATATGATTTGTAATCCTGAAAAATATACAAAAGTCATCTGGAACGACAGCACTCGTAGGAGCAATTCAAGTGCATTTAAAAATCGCTGCCACCTTGTACTGAGCCACATAATTGTGTAACCAGATTCCTCTGATACCACAACATTGACTTATTGATGAGTGTGTGTAGGAGTTTTGTCACTGGAACACTTGCTTCTTCAGGCAGCTCTCTGCGTTGGTGGCAGTTTTGCGTACCATTTTGCTGCAACCAGCAGATTTTGTCAGGGCAAGATGCACATCGAAGCCACCAAGAAGCATCCCAGCCCACCGAGTGTGTAAACGGTAAGTGACTTCACACTCGTGTGGGCCTGTCGCCTGCTCGGGTTCACAGACACAAGAATCTCCTTCAGTTCTGTTTTGGGTATTTCCCATCCAAGGAGATGACAGTGTGTGACCTGTTTATAATGCACGTACGTCCCACCTCAGTGCTTCTCCTAACAGAAGAGGAGGTGATGGGAACCGAATTGTCTACCGGCAATTTTATTTATTTGACCTTTGGGAGTGTTTCCCACAGACCGGCTCCTGGCTCGGTGTATTTCAGCCTTGGGCCTTCCACCTTCCTCCTTCCCCTACCACCCACTTCTGGATGTGGGAGAGGCAGGATTTTCACACCAGGATAAATTTCTCAGGCCGCCCTGGTGCGTGCTGTTGTGGGCCAGCCAGCACCCTGAGTGATGGTGTTTGGGGAAGCCAGACCTCCAGCGGGGTGGCTGGAGACAACATCCACACGAGGAAAAGGCTGTGAGCTACGTGGCTATCCCACCAAGTCCAAATTAGATGTTGACTCAACCTCCTCTTAGCCAGATCGTCAACATCCCCCAACCCAGGGGAACTCAGGGAAAGTTGGAATGGAAAGGAGCACAGGTCTACACTAGGAGTGGCTGAACCATCTTATGTTTGCATATATTATAAAGAAACATTTGGGCCTCCCTGGTGGCGCAAGAGGTTAAGTCTCAGCACTATGATGCAATCCGCAGCCACTGTAGCGTGAGTTCGATCCCCAGCCAGGGAGCTACCCACACGGCGCAGCAGACCTCTTCTGACTCCCCCCTCTGCTCCCCTCAGCAGTGTGTTTCAGTTGATCTGCCGGTTCTGCTCCCCACTCTGTCTCTGGTGAATCTTCTCACCCCCTGCACCCCTGGCCTACATCCCAGTTCTTGGATGCATAAATAAATCTTTAAAAATAAAACTTAAAATAAAAATCCTTTGGCCATATTGCTGCACAAAGAAGGAGACTTGGAGCTTCATTGCTTTCCTGGCAAGTGTATCCCCAACTAGAACCAGGAGCAGGTGGATATGGGGGGTAGGGGAGGCCAGCGGCTGTTGACATTATCTCTCTGGCAGTCAGCCTTGGAGTCCCGCCTGTGTCCCCAAGCATCACTGTGCCCCAAGAGTCCTTGAAAATAGGGATGATGACTTTGACCTCCCAGGATGGCTCTGAGTTTGAAGAGAGGATGTGCCAGGCCTTGTGAGGCAGAGCACTGGACAAATGGCCAGCTGTTGTCCTCGTCCCGTGTCAGGGCACCACCTCCCCTCGGGTCCGAAGGCTGCCAGGACCCAGGAACAGGCCTGCCTCTTTAAAGCATCTCTAATGGACTGACAGCCCTGGCTTCTGAAATCGCAGTAATCCTGCTGAGGTCGCTCCTGCTACAACAACCCCCCCTCCCCCGCCCCTGCTGTCAGGAGGGGGATTAGCGAGGCCAGAGGATTAGGGGGTTCATTTTGTTACAACCTCCCCCCCCCACCCCCCGCAGACGTCAGCCTCCCTCCTGGAGGCCTGCTGTAGGGTGACTCTTGAGCTCGCTGGACTGCAGGACAGAGAGAAGCCCTGCTCCTCACCTGGCCTTGCAGCCAGGACTCAGCTGAAAGCTGGGTACATACCGTCCTGCCAGGACCCAGAAGATAAGGGACAGGGGACGTCCTGAGGATCTGTGACAAGAAGGCTGCTCTTTCCTCTCCCTCGCCTGACGCAGCAGGGGCACCAAGCCCGGACTCTCCAGGTTCCTTCCAGACCTCAGCTCTCCCCACAGCAGGATGCCCTGCCACCAGCGGCCCTGGACCACCTTGCAGACGCCATTGCTCGCCCTGTGTCTGCTGCTTTCAGGCACCCTCCTGACCCCCACATGGGGGCAGACCAAGGTTCCTCTGGAAACGTAAGCATCAAGTTCAGTCCTTTCCTCTCCCCTGGTAGAGCTCAGTTCTTTGCCTGCACCTCTGACCTCCCTTCCGCCATCCCTCAGGGGGCTTCAGCTGCCCAACCCCCCTTTCCTGTCTTGAGGACTTTGCTGCATCCATCTCCTCCCCAAAAGCTCTGTCCATTTTGGAGCCCCACCTGCCTGGGTCTCCCCAGGCCCTGAAGGCTTGAAGGGGACCCGCCAGCTGAGCTCACTCCCTTTCTCAGGGCACCGCGTGCTCCTTCCGGGATAATCACTGCGATTAGGCGACTGGGAGTAGGAGCTGCGCTGGCTGGAAGTAATCATCCAGCTCCCCAGGGATTTGCGAGGAAATTCGAGTTTTGACATTCTGAAAGGGTAAAGCCATTCTAAACTGACAAAATGGCTCAGGCGACCAGGTACTGGGTAAAATTGGACTTGGGTGTTTTCGGCTTCCCTTGCTATGGCTTTAGGCCTCCTTCCCAGCTCAGATTCTACATCCTACAGCTCTGGGGAAGAATTGGGGATCAGTCATTCACATTTTGGTATAAATTTTCATTACTGTGGGATCTATCTAGAAGTCTCTGGTTTTGTTGCTGTTGTTGTTGTTGTTTTGTCTTTTTGCTTAGATTAGTTAGATTGTTAAAGAAATGTCCCAGACATGTGGGGAGCAGAACACTCCAGACTAAAGGGCTCAGCCCAGGTCCGAGTCCAGCACTCAAGTCCACTGTCAGCCTCACGTCTTAACAGATGTGAGGCCAGGGAGCTGGACAGGCATAATGTGTGATTGTGTTTAGCTTTGTTGAATGGTGAGTTAGAACAGCATCTTTACCACCGAATGGTATAACCTCTACTTTTCAATATGGCTGGCAGTGTTAGATGTTTTAAAATAATATCTTCAGTCCTCCCAACAACTCAGTGAAAGAGTGATAGTGTTCCTATTCTGCAGTTGCAGAGACAAGTTCAGAAAAGTTAGGTGATTTGTCCAAGTTCAAGTAGCCAGTAAGTGAAAACACCCGGATTTGAACTCCAGACAGCCTGGCCTGAGTGTGACCAGGACACGACTGCCAGATGGTAAAACTGCACTCCAGGAGAGACCGAGAATTTTCAACCCCAGAACACACACCAGCTAATGTGGAAGGCGAACTCCAGGAACGGGCTGTGTGCCAAGGAAAGATGGCTGGAATCCAGGCCTTCCTCGAGAAGAATTGCAAGTGGACCATGCACAGAGAGAGACAGAGCGGGAGAGACAGAGGGGGACTGACCAAGGCCTCACACCCACATCTGCACCACCTGCTCCCTGGGGCCCAGCCCTACCTCTCTCCCCTCCCCCATCCTCTCAGGCTTTCTCACCCCATCACCCCTCACCCTGTCGTGTTAAGGCCCGAGTCCCCAGGCCTCCACTCAGTCCTCAGCCACCAGCGCCTGCCCTGCATTCTCCTGCCCTGCCACTCGGCCCCTGCAAGGTTCTCCAAAGATCTGCTTGTTGCCAGGTCCAGTGGACATTCCTGGTTTTGTCTCCTGGGCTCTTATTTTGGACATTTGCCTCCTTCTTTCTCTTGAATCTCAAGGTCACCTTGGGGGCCTATTTCCTGTCTCCTGCAAGTGCTCCTTTCTCTCCAGCCCTGCCCGCTGCGAGATTGTTGGCACTCCCCAGAGCTGGAGGACATCTTAATAGCACATTCTCCTAAGACACCCTGTCGATGCTCAGAATTGCGGTTTCCACTCATGTGCAAACGCCTCTCGGCTCTGCGAGCCCCACCTACCTACCCATTGGCTGTAGAGCGCTCTTCCCGACATCACACAAGGCTTTAAATGCAAGTTGTATTTTCTGGAACTACGCAGTGCATGACCTGCCCGGAGGCAGCCAGCAGCTCTTTGAAGGGTCCCTTGTGCTCTGTGTATCCCAAGCTATGCCCAGCACCTCCACGCTCCCCAGCCTGCTCAGCCTGGTCTTCTTGACATTCTTAATTTTATTCACTAACACCACCTGCAGCCCAGCCACCCAAGTGAGAGAGCTAGCAGTCATTGCTGACCCCTCCAAGCCCTGTGCCTGGAATTCTCTTCCAAATGTCTCTTCAGGGCTAAACTTTCCTGAACTTCTAACCCTGAACGCAGACCCCCCTCTCCTAGGAAGCACTCCCCAAGCTTTGTTGATGCTCCTTCAAACATGGATCATGCTATCTGTAGAGAGGGGTGTCCCTGTAACTGAGGAGCTTACAAAGCTAAGGTCAGTCACATGGCTTCAGCTGTACTCCATGCCTGGCACATAGTAGGACCTCAATAATTATTGGCTGAGTGATTTAATGAATGCTGATCTTGAATATGGTTATGTGGGCAAAGCTCCTTTTGCCCCATCTGGAGAGACACAGACATGGTCCCATATGCCCACCCCCAGGACTCCGGTTCCCTGCTGCCTTGATGGTGGGATGTCAGTGCACCCTGGAGCACGGGGGAGAGGTCAGGTGTCCTTCACTGGGCTGCCACCTGGCCTCCCAGACTGGCTGCTCTTGCCTCAGCAAAGAATCTCAGTGCCCGTCCCTCAGCCCCTTTGCCTCATGCTTCAAAGGCCCGTGGGCACCTTGAGCAGGAAATACTGGAGGGGGTTGACTCATCCACTGGGTCTCCTGCCCTGGCCAAGAAGGACAGTAACTGTGCATATTTTTCTGGGTATTAATCAGTGTGTATGTCTTTGTATGCACATGTGTGTATATGCATCTGTGTATATGGGTGGATCTCTGTGTATTATGTGTATCTTCATGTATTTCTGTGTGTGCATCAGTGGGTGTCTATGTATGCAGGTATTTGCTCTGTGTGTGCATGTGTGTGTGCATATCTGGATGCATTTATGCCTGTATCTGTCTGAGTGCATGCTGTTGTGGATGTATGTGTGTGTGTGTGTCTATGCATGTGTCTCTGGTCTGTGTGTTCATGTATGTCTGTGCATCTATGCCTGTGTCTCCATATCTGTGTCTCTGTGTGTGTGTGCACATACATTTGCTTCTATTGCCCGACAGAGTGAAGCTGTGGGCTGACGCCTTTGGCAGGGACCTGTATCATGCTGTGACCAAATACTCGGGCTCCCTCCTGCTGCAGAAGGTCAGTAACTTCCTTCTGGGGAGCTCCCCGTGTGGTCAGAGGACAGTCAGCCAGGGACTCCTTCCCGGTAGAGAAACAGTTCCAGAATCCCCACATGTCTGGAGATCTTTTAGTTCAATCCCCTCATAATCATATGGAGAAACTGAGGCCGAGGGAGGGAACGGTGGGGGCGGTCCCATGGGGTGGCCAAGAGCACGTGTAAGCTCAGATCTCCAGGACGTCAATGCAAGATGAAACTTGACGGGCAAGAGGCTGACTGGGGAGGGCCTGTGAAGAGTAAGGGCGAGAGGGAGCAGGAGCTAGAGGACTGGGGTGCAGGCCTGACACCTGTGAATACGGAGGGACCACAAGGAGGCAGATCCAAGGAGCTGCAGCATGGAGAGCCCCTCTCCATGGGCAGTGGCAGGAATGCAGACCCCCTCTCTGGGCAGGGAGAGCTCTGCAAACCTCCAGCTCTCAGGCCTGTCCCACGCCAGACAGAAAATGGCGCCTGAGCAGGACGATGCACCAGCTCCCTCACCCCGATTTGGTCTTTGTTCATGTGCAGGTGGACACCGGGCCTGTCCTCTTACTAGATGAAAAACAACTGCATTTTCCTCTGATATTTATAACTCCCAGACCGGTTTTAATAACAGCTTGCCATTCTCAAATATTGCCATTCACTAAGAATTTCATTTTCTCAACTTAATTCTCATCCCAACTTCATGAGGAACCACCTTTGCCATTTTGCTAGTGCAAGCCCTGGTTGTTGTGCCCGCTGTGACCGCACTGCAGCCCCTTCCTCGCTCCCTTGCTCAAGGCCGGCAGGTCCTCTGGCTGGAGGAGGAGGAAGAATCAGGGTGGCCAGCCTGCGGACTGAGGCCCCACAGTCCCCTGGGGCAATGAAAGCTAAGACTCACTTCCCCTCACACCACACCTCTACACTGCAAAGCACCATTCATTCTGTGTTCTCATTTGCACCTTCCAACTGCAGATGAAGAAGACAGAGCAAGTTAGGCAGCCATTTGGGAGAGAGCATTCTCTATGTCTATACATTCTAGAACTTTCTCTAAAGCCATGCAAATGTCACCTCTTAGAGATGAGGAAACTGATTGAGGAAATTGCCTGTGATCACATGGCTGATCAGCAGCAGAGCTGGGTCATTAGAGATTGCTGGTGGGTAAGAGGTTGTCTCCTGAGACCCAGAGAGAAAACACAAACCCAGCTCTCCTAATTCTCCTAAGCTGCTGGTAACTAGTCAGGTGACAGCGCCCTCAATACCTGTAGCTACCAAGGGGTTACACAGGCATGAGAAGGGGCACAGCAATGTCACAGGCTTCAGGAAAAATGATCTGATGTTCACAGAATTCTCTCTGTCAGAGTGAGCAGCCCCAAGAGGCAGTACATGAAGGTCTGGGGGGCCTGACCCCTTCCAAGATCCCCTGTCACTGTGTATGTGACCTCAGTAAGGTTCATTGACCTCTCTGAGCCTCAGTTAACGTCTTAATTTTTTTAAAAGATTTATTTTTTATGCATACAAGAAATGGGGTGCAGGCCAGAGGTGCGGGGGGTGAGAGGATTCACCAGAGACAGAGCTGGGAACTGAACAGGCAGACTGACCGAAATACACTGCTGAGGGGAGCAGCGGGTGAGACAGGAGAGGTCTGCTGCGCCATGTGGGTAGCTCCTTGGCTGGCCAGGAATCGAACTCATGATGCAGAGGCTGCGCATTGCTTCATAGTGTGGTGCACCACCAGGGCGGCCTCAGTTTACTTCTTAACATTAACAGCAATGAGTCCAGAGCCCCTGGAAGAGAGGGGACATTTGAGACGAGGAGGGTGATGTTGGAGGCAGGGGTGTTACGCTGGCCTTGACTTTAGCCAAGTAAACAAGGTTTCGGGAGTGCGATGCCCCCGCTGGGAGGATGGAGGCCACATACCATGTGCAGAACAACCCACAACTAGACCACCACACCTGTCTGGCCCACGCCCCCTGAACAGCAATACAAGGATGTGGAGCCCAGCCTGGGGATCCAGGAGGTGGACGGCTTGGAGCTGGTGAGGAAGTTCTCAGAGGACATGGAGACCATGCTGCGCAGAAAAGTGGAGGCCGTCAAGGTACTGCAGGTCCCCCCCTCTGGGGGGTGCCACCCCTGCCCCGACACTGAAATGCCCTGGCCCTGCACCCTCCCATGCATATCCACTCCACCTCCAAGCCTCGGCCCTGATCCCCATGAGCCAAAAGATCCTTGTGAAGGAAGAAATGATGGGAAGCAAGGGGAGGGTGCAGGGGCTGGGGTTTGAACTCTACGTTAGGGAACAGCTCCCATCACAACGGGCCACCCTGCAGTGTTAAGGACTCTGCATCACGACCTCATATCCAGTGACGGGTACGGAGCAGGTGCAGAGTGAGGCCCTGGGACTCACTCACTGGCTGGATACGTGGAGGGATGGATGAAGGGGTTGTCAGTGGGAGGGGATGGAGCCCACGAAGCAAAGCTCCCCTCTGTCCCCTACACTCTCCTCCCCCACTCCTTCCCCTCCTGTCCTTCTGACACCCCCTTGGCTCTGAGGGCCACCTGGGCAGCAAAGGTTCTAGGATAATAGGCCTCAGGCTCAGCCAACTCCATTACTACACATCTACCAAGCCTGGCGTGGCCTGAAGAATGGACATGAGGGCCTACCCCGGGCCTGTGGGCACCTGGTTGACGTGACCCAGCACATACAGTGTGCTTGGACACACACAGCTCCCCACTCCCCCCAGCCAGGAGCCTAGCACTCCAGCACCAGTGTCATCCCCAGAAGAACTCTCTTTGGGAGCCAGGCAGACAAGCAGCATATACACATCTTAATAGACTTTCTGGTTTTTAGAGAAGTTTTAGCAAAATGGCAAAGAAAAGTACAGAAAATTCCCAAATAATCCCTGCCCGACAAGTTCACAACCTCCCTAACTGAACATCTCCCACCTGAACAACACGTTTGTGAACACCGATGAACTGATATTGACACGTGATAATCGCACTAGGTACATCTGTCATCATTGATGAATCTCTGCTGACACATCATGATCACACGAAGACCACAGTTTAGATTAGGGTTTATTCTCGATGCACAGTCTGCGCTTGGCATTGTGTTTTGACAACGAATAACATTATTATATATTATATGTAACATTAGTATATTATATTGACAACGTATCCATCATTCTAGATCATACTATAATTTACTGCCTAAAAAAAAATAAATCCTCTGTTCTCACCCTTCCCTCCCCATAAACCTTTGCTGTCTCTGTCGTTTTGTCTTTTCTACGAGGTCGTGAGATTGGAACCACACAGTGTGTAACCTCTCAGATTGGTTCCTTTCACTTAGTGATATGCATTGACCTTTGGGCTGCTGCGATCATTGTGCAGTTCCTGGGGTACAGGGGAATGGAGCTCAGCGGCTTCCTTTGCCCATCCATTCTCCTCTTTATGTTTCTGTCCCTCAGAGTCTGGTCGAGGCCGCTGAGGAGGCTGACCTGAAGCATGAATTCAACAAATCCCTGGTGGTGAGTCCTGCGCCCAGAGCAGCAGCTGTGGGGCTGGGGCGGGTAACGATAATCCCAGCCCCCCAAGCCCTCTGAATACACACCGTGACCGATGGAAGGGTGGGGGAGCGAGGGGAGATGGGCTAGCTTTTAATGTGCACAAGATCTGTATGAACACGCCATAGTTTGATTCTGAAATGTTCTTGAGTCTTTTGAGAAGAAATTTAGGCTCCACGTGGGGGAGACTACCCGTCCTGAGGGTGGAGGACATCAAGTGATGTTTGAAGGACATTTCTATTTCCACCACAATGCGCGATCATCTGCATATATAAAAAGAGGAGGGAGTGAGACATGGTCTGACCTCAAGAAGGTCATGGAAATGAGCAAAAGAAGGCAGGAGGCCAAATACCTCTAGTGGAAGGTGACAAGTCCAGGGGGCTGGGTCGGCAGCGTCCTGAGAATCAGAAGGGAAGGGAGGGGCGCAGAAATTCCTGCAGAACAGGTGGGGTTCAGGCCGGGGAGCCGAAAGCATGGACAAGGTTTCCCAAGGAGGAGGAAAAGACATGAGCTAAAACCACAAGAATGACGGAGCAGATCACCTGTGGTCAGCGGAGGACCCGGTCTTGGGCAAAGCAGAGAATGGTCGTGGGAGGCAGGACTCTGGCCTTTCTTTCATCTGGAATCGCACCTATTAAAACGCTTCAGTCGGGGAGACGCACAGCAGGATGTGTGCCTTCCGCGGCGAAGCTGGCTTGTGAGGTGGGGCGGGAAGGAGGCGAGGACGTGGGGTGGGCTGTTCGAGGTCTGAAGCAGGTGTGTGGAGGGCGTGCAAAAGAGGGTCTTGTGGCTGTGGGTGGTCATCCACGCCGACCCCAGCACTGCGTGGAAGCATCAGAGACTGTGGGCCCCTCTGAGGGACACATGGGACGCCAGGCCCTGCCTGAGGCCCAGGCTGCAACCCTGGCGATGCGGATGGCCTGTCTCTTAAGGAAAGACGCCCCAGCCCTCAGGGACCCACCATTCTTTGGCCGCCCCCTTTCCACTCTGGAGGAAACAGGTGGTGCTGAAGCAGCTGCTTCTGTGTCTGTCTGTCTGTCCTTGAACCTTTGTCTGCCTCCCACCATCTCCAGCTCTGGGTACATGTACACACAGAGCTAAACAATAGTCTAACAGTTGACATTTTTAGAAAAATTGAACCAGCCATCACTCCCATTATCCGGATGTGTATTTGCCCTGAATCTTCTGAATCATTCCCTAACTTCTCCACAACGCTGCTTGAGTGGGCGCTCAGTCTGTCTGTCTGTCTGTCTCTCGAGGCTGAGTCCTTGGACTTGTGCCATCTCTCCTTCTCTCTCCCACTCGGCGGCCCTGCCTGCCTGTGCCACCTCTGTCTGGCTCCACCCCTAGTTTGACTATTACAACTCGGTCCTGATCAATGAGAAGGATGAGAACGGCAACTACGTGGAGCTGGGGGCCGAGTTTGTCCTCGAGTCCAACGAGCACTTCGGCAACCTGAGGGTGAACACCTCTGTCAGCAGCGTGCAACTCCCCACCAACGTGTACAACAAAGGTGCCCCGGCCAGGCTGCGCTCTCACTGGGGCGGGTGTTAGGGCGGTGCTGGATTTTATTTTATTTTTTTTAAGATTTATTTATTTATGCATACAAGAATGGGGGTACAGGCCAGAGGTGCAGGCAGTGAGAGGATTCACCAGAGACAGAGTGGGGAGCAGAACAGGCAGATCTGCTAAAATACACTGCTGAGAGGAGCAGCAGGCAAGTCAGGAGAGGTCTGCCGTGCCATGTGGGTAGCTCCCTGGCCGGGGATTGAACTCGTGCTGCAGAGGCTGCAGACAGCTTCATGGGTTGTGTCTTAACCCCTTGCACCACCAGGGACACCTGGTGCTGGATTTTAAAGGGTTGCCTCCATTTTCCTGAGAAGCCAGGCAGGATGCTAAATTGATTCTTCAACCTCAGCAAAGGAGGAGAAAAGAAATTCTCCTCCACAAGCCTGGGGGGAAACTCGGTGTCCCTGGGCTAGAGGGTGTGAGTGTGGCTGGCCCAGGAGAGCAGAGGGGAGCATGGACACAGCGCGGGCTGCGTGTTCAGCGGCAGGGCTTGCTTGCGATTCAGGCCCTGCAGTTCCTCTGTAATGTCCCTTTTCAGACCCAGATATTTTAAATGGAGTCTACATGTCTGAGGCCTTGAACGCTGTTTTTGTGGAGAATTTCCAGAGAGACCCGACACTGACCTGGCAGTATTTCGGCAGTTCCACTGGGTTCTTCAGGATCTATCCAGGTGAGCACGTTGGTCGTCTCGGCTTCTCTGGGAACAAGGAAGAAGCGCAACATGCAGGCCCAGGGAAGGAGCTCGCCCTCCTGGCCAGCCTGGCACTCCTCACAACATGATATGCCTGTTTTCTTTTTCTTTTTCTTAAAGAAATCATTCATTTTTTTTCTTCCTGAGCTATTTATTTTTTTAAGATTTATTATTTATACAAGAACTGGGGTACAGGTCAGGGTTGTGGGAGGGTGAGAGGATTCACCAGAAACAGAGTGGGGAGCAGAACAGGCAGACGGACCAAAGACACTGCTGAGGGGAGCAGTGGGTGAGGCAGTAGAGGTCTGCCGCTCCATGTGGGTTGCTCCCTGGCCAGCTGGGGATTGAACCCACGCTGCAGAGGCTGCGGACAGCTTCACAGCATGGCGCTTAACCTGTGCTGGAGGCCAGATACGCCTGTTTTCAATAAATAGCTATTGAGTGATTGAATGAAACCATCAAACACCATGGTAAGCAGCCCCCGAATGCCCACATTGAGCTCATCCTATGAAAAGCACTGTGGGTGATGCAAAGGACAGAGCAATTTTTCATCTCAAGTTTTCACTCTAGTTGGAGAAGTAAGGCAAAAATAAGGCAGACCCACTTAAAGTGTCCCATGGTAGGAAAAGTCACAAGTTACTATGTGATCAGCACCAGTGTAACAGATACAATGGGAAAGCTCCCTAGCCACAAATAAAAATAGAAGACAAAAATATCTGCCACCATGTTTGCCAGACTTCTACCTTTGTTTACTTCCATTTAAATTAATTCTCCTTCCATCTCCCTCCAATCATTATCATATTTTAGCACACCATCCAGAAAGCCTTAAATTTGCCTTGTTTTTCTGAGACAGAAACCAGAAATTTGCTAAAAGACCCTTCTGTGTCCAAAGGCTGGAGAAGCCAATCTCAACCTCTCTTGGAGGGTTAGTCTAAAAATAAGTCCCAGGCTCCATGTATGGGGGTTCTACCTGTGCAATGAACCCCAGCTCTTGATCTGGACAGCCTGGGTGGTGAGGATCCCTCCAGAGAGCAGGCCTCCCTTCTCCCCTGCTGCCTCAGTTTACAGGGTATGATCTAGTGGTCCCATACCCTGCAAGGGCGTCATGGTCACCCTAGATGTCAGCAGCCAGCCAAGGGCTCTGGAACAGCCTCAATGAACTAGTGCAAGAACCAGGTTTTGTTTCCCTAGGCATCAAATGGACACCAGATGAGAATGGGGTCATTGCCTTCGACTGCCGAAATCGAGGCTGGTAAGAACACCCGAGGAGAGGTCTCTGGGGTGCATTTGTTTTCTAACCTTTGGGTTTTGCCATGCTCTCCTCCAGCTCCTGCCTGCCCCCACCACCATCCAAGGGCTTAGGTATGTAGAAGACACCACCGGAGCAGGAGAGTTGCCGCTGCATTCCTTTCTCTCTCCAGCTGCCCTTGCTCCAGGCCGCTCATATTTGTCTGTCTTACCCCATTGAACTGTCTCCACATTAGCCATCTCCCTCGATACTCCTCCCTGGGCAGACTTGGAACAATCAGAGGGTGGAATCCTACTCATTCTCTTCCTGCTGCCAGCCCCTCCAGGACCTGACTTGGCCAAAGCAGAGGCCAAATGTGACCCCCAGGGCTTGACAGGCAGGCCCACTAGACAGACATTCCAGCTACTGAAGTCAAAATCCTTCAGAACATGCTGAGTCATGATGGGTCATGATAAAACCTGGCGTCAACAGGGCATCGATCTGAACTTTGGATACACTTGAACCAGAATCTGAATAGAAATGGCAGAGCCTCCGACGTGCAGTGTTTTGGCTTTGGTCTGCCCATTGTTGGCCTATATTTTCCTTCCACAAAAGGTACATTCAAGCCGCCACTTCTCCCAAGGACATCGTGATCCTGGTAGACACCAGTGGCAGCATGAAGGGGCTGCGGGCGACGATTGCCAAGCATACTATCTCCACCATCTTGGATACCCTGGGAGAGAATGACTTTGTCAATATCATTGCGGTAAATGTTCTTTCCTGTTCTAGAATAGCTCTGCTTTGTTCTAGAAAAAAAAATCCTGCTGCTGGGCCTCCCCTGGTGGCGCAGCGGTTGAGTGCTGGGCTGCGAGACTGCCCGCCGCCTCTGCAGCGCCAGTTCATTTCCCGGCCACCGGCGAGGGTCCCACAAAAAAAAAAAAAAAAAAAAAAAAAATCCTGCTGCTTGCACAAAACAACCTATACTTGCACTTGATACTTTAGACTATAGAATGATTTTTTTCTCCTCTGAAGCTGGGGCACCTCACTAGGTTCGCACAGAGGAAGGACTTCAGAAGTCTGTAAAGTTTCTGCAATATTATGAAAGTGGGAATGCCCATTTCTCGGAGCCCCTACAGCCTATCAACTTCTCAGATGAGTCTGGGATATGAGAAAGACTAAGAACCACTGCTCCTGAGTAAATACCCAATTTGTCCCTATTCCCACATCCTCCGCTGGATCAGTCTGCGTGCTCAGCTGCAGGACGAATTTTATCACACACCCCCGCTTCTCCCACTTGCTTCCTCCACCCAAATCCAGACACATCAGGTGGCTCAAGGGGTTAAGCTCCGCACTATGAAGCAATCCGCAGCCTCTGCAGCACCAGTTCGTTCCCCAGCCAGCCAGGGAGCAACCCACATGGTGCAGCAGACCTCTCCTGTCATGCCCGCTGCTCCCCTCAGCAGGGTATTTCAGTCAGTCTGCCTGTTCTGTTCCCCACTCTGTCTCTGGTGAGTCCTCTCACCCCCACACCTCTGGCCTGTACCCCAGCTCTTGTATGAATAAATAAATAAATCTTTAAAAAAAAGAAAGAGAAAAAGAGGGCAGTAGCATTTTCCATCCGATTCTCAGCCTGTTGGTAGCTAAAGGAGCCTCTTCATAAATGCAGGAGAAAGTAGTTCCCAGCATGGAGCCATACCCTGGGGAGCAGGGTCTGCATGTGGGAGTCTCTGGGATTCCCTGGGAAAGACTCAGTCTGGCCTTGGGGACAGAGACCAAAGGAATCCTGCAGTGACTTCACTCTCCATATGCGCTGAGGGATGGGTATTGGGCAATGAGAACAAAGCCCAAGACCAGGATTTGAAGGAGAGTTTTTAGAATTAAGGCCTTCTCTCTACTCAGAAATGTTCCTAAAGCCCAGGGAATCCCCAAGGGCCCCCAAGCCCTGGCTGCTCTGTGGGTGGCCTGAGCTTTGTCGCTGGACCTTGACTTTCTGGACTGACCAGCGTGTCCTCCCCTCCCGCGGCCTGCAGTACAACGACTACATCCACTACGTTGAGCCTTGTTTCAAAGGGACTCTGGTCCAGGCAGACCGAGACAACCGAGAGGTGAGTATCCCCCGGGGGGCCCAGTGCTCCGGAGCTGTCTGTGCAGGCCCCTTTTCTGGTCCCCCCGGCTCTCCGCTGACCCCGTCTCCGGGCGATCCAGCTTACTCAGGACTGTCCTTCCCTCTGGACCCTCAGGGCCTCCCCACTGTGTCAGTCATCCTGAGGCGCTTCCTTAAATGGAGAAATTCCAACAGATGGGATTGAGTCCCAGGAGGACAGGATGTGGAGACTCTTTTTAAGGGAGACTTCGCACAGCACAGATCCTCCTGTGACGGGGGACCTGGGTTTCGCTTGCTTTTGAGTCCTGCCTCGGGAAGGTGTCTAGAGCCCCCGGCAGCCTTCATGGTTTCTCCCGTGAACTGCTCTGTTGGGGTGAAGGCGGGAGTGCTGAGGAGGCTGGGGGCCCGGGGGCCTGGGCACTGGCTGGCCTGTCCTCCCCGCTAGGTGGGCGCACCCTCGCTCTACCTTGAGGGTGTTTGAGAACATCTGCAGGGGTCCAGCTGTGAAACCAGCATGGTCATGGAGAGGCAGGTCCTGCCATGTGCCCTTCTGGGAAATACTCTAAACGGCCTCTGAAATTAAGACCAAAGATGAAAGTTCCTTTGCGCACTCAATGCACTGACCCTCCTCTAATTTCCTACCGGTAACAGCACTTCAAACAACTGGTGGATGAGCTGATGGTCAAAGGTGTGGGGATCGTGAACCAAGCCCTGAGTGAAGCCTTTGAGATCTTGAAGCAGGTGCCCTACCCAGCAGGTGCCCAGGGGAGGGTGACACAGCTGGGGGCCAGGTCTCAGGGACAGTAGCAGCTCATGACCGGGGTCGTGGTGTCTGCGCCTTCCCCACACAGTTCCAGGAGGCCAGGCGAGGGAGCCTCTGCAGCCAGGCCATCATGCTGATCACCGACGGGGCCGTGGAGGACTATGAGCCGGTGTTGGAGAAGTACAACTGGCCAGACCGCAAGGTTACTTTCTGGGTGAAGGTAAAGGAGGGAGGGGCAGAGCCCAGAGGGGAGTTCCCCCACTGGCATGGAGGAGATAGCCAGGGGCAGGAGCCCAAGTTCCAGGCCTGCCCTGAAACCATCAGTGATCATTCAGGTCGTACGTCCAATATTGCTGTTCCAAATTACAGTGGCTGAGGCAGCGAGGATTGGCTCGAGAGAGCTCGGAATACAGTATTGACTCACAGAAACAGCCAGGCTGTGAACCTGCCTTTGTCTACCAGGGTCCCGGCGAGTCCTGTTGCTGCCCGGGCCTCAGGGTCCTTTCTGAATCAAAAGGAATGAGAGTGAAGAACCCAAAGGCCACGAATGCCTGACATTAAGACTCCCACAGATTATGTTAACACCACTCACGGCCAAGCATCATGGCTGCTGAGTTCCTCTGTGTCTTGTGGACTAGGTCCGAGTGTTCACTTACCTTATTGGGAGAGAAGTGACTTTCGCTGACCGTCTGAAGTGGATCGCATGCAACAACAAAGGTGAGGAACTGCTGAGCAGAGCACCTGAGCCTGCACCTGAGCACAGGCAGGGGGCATCACCCCAGCCTGCTTGGGGCCTTGTGGAGGGAGGGGCGATGCGGTGTGGGGAGCCTCAGTATCTAACCTCCTTCTTACTTGGGAAAAGCAAGACAATGTATAGATTGTTCCATGTAAACTTGCATAAATATATGATGACTCCTGCAGGGACACAAATCTTAGGGCCACCTGAAATGGAACTTAGAGGTCATCCATCTTTGCAGAAAAGAGAAGTAGTTTTCAGAAAAAAATCTTACACAAACCGCAGTACAGGAGACAAAAGGAGCCAGGGGCTGGATTGGCATTTTAAATACAAGTGCTCTCCTATGCCCAGCCTCCATTCCTTTTACTCCTAATTAAACCTGCTTACTCTGGTTCTGCTCTCAGACAAAAAACAGTCATCGTTTTCTGCAGAATAATGTTCTCTGTGCAAACAGTTCTTCTCTCTCTAGCCAGAACCAAAACCTTGGACCTCGTGATGCCAAGTTGGGTTTTCTTAAATCAACCAAAATTTATTGAACATCTACTGTGTGCCTAGCAAAGTTTCCAGAATCAACTGGATTTCAGGATGAGCTCAATCTTACTTTTGCTAATGTCCAGCAGGGGAGACAAACAAATAAACTATCAATGACGATAAAATCTGAAATGTTCTATCAAGGCAGAGGGTCACGGACCACACAGGGAGCTGAGGAAAGATGGGGGACAGGTTTACTCCATTTGGGGACAGCCAGGAGGGCTTCCTGAAGGAAGGGGTCTTTAAACTGAGCCATAAAGAATGCATAGGAGTTGATCAGACATAAGGAGCTGAGAGGGGTATTCCAGACAGGTGGAATAGCACATTCAAAGGGCCTGAGACCAGAGGCAGCTGGGAAATGAAAGCTGTTCCATTTTCTGAAATGCACAGAGATAAACATGCACTGCGACATTCACAGCCTCGTAAGGCATTTGCTCTGTTAACTCTCACTGTGGCTACAGAATAGGTTACAGCGCCCCTCCCTGCTGCTGAGGAAGGACAGTGTCATGGAGAAGAGAAGGCGGTGGGGGGTAGTGGTGTGTGTGGCTAACTTAAAACGAGCTCCCCAAACACACCACCAGCCAGAGATACATGCAGGAGGGTGTACTCGTGGAACACCCCCTGAAGGAAGTGAGCAGGATGGCGTTTTCAGTGGGAGAAGCTGACCTTCAAGGCCCTCATAATTGAGGGTCTGCTATCCTCATGGCAGCTCTGGAATGGGAAGGCCCTTCGAGTTCCCCCAAGTTGGGACAGGGCTACAGCCTTTGTACCCCCACAGCACCACTGGCTTCCAGTTTCCACCTCCCCCACTGTACCAGGAGGGATGAGCTTGGGGGTCTAGTTCCTGGCCCAGAGCAGTTCCCAGTGAAAGGCCCAGTCACAAGCCCTCAGCGGTGGGTGGAGAGAGCTTGGGCCCTGGAGAAGGCACTGCAGAGAGGTCCCTTCCTCTCCTCCAGGCTACTACACACAGATCTCCACGCTGGCTGACACCCAGGAGAACGTGATGGAGTACCTGCACGTGCTCAGCCGCCCCATGGTCATCAACCACGACCATGACGTCATCTGGACAGAAGCCTACATGGACAGCAAGGTGGGGCCCACGATTGCTCCAGCATTAGGGACCCCGGGGTGGGGGTAAGAGGTGACTCCCAGTCAGGAGAGGGTGAGCAGAGCGCCACGCCGCAGGAGACACTGCAAAAACATAGATTCACCAGTCCTGCCCTGCAGCCCCTGCATCCTCAGAGCCTGCCTGTGGGCGGCACTGACTTATACAACAGAGCAGACATAGGGGGCAGAGGGATGGATGAGATATTTGGGGGAAGAAGAACCCCCCCGGCACCTCTCAAATCACATCACATGGGCGGCCGCCTGCTTATGTGATGACATGTTAGTCTGGGTCTTAGAGAGACCTGGAACTGGTGCTTCAGTGAGAGACAAGTGTATTCCCCGTACGTCAGAGATGTCTGGAGCTGGCAGGTCCAGGCCTGGCAAGGAACTCCCTGGTCTGTGGGAACCTGGGGTCCTCCCTGTAATCCCCTTGGCCACCCCAAGTGTCCTCTTTGTCTAAGTGGCCATTGGAACTCTAGCTACTGGGACCACTCACTTCCAGAAAACCTTGCTGCCAAACTCCAAACTAAAACGTCAGATTAGGAAGGGGAAGAGACTAGAGGGTAAAAAGTTCTTCATTCTCCAAGAAATTCTCCAAGTCTACGTGGAAGCCCATGGCTCAGCAGACCCTTTCATTGATCCTGATGAAGTTCAGACTTATCAATGCAGCTGGGTGCTCCGCTGGGTGGGGGTCTATCGTTGTAGGATGACCCTGCAGAGCCCCCTTCCAGAGTGGCTGGCGTGGGCATGCGAAATGAAGCGGTCAGGCAAGCGGGCCGACTCAGAGGGTGGGGATCAGCCGGCGCTGGTGTTCTGAGTGCAGAAACAGCTGTGGGCCTGTCCCGGGTGTGACCCCATGGCCAACTACAACTATACCACAGCCTGCCCTTGCTCTGCAGCCCCTCATATGGGCACCTGTGTTTGCAGATGGCTGTGCACCCCTGTCCTTCCTCTTAACTGTAGTTCGTGCCAGCCTCAAGTGCACAGTGGAGACTTCCACACATGTTTCTGGGCACCCGTGGGATGGGCCTGTAAGGCTGCATGCTCGGCATTAACATGGTTGGGATGAGAGAGCTTGGCGAGCCTACTTGGGAGCTGAGCTTCAAGCCTAGAACTATCCATGCTAAGTGATGTCCGCCAGGGCCCCCTGTCCAGCCCCCTCCCTCGTCCAGCATTTCTGCCAGTTCTTCTTTTGTGGGGCAGGAAAACCTCACATGGGGTTTCTTCCTTCCATGGGAGGGTGACACTAGCAGACATAGGACTGAGGGTCCCCCAGTCTGTGGCCCCTCAACCTGCTGTCCTCTGCTCGTCCCCCTGGCAGCTCTTCACCTCACAGACCCAGAGCCGGATGCTCCTCACCACTGTGGCCATGCCTGTCTTCAGCAAAAAGAATGAGACGGTGAGTAGCTGTTCCTTAAGAAGCTGCAGCGGGGGCTAGAACCAGGGGCTAGAACGAGGGGCACCTGCTGGCATCCTTAGGCCAGTGGGCATCAGAACCACCTTGGGAGGGGTTTATTTCTTAATTTTTTAAAATATTTGTTTATGCATACAAGAACTGGGGTGCAGGCCAGAGCTGTGTGGGGTGAGAGGATTCACCAGAGACAGAGTGGGGAACAGAACAGGTAGATTGACTGAAATACACTGCTGAGGGGAGCAGCGGGTGAGTCAGGAGAGGTCTGCTGTGTCATGTGGGTTGCTCCCTGGCCGACTGGGGATCAAACTCCTGCCTCAGAGGCTGTGGTTAGCTTCACAGTGCTGTGCTTAACCCCTTGCGCCACCAGGGAGGCTCTTGGGAGGGTTTAAATGCAGATTCCAGGCCCTATGCCCAACTAGCTGCTTCAGAATCTCTTGGTTGGGTGAAGGGGTTGGAGGGGCATTCCCCACGGGCCTTCAGTGAATCTGCTCAGACAGGTTGGGGTTATCCCGCTGCTCTGCCTGGGGGATACAGAGCTAGAGGGGTCACCGGCCAGCCTTCTAGCAAAACTACACTTAACCCACCAGGATGGACAAACCCTGGTGAGGGAATTTCTAGAACCCCCATACTCCATCTGGTCAGAGGCCTTGTGTATCCGAGCACATCGACAGATCAGGGCCCCTTGGATCCCGATACTTGAGTCTCCTCTATAAAGATTAATATTTCATTCGACTTTGTATTTCATTTAAATATTTCCACTTAAATATTTAAATATTTCCACTTAAATATATTTATTTAAATATTAACATTGGACATTAATCTTCCCAGCAGTTGAGATACCTCCAGGGCCTCCCCTGGATTTTTATTCCACAGTGCTCTCTAAGTGCAGAGAATGTAAAGGCCTGAGTGCCTTCCTTTTCCAAGCCCTGCAAAAGCTGAGGGCCCAGCATAGCCCCCAACACGGCAAGGCCAGGTCTCCTCTGACCCTGGCCTTTTCCCTTCCAGCGATCGCACGGCATTCTCCTGGGCGTGGTGGGCTCCGACGTGGCCCTCAGAGAGCTGATGAAGCTGGCCCCCAGGTACAAGGTGAGCCTGGGGCAGGTCCCCGAGCCGGGGTCACAGGTCCCCTAGGAGCAGCCCCACTAGGGTCAGGAGCCTCTCTGCAGGCAGCACAGCCCGGAGCTGGGCCTGCACCACACCCTCTTGCCCCAGGCAGTGCGGGCACAGAAACAGCAGCTTGGGGCCCTCCCCCATCACCCACTCTGGACTTTCCTCTGGCCTTCAGCAAGTTCTTCTGTTCCCGATGTCTCCATGTCTCAATTTGCCATCCTATTTTGGGAGTAAACGAGATTATATCCTCAAAGCACATCAAATGTGTGTTAAGAAAGCAACCGGGTGATGACAGGCATTGTGATGGCTGCTATCCACAGTAAGAGTTTGGAAAGGAATTTAAATTAATAGCTAGAAGCATGGTGCTGGCCCAGTTATAGCTCTTTTTGGAAAACTCACTGCTGTGTGAGCTGCCATCTTTAACTGTTCCACAGCCCCAAACCCCTTCGATCTCCAGTTCTCCAACACAAACAGCAGATCTAATGCTCCCCAACCTGTCTTTGTTAGCTCGGGGTGCATGGATATGCCTTTTTGAACACAAACAATGGCTACATCCTCTCACATCCTGACCTCCGACCCCTGGTAGGTACAGATTTTATTCACCTTGGCATCTTGTGTCTATGGGATTCAGGGATAGTTCATACAAAGTTAAAAAGAATAAACACACAATGGTTCCATTTAAGAAATGGGCAAAATGGGGGTAGGGGGAGTAAGTCATGGGTCCTGCTTTCAAACTGTTCATAACCTAGCAAGAGAGAGATGGCAAAAATGTGTGAGTTGACTGATGAACAGCTGGGAGACCAAGCAAGTCAAGATGACAAAGATGTATCTTGGACATTTAAATAGGGAACAACTCAACAAAGTAAGATACTTATTAAAAAAAAAAAAAAAAAACAGTGGACACTAACAGACAAAATACAGTTTCTGAGGGGAGAGGAATGGAAGAAGGAGATATAAGGGATGGTGGGGGAAGAAAAAAATCATCATTCTTTAAGAATCTAGGTAGAAAAATTAAGATTTTTTTTTAAAGAGAAGATCAAAAGTCACATTTTTGGCCTAAAATCCTTCTATACCCAAAATATGAAAAGTCAACAAGTGGGTTCTGATTTTCATATGAAGAGTCAAAAATGATCTTCGGGAATCAGGGAGGCAAGGGCAGACTGCCCCTGATCCAACATAGAGGGTGGCAGGGCCGTGCTGTGGTCACGGGGGTGCACACCCCTAAAATGAGAACGGGAGCCTCATGCAAGCATGGGTGAGGTGAAAAAAGAAGAACAAAAGCAGATTCTGTTGCGGCTGTTTTACTACAGATCTCCTGGACAGGCAAGAAATTAGAATGCTTGCTTGCTTTTTTTTTTTTTTTTTAAGTTTTATTGACTTTTTTTTTTTTTAAAGATTTTTTTATTTATACAAGAACCAGGGTACAGGCCAGATGCATGGGAGGATGAGAGAATTCGCCAGAGACAGAGCGGAGAGCAGAACAGGCAGACGGACCGAAGACACTGCTGAGGGGAGCAGCGGGTGAGACAGGAGAGGTCTGCTGCGCCATGTGAATTGCTCCCTGGCCGGCCAGGAATCGAACCCGTGCTGCAGAGGCTATGGATAGCTTCACAGCGTGGTGCTCAACCCACTGCGCCACCAGGGAGGCCCTAAAATGCTTTCTTAAAAAAAAAAAATCTGGCAGAAATAAGATGCACACTGATAGGATTTCAACCATCCAAGCCTCTGCAGGAGGTCTCCTTCTGCTAAAAGGACATGTTGTGATTAATTCTTGACATAACCTGATGATAAACTATCCTCTTCCTTTTTGATAGGATTACTAAATTAACCTAGGAAGATCTAATCGCAGATAACTCTCGATATCTGTCTTGGCATCCAAGAGCGAGACAGAGAGAAGTTGGGGCCAGAAAATAATAACATTCATAGAGTGTTGATTAACGGCTCGGTGTCAAGCTGCAGGGAGGTCTTTATTAGGCACTGCAGAATCTGTCTGTCCTTGGCTCTGTCCCATTCAAAAATTCTATGAACAAGATGAAAACCCAGAAGGCAGATGCCACAAAGTCTGGAAGGTGTGGTGAATGCATTAAGTGAAAAAATTAGTACTCGGAAAGTATTCTTCTAAAACAATAGGCTGAAACTAACAAGATGAAATATATTAAGGATGCAATGAAAGTTCTGCCAGATATTCTGCTCAAGTGTAAGACTGCGAGGGTGAAATTTAGCTGCACCACGTGTGGCGGCCAAGGGTACTCAATTGACTGAGACCTGGGTTGAGCTGTCAGGACAGTGAGCATCTGGGAACCGGCAGAGCCTGGCAGCAGTGAACACCATGTGCTTTTCTGGGCACCCAGCTTACACCCCACACCCCACCGGCCCAACCCCATCTGAAAGACTGACTTCTGTCCCTGGCCTTCAGTTGTGGGAGTAACACTGACAAAGCCATGGGCCGTTGAGACATCTGCAAGCTGGGAAGGTTTAACCTGGAGAAGTGAAGTTTTAGCAGAGACAAGCATGTTAAAAAATTTAAGGGTTGTCAGGTGGAAGACATTCTGTATAGCTCCAGAGAAAGAACTAAGACCAACCAGTAAAAAGTTAGAGGGAGACAGATTTCAGCTCTGCATGAAGAACTTTCTAACAATTAGAGCCATCCAAACCATGACTAGCTGACTCACAAAACAGGGAGCTCTTTGTCACGGGAAACAGCCTCTCAGAGGCCGACAGACCATCTGTCACAAATATTGGCAAGGGAGGCTTGGGTGGGAATTTGGCCCAGATGACCTTGAGGAATCACTGAGAGTCTCTGATTTCATGAGGGCTTTCTAGAAGCGATGCAACAGGGCCTTATGCTAACTTCACATTTTGCTCCCTGATCTACCTGTTCCAGTATAGAGAGGGGAAGAAGCTGAAGCCCAAACCTAACTACAACAGCGTGGATCTCTCCGAAGTGGAGTGGGAGGACCGAGCTGAGATCGTGAGTGTGGAAAGTGGGGGGAAAAGGCATTTCTTTGCTCTACAGCCAACCCACAGGGAAGCTGCGGACTGGGGCCACAACGCTTTCAGATAGAGACTTTCCAAGCCCAAACCAGCAGCAATTCCTAGAATGGGCAAGTCTTCATTTCTTTTATTTATATAAAAATACAATGACACCTTCCTGGATCACGACGATGGCTGACACTGGATGAGATCATGGCTACAAGCCACAGGTTTCAGTCCTAGTGATGTTGTCCTGTGGCTTTTGGTGGTGGTGTCTCCTGCTCGAGGAAATGATGTCTCAGTGATATTCTGGGCCCTGCAGGTTGCACCCACACCACACTGGCCACACTCTGTCTGTAGCATTGACTGGGCCCTCAAGCATTAGCCGACCTGTCCGCAATAGCTTGGTGAATGTGCAGAATTACAAGCTAAAGGGATCTTAGAATCAGGTCTATCTTCCCTCCTGGTGTTCTGCTCAGGAATAAGGGAAAAACCAAAAGTGTTCTTAGGCATCTCTTCAACCTGGGCAGTAAATCTCAGTACCTCCTGCCCTCCAGTGCGAGCCAAGGGACTGACACCATTTCTTTCCTCTTGAAGCTGAGAACAGCCATGATAAACAGGGAGACGGGTTCTCTCTCCCTGGACGTGAAGGTTCCGCTGGACAATGGGGTAAGGCAATTGAGAGGAAGAGCCTGGGGCCTGGTGCCAGGGCGGCAGCATCACCGCTAGCTGAGGTTTGGGGTGGTGACAAGGGATATCACTGAATGAGAGCTTAAGACAGAATGCTTGCTGTGGCCTGGAGCTGCAGCGCTGGTGTAGCGAGTATATCCAAGGGTGTGTCCGCCCCATCTTGGCCAAGGGGGGATCGCTCACCTCACCACCTGGGTCTCTGGAGATCGCTGAGCAAGGCAGGGGTTTCACCAAGCCATTTACAACGCCTCTTTCTTCCTTGTGCTGACTGCTATTTGGCCCTTTCGTTGTTTATGATGGAAAGTAGAAAAGTGACAGTTAATTTTGCAAATTGTTAGCAGCTCTTGCAAAACATGTTATATAGGAAGAGGATGAAAGGAATTCTACTCCCTGTAGCTGAGTTTCCTTCACATAATCAGAATGGAGACCCTCGCTGCTGCCAGCGCTGTCCTCACAGGCCACACGTCGGTGACATAAGATCAGTGCCTCTTCTCATTTAAAAGATTCCAATGCATTTGCACTGAATTGCATTGTCCCTTGACATATTTACAAATGTCACCTCCTCCCTCATAGCCACCCCCACCTCCTCCTCCTGTTGCCCATCTGCCTCAGCTAAAAGAACACAGGCATCTGTCTGCAACAATTAGACCCAAGTTCTTCCATAAACACAGACCCCCATGGAAGCCAAACAAGAAAGCATTGAGGAGGAAAAGCAATTCATTGCCTTCCTTTTGGATTCAGGCTGATTTTCGCTGGGACCAGTGTCTGATTTCTGTGGCAGCTGCCTGCTTTTTTAAAGCTCTGGACCAAGACGAGATTCCTTTAGGCAGACTGAGCGCTATCGCTGCTGTCAGGCCAGAAGCTCCTTCTCATCCAAAGAAGTTGAGTTTTCTTCCATGCATTTTCCCCCTCATCCTAGCAGGACCCCCACACAAGTACATGAGGGAGCGCTCACTAGCCCAGCATGCCACAGCACGGAGGGTCAGACTTGCATTCAGGCTATAATGAAAAATGTAACGTGCACATGGTCTATGGCAAGTCAAGGACAGAGTTGATATCCTCTATCAGATTCAGACCAACTGCGAGTCATTGGTCTTCTGTGCCTTGCTTCTGGTGACCAGGGTTTCTCACGCTGTCTTCACAATTCTCAAAGCCACCAAGGCAGAGTCCTGCCAGAAGCAAGCCATCCGAACTTCTCCTGAAATCTCTGCTCTTTCCTGTGAAATGTGCCCATTGCTGCTAACAAACCAGGTTAAATTTGCAGTCTAGCAAAGATGTTCTGGTGCGTAGTGCCTTCACATAAAGAAGTGGGGTGATGATGACAATGATGGACATGGATGATGACAAGGATGGACATGTCACGGCACGAAGACTTTACTGTTCACGATCGAGTGGGTTCTTGTGTTGCAGCAACTGAGGAATAATCACCGACACACAGGACTAAAGATTAGCAAGCTCAGGTTTATTGCAAGAGAGACGCCTGACAGCAGGAGTGGGTCCAAGGGAGGTGCCCATTACTATTGGGGGTAGGTTTACTTTTATAATCTCTCATGGGGAACTTTCCCCATTCTGGTGCTTTTCCACTACCCCCCTTTGCCTGAAGCCACCACAAGCTGCTGTGTACCTCTATATGCCTCTTAGGGTTACCAGCCTCTGCCTGCTAGCTCAGCAGCCAGCAGCCATTGCCTGTCAGCTTTCTGCCCCCTCAAGCACCCAGCCTCAGTCTGCTAGTTTACAACCAGCTCTTGCCAACCAGCTCTGGCAGGCCAGCTCCTGAGCCAGCTAGTTCTCTACTCCCTCATTACCACCACAACTACCACGACTGGCAGCTGACATTAATTAGAAATCAGGCTAAGCACTTTATCACACAAACACAGTCTATGATGTGCTAACCTAGCTTCAGCTTACAGATGAGGAAATCCAGAGAGCCCAGAAGCTTGCCAAAAGCCACCTAGAAGGTCAGAGCAAAGCCCATGTGTATTGGTTGTAGACAGCATCCTCTTGACCACTTTGAATGAGGCCTTTCTCGAGGACTGGCCCTCAGTTCTCAACTCAGTCTGCAACCATAAGAGTTCCCCAAGAGTCTCTTTGGAATAACCCTTCTATTCCATCTTAAAAATTCATTGTTTTCGCCTCTTCCCCGCCTCCAACTCTATCATAACTCAGCAGTCTCCTCACTCATGTCTTTATTCTCACACCCAGGAGCTGTGGCTGTGGGGGGATGGGGAGGTGGCTACAGCAGTGTCCAGCCCCTCGCTGCTCTGACCTGTCACAATAGCCACTCTTGTGTCTGTTGTTACATTTTGTTCCTTACCAACTGCTGCCTTCCTAACTTCTTTTTTTAATAGAGGTGCAAACAGCCCTGTTGCTCGCTTGCCTGTCAGTCCACTCCAGCCCCATCTCAGCTCCGTGGTGGTCTCACCTGAGAAGCTGCTCTTCAGTAAACACAATCTCAGACCTAGGCCAAGGAAAGCTTTCTTCAAGTATTGTGGGAATGTCTGGTAACCTTCAAGCCATCCTGGCAGGCTTTGTCTTTTTCCCCTGGGCACTTGACCTGCGTCCTTATTCCCCATCACCTTTATTTTTTATTTTTTAAAAAGATTTATGTATTTATGCATATAAGAACTGGGGTATAGGCCAGAGGTGTGGGTGATGAGAGGATTCACCAAAGAGAGTGGGGAACAGAACAGGCAGATCTACTGAAATACACTGCTGAGGGGAGCAGCGGGTGAGACAGGAGAGGTCTGCTGCACCATGTGGGTAGCTCGCTGGCCGGGGATCGAACTAGTGCTACAGTGGCTGCCAATAGCTTGATAGTGGCTGTCTTTAACCCCTGCGCCACCAGGGAGGGCCCCCGTCACCTTTAGACACCAGAGGCAGCTGTGGTGCCATTACCAAGGGCAGCAGCAACCCCAGCTGGACCCACAAACTCAAAATCCTTCGGGGCCAGGCAGGCCATGTTCAGAAATGTGAGTGCGAGAAGTAGGCAGGCTTCGGCACTGGGGTCCACAGCTCCATGTGCAGGTCTTGACCTTCTGCAGTGTGCCCATATCATTGTGGGTAGAGGTTGTGAGACGACTTGGGTTCCATTCTTTGTGGGTTCCTGTTTGTTACTTTTCCCTACATGTCATCCAGCTGGTGGCCCAGCTGACCAATGATGACTGCTCACTGCCAGGGGCAGAGAAACCAAATTTTCATCACCTCTTCTCTTCAGAGAAACTGAAGGAGAGCCCACACACCTGGGAGGCTTTGAAGCTGGCTGCTCCTCCGTGCCAGGAAGGGGTGCCAGGAAGGGTTAGCACTTGCCAGAGCAAGCTACAGCAGTGCTTGATACCCTGGACTCGCTTTTGAGTTCACCCTTCCCTTCGGCCTTACACATCCATGCAAGCTCCTCCTTTGACCAACTCTAATTTGGAACCATTTGGGGGAAGCAAGTCTGGGAAATGTGGATACAGTTGAGTTCATTTGACACAGAATAAAACCACGATGGGAGTCCAGTGGAAATTCTACAACTAAAGAGAATAATATCTGAAATGAATTTTGTTACTGCATGAGCTTAATAACAGATTGGGAGAAACAGGGACAGTGACTTGAAGACAAATAAAGAGTAATTACCCAATCTGAACAACAGAAAGAAAATGTTGGGGGGAAGTTTCTCTCTTGTTACCTGTGGGATCATGTGAAGTGATCTACTCAAGCCAGAAAAATGGGGGGGGGGGAGACATTTTCAGATAAAATAGAATAGAACTCATCACTATCAAACCTGTACTATAAGAAATGCTTGGGCCTCCCTGGTGGCGCAAGGGGTTAAGACGCAACCTATGAAGCTGTCTGCAGCCACTGCAGCACGAGTTCAATCCCCGACTAGGGATCTGCACACACGACACACAGCAGGCCTCTCCTGACTCACCCACTGCTCCCCTCAGCAGTGTGTTTCAGTACCTCTGCCTGTTCTGCTCCCCACTCTGTCTCTGGTGGGTCCTCTAACCCCCCACATCACATGCTGGGCCTGCACCCCAGCTTTTGTATGCATAAATAAATAAATCTTTAAAAAAGAGAAATGCTTAAGGAATTTCTGCAGGATGAAGAAAAATGACACAGATGGAAACTCAGATCTACATGAAGAAATGAACCTCACTGAGAATAGTAAATATGTGGGTTAACAGAGGACTTTATTTATTCTTTTAACTCCTCCAAATGACAACTGGCTTTTTAAAGCAAAAATGTTGACATTGTATTGTAGGCTTTGTAATGTATACAAGTGTAAGATTTATGGTAACAATAGCACATAGCAGAGCTGTCCCAAGAAGGTAAAGCTAGTTTGACATTCAAAAAAACAAAAAAATTAAAAAATCAACAAATGTAATTGACTGCATTAACAGAATGCAGGAGAAACACTTTATTGGTTATCTTAATAGATACTGAAAGAACATTTGACAAAATTTAACTGGGAACAGAGGAAACTTCCTCAATCTGTTTAAAAAAAAAAAAATCTATGACCAAAAACAGCATCTATGAAAAAATTAACTTTTAATCATGCAATAATGAACTTTTGCTCCCTAACATTATAAATAAGATAAGGGGATCTGCTTTCACCACTTTTGTTCACCCTCTGGTCAACATTGTCCTGGTCTTTAAAAGCACTTATCCTAGCAATCAGGCAAGAAAACAAAACAAAGGCACAAAAATAAGAAAGGAAGAAGTAATTACTCAACATTCACAGATGATTGTTTACATAGAAAAATCGCAAAATAACTGGTCTGTAAATTTAGCAAGTGCATAGAATACAAGGTCAACATTACATAAAATCAATTGCATCTTGATATATTGCAGCTAAAATAAGAAAATGAATTTTTTTTAAGTTCTAAGTTCAATAGCATCAAGCAATATATAATAATGAGGTATAAATTTAAGAAAAACATTTATGACCTTTGTACTAAAAACTATATAACATTAGAAAGGCTATCAAAGGAAAATTAAGCAAATACGAGTTGTAATAGCAATATTGCAAAGATACCCATTCTCTGAGAATTGATCTATATGTTCAATCTCAATCAAAATTTGAGCAGACGTCTTCTAGATATAAAAGAGATGAATAGAAAAAGGTGATTCTAAAATTTTCATGAAAATGCAAAGGTTGTAACATAGCCAAAATTATCTTGAAAAGGAAGACAAATTTGGATGATTCATACCACCTGATCTGAATCCTTACTATAAACATAGTAACCAAACTACATTAACCAAGCACAGTGGTACTGAGTTAAGAATAGATGAGGATCAATGGAATGGATCAGAGAACCCTAAAATAAACTCACCTGTCCTCAATTTCATCATCTAATTTTTCAGTCAATATACCTTGGCAAATCAATGGAGATAGGAAATTTTTCAATAAACAGTGCTAAAACAACCGAGGAAATGTATGAAAAAAAGAAACACTTATTATATCTCACACTGTACACAAAAAGTAATTTGAGCTGGAACATAACCCTCAATGAAAAAGCTACAACTATAAGGCTGATATATAAATCTATATGAGAAAGTCTCCCAACCACTTCCTTAGTGGCCATGCAAAGATTCCTCAAGCAAAATACCAACAGCACAAAACATGACATAAAATTCACCAAGTTGGATTTCATCAAAAGTAAAAAGCTCAAAGTCATCATTAAGAAAATGAAAAGGGAAGGTGTATCACATATTCTGGTCTGCATCCAGAAAACACTAAAAACACATATTTATATACATGATCCACAAAAAGACAAAACACTCAATGGAAAATGGACAAAATACTTGAGCAGACTCTTCACAAGTGAAGACGCAGCCATCCCAGTGAGCCCGTGACAGGATGCTCAGCTCCTTCCATCATCAGGGAAACCCAAGCTAAAACAGCCATGAGATTCTATTTCACACCCTCTACAATGGCTAAGATTTAAAAGAGCCAAACACCAGATTCTGGCAAAGATGTGGAGCAATTGGCACTCTCCTGCTTGGCTAGTCTAGTGAAAAATGTTAGAAAATTGTTTTTCGGGTTTCTATACACATATGTTTAGCATATGGCTCAACAATTCCATCGCTAGGTATTTACCAAGAGGGATAAAAACATATATCCACAAGAAGAGTTGTTGAGAAGTGTTTAGAGCAGCTTTAGTTATTGTCACTGCAAACTGGAAACACCCAGGATGTCTTTCACTAGGTGAATGTTGAGGCAAACTGGCAGGACCACACGTTGTTATGCTGCTGAGCAGTAGAAAGGAAAGCCAGCTCACTCACTGACATAGATGGATCTTAAAAACCTTGTGTTGAGGGCCTCCCCGGTGGCGCAGCGGTTGAGCGCTGGGTTGTGAAGCTGCCCGAGGCCTCTGCGGCGCCGGTTCGATCCCCGGCTGCTCCCAGCCACCGGAGGAGGGTCCCACATGGCACGCAGACCTCTCCTGCCGCCCGCTGCTTCCCTCAGCAGTGTACTTCGGTCCTTCTGCCTGCTCTGCTCCCCGCTCTGGCTCTGGTGAATTCTCTCACCCTCCCGCGCTTCTGACTGTACCCAGTGCTTGTAAAAATCAATTAATTTAAAAAAAAAAAACCTTGTGTTGAGCAAAAGAAACCAGACATGAAAAAGTCCATGCTATAAGAAAAAGCAAGACTAATCGATGATGATAGATTTCAGAGCATGTGACCTCTGGGGCGGCTGGGTGGGGTTTTCTAGAAGAGTCACAGAGATTTTAGAGGATGCAAATATTCCTTATCGCTAGGGAGGGCGCTCGTGGCTGTATGCATTTATCACAACTAACAGAATGAGACACTAAGATCTTTGCATTTTGCCTTTTCTTCAATCAAAAAAGGGAAAATTTAGAAGACGGTCTCCAGTTCCAACACTCAAGCCAGTCCCGCCTTGGAGCACAGGACTCTCTCCCATCACAGCCCTTGCTGGCCCCAGACTGCCCTGAGCCGGCTGCCAGGGCCTCCCAGGCCCGCTGTAAGGGAGGGAACCTGGAGACAGGCGCTGACAGACACAGGGGAGGCATCCCCTGGGATGAGACTGGTGGTAGAGGGCCGTTCTCTCTGCTTCGGTCTGAAGGCAAACCCCTGCCTGGCCACCTCTTTCCTGGCAACCCTTCCATCACTTTACTCCAGTTTCCACAATGCAAGGAGAAAAGTCAGAAGGAGATGAATGAAATAAGAACAAGCTCCTGAGTCAAATCCAATGGCGCAAATTTGTGTGTGCACTTGGGCAAGCCACAGAACTTCCGAGCCCAGAGCAATTCCTGCTTTGCCTGTACCCACCCCCACCCGTTAAAAGCACAGTCTCAGCCTCACAGCAGCCTTATGCAAGAGCCGCTGCTGTTCATCCTGGTTTACAAATGAGAACAGGGATGCCTAGAAAAGTGCAGTATCTTCCCCAAGAGCATACAGCTTGTGAGCGGCTGGGCTGGGCTTAAGGCCAAATCTATGTGCTGCCCAGCAGTTGCCAACGCCCTGCACTGCTGTATGCGCTGCCTGATGCCCCGACTCTCACGTATGAGCTGAAACGTAAACAACAGCAGCTTTGAAAGGAAAAGGACGTTGTAAAGGGTGCTGTGGCCTTGGGAGAGGTTCGTGGAGGAAACGGGGCCTCTCGGCTATCTTCAGAGACAGGAAGCTTGGAGGTGGCGCCTCTGCACTCCAGAAGCTTTGAGCGGCCTGTTCTCTGTTCCATCTGAGGCCAACACCACTGTCTACGCCTGCACTGTCCTGTACGGCAGCTGCTAGCCACACTGTCTTGCTAAATTTAAATGGATGGTAACTATAATTAACTAAGATCTGAAGACCCCGTACCTTGGTTGCACATGTTAAGTGCCCGGTAGTCATGCCGGCTGGTGGCTACCTCAGTGGACACTGCAGGACAGGACCGTGCTCCTTCATCCCTGCAGCTTCCATGGGGGGAGTTTGCTGGACCAGCTGCTGACTCTGCCTAAGGGTGTCCACAGGATGAGGCATGCTGGGAGGTGGGGAGGAAGAGAGGCTGAGAAGTAAGGGAAGTGGGGCAGAGTGATGAAACCCTGAGGGCTTTTAGGGAGGAGGTAGAGGGCACAGTCAGGGCACAGAGAGTCACACTCCTCTCTCCACCTAAAACCCTTCCCTCCTCTGCTCTTCCAGAAAAGAGTTCTTTTCTTGACCAATGATTACTTCTTCACAGACATCAGTGACACCCCGTTCAGGTAAGGGCCTATGTTTTATTTGCAGGGTGGGGGTGAATGGGACATGAATACCAACAACTCAGAGTAGAGCGTCCAGGTTTGGGGTATAGATTGACTCAGATTTACTTGATTAATTGTGGAAACAGAAAAAGGTTCAGGTCTACATTAGGGAAACAGGATCAAGACCTGCTTTGCTAGTGGAGACTACGGGGCAGATTTTGGAGCCAATTGTTTGGTTTGAAATCCAGCTCTATCCCTGACAGGCTGTGTGACCTTAGTCAAGTTACTTAACCACTCTGGGCCTTAGATTCCTCATTTGTAAAATGGGAAGAACGCTAGTAGCTACTTCTCGGTGGCATTGTAAAGATTAAATGGCACTTAAAGATCGTAAAGCAACGCCCTGTTTGCAAGATGACAGGACTGAAGTTGAAGATCTCTTAGGTTCCTTGCAGCCCGTGAGGTCAGGCAAACAGGGGCATGTCGTGCATGTCAACACACTAGTGTGGAAGGTTCCAGCCTGGAGTCAACTCACACAGGAGGCGGCCAGGGCAGGTGGCCATCACTTGCTGTGTGAGTACAGGCGTTCTCTGCTCTCCCATAGTTTGGGGGTGGTGCTGTCCCGCGGCCACGGAGAATACATCCTCCTGGGGAACACCTCTGTGGAAGAAGGTAGGTCTGAGCCAGGGGGGTTCCCCTGCGATACTGAGCTGCTTCCCAAGTCTCAGGTGGAGAGCAGGCGCTCAGGCCAGGGCTCTCTGGTGAGGACTCTGCGTCCCGGGTACCCAGGCCCAGCATGCACCAAGTGTGCATTCCAGGGGGGCTTTGCTGGCGGACAGAGGGTCCTCCAGGGATGCGCTTCTTGGAGCAAAGCTGACGTTGCTTCGGAAGATTATCATGAGAGTGTGAGGAAGGAGACTGGGGAGAGTGAGGGGCGAGTCTGCAGCCGTGGCTGTGCTCCCTGCAACGCCTTCCCGCTCCAGAGGCGCATAAGGCCGGTGCGGCGCTGAGCTGGGGGTGAGGCTACAGAGATTGTACTAACTGCACACGGCCCGTCTCCGGCTCACCTCTGACTCTCCCTTTAGCTTGGTTGGGAACAATGAAATGACAATCACTGGTCTCAAAGCTTTTGCTTCTTGAGGGTGACCCTAATTGGCGATATACGCACATGAGGCCGTGGGAAGGAGGCATTTCAGAAGCAGGGGCAGGAAGACACAGGTGTGATCTCATCCTACTGACCGAGCCCCTACTCTGAGATGAGAACAAAGAAGAATAAGCCCAGCCCGGCCCTGGAGGAGGAGGGCTCCTGGCGGCCCCGGCCTAGCGGTGGCTCTTAGGTGCAGGAACTACCAGCGCGGGCATTGTTCTGAGCACGCACTCTGCTCGCAGGTCTCCACGATTTGCTTCATCCGGACCTGACTCTGGCGAATGACTGGTAAGCGAGGAAGTCACTGCACAAGAAGAGCAGGGGATGGGAGGGTGAAAGGCGGTGACTCTCCTGGGTTGACTCTCCCGGTTCCAGGACCTACTGCGTCACGGATATAGACCCAGACCACCGGAAGCTCAGCCAGCTGGAGGCCATCGTCCGCTTCCTGAAGGGGCAGGACCCAGCTCTGGAGTGTGAGTGCCCCCAGCCCGCCTGCACTTGCCTTCTGGCACCCCACAGCTGAGGACTTGGCAGGAAGGGGGGGTGTCTGGGGAGATGGCCTCTCCCCGGAACTCACTGAAAGCTGAGCTAGAACAGGGAGATTTCTAGAGGAAAAGGTAGAGCCAGGAGAGTATCCCCATGTCAGGGTCTGGGACCTCTTTAAACCTCTGTGAGCTGAGGACTTCAAGGCCCAGAAGAGAAGCTCACCCAGTGTAAAGGCTCAGCCTGTCCACCAGCTCTGCCTCTACCACCACCTGGTAGTGGGCCCCCCCAGGTGATTCTCTGAAGTCCTCATCTCTCCGCAGAAGAGCATTTGACCAGATGGCATCAGAAAGCCAGTGGTCTGTGAGTGGGTCCTAACCAACCCCTGGCGCTCAGACGAGCCTGAATTCCCCACATAAATGCACCCACAGGACCACCCTTTCAGCAAAGCTCTTCCTGCTCCCTACAAGAAGGAGCAGGTCATCCTGTCACAGAAGCAACACCCCACTCAGTCAGCCCATCAGCACCCTGTGAGCACGTGCCGGGGGCCAGGACTGCACAGGCACTAAAGCTATGGATGGAGAAGGCCCAAAAAGACAAGGCCCTCGCTATTGTGGAGCTTGTAAGCTAGTGGAGGACCACGCCACAGAGAAGCAAACAGATGTGTGTAGATGCAGGTTATGATGAATTGTGATAAGGGCTGTGAATCACACTCTGCATGAGCGGGGAGGGGCCTGCATTCAGCTGATGGTCAAAGAGAGCCCCCTCTGTAGGGAGGTGTCACTTAAGTTGAGGATAAAAAAGAACCACACAGATGACTTCATGGGTACCTTTGAGGGAACCATTAGCTTTCTTTGGGGGTATAATGTGTCTCCTTTGGGGTACCATGAGCCTCCTTTGGGGGGACAATATGTCTCCTTTGGGTACCATGGGCCTTCTTTGGGGGGACAATGTGTCTCCTTTGGGGTACCATGGGCCTCCTTTGGGTGTGATAGAAATTCTGCAGCACAAGATGGAAGTGTTGGCTGCACATCATTGTGATATGTGTACCTCAATCTGGTTGATCTTAGGGAACACTACACAGCCGTGAAGAAAGGTGAAATAAGATAGACAAAATGGATAGACCTCGAGGTGACTGTGTTAAGTGAAATAAGTCTGAAAGTAAAAGGTAGACAGCGGGTGGTTTCACTCATCTGTGGAATGTAAACAATCAAAAAACATGCACAGATAAAATACAGTAGAAATACATCTTGAACTCAGCGGAAGAACTTAAATGTTTACCAGAGGGCATGGAGGAGGGAGGAGGTGTGGAGGGGGAGATGCAGGAGGGGTATGAGGTGGTTTGGTGGAGGATAAAGTGAACACGTGCACATACGAAGAGCCAAAATGCAACCCCAAATTTAAATTTTAAAAACTAGTAGTAAAATAAATGGCATTTTTAAAGAGGGAGGGAGGAAAAGAAAGAGCCACCCGTACATAGTGAGTGGGGAAAAGCATCCAGACCAAGGGAACAGCATATGTGGACGCTCTGGAACAACATATGTGGATGCTCTGAGGCAAGTTTCAGCTCACAGGATGCACTGAGAGCAGCAGTGAGGGCAAGTGCTGGGGGGCAGCGGAGGGGTGGGCTGGGTGCAGGTCAGAGTCTGCTGTCTGGGAGTGTGTCCCAGCCTCACAAGTCACTGAACTGGACAGAGCCTTGGACATCATTTCATTCTACTCACATGTCTTGGGGTTTGCGGAAATAAAGACTGAAAGAGATGAGGTGACTTCCTCAAACTGACCCCCATCATTTGGCATGTTCCAGCTGCACGTTTATGAGATGCATTTTGTTCCTTGGGCTTCAAGGATCCCCAAAGGGCAGATGAGCTGTGTTCACAATCATGGGGGAGGTGGCGACTTGATCTCCCTGTCTCTGTCCCAGGTGACCAGGAGCTGGTGCGGGAGGTGCTGTTCGACGCGGTGGTGACGGCCCCCATGGAAGCGTACTGGACAGCGCTAGCTCTCAACATCTCTGAGTAGGTGCCTGTGCGCGGCTCAGGGCTCCGGGAATCGGGAGAGCACCCAGCCCCCAGGACTCCCGCGGCTGAGTCAGGGTCCTTCCCACTACCTGGCAGGCAGCTCAGGAGACCACCCACTTCCTGTGGCCTGAAGTGAATGGTCAGGGGGGTGGGATGATGTGGGGGCAGTGAAAGCTTGAAGTGGGGCCTGGCAAAGTTCCCACCCTCAGTATATACAGCTCCCCTCTCTCCTATCTGGGAAAACCCCTAAAGCAGGTCCCCCGGGGCATAGGCCTAAACCCCCCACCTTACAGCGTGGTAGCCCTATAATCAGAACCCATCTCCAGGCTTGGACTCTAACTGTGAGGGCCCGTTTTCTGAAGTGCCTTGGAGAACACGGTTCAGGTTTTTGCGTCCAACAGGTAGTTGAGACACTATGAAGTACAACTTGACCTTGGTGTGTCCTAGCCCTTAGATTTCCTGCCTCTCTGTGCTGATCTTTACCTGGTGCTAATGGGTTTAGGGGACAGGTAGAAAGAAGGGGTAAATGGCATGTGAGTGTGAGTGATGGGTGCACATGGGTGTTGGTGGACTGTGAGATTTTGATGAGGCTAAGAACACAGCAGCCACACTTGTGCCTGAAGAGGAAGAAGATACCTTATCAATATCACAAACATGTCAATTCCACAAACTGAGCAATGTTATCCTAATAAAAACACCACAGAATTTTATAGGAACAGCCACCTATTTCTAAAAGCCAGATGCAGAATGCTGCTACCAATTCTCTAAAAAGCAGGCAAATCATAGTAGGTGTCTGTATGGTTATAAAATATCCATATAAAAACTATACAGGAATCAGTTCTCTTTGGTTGCTTCTGGTTAGAAAAAGGGATAACTGGAATAGGAATGAGAGGGACACTTTTTACTATATAAACTTTGGGTACAGTTTTGAGCCATGTGAGTGCATTACCTCTATAAAATCAAATAAAGCTTAAAAAAAGAAAAAGAATAGAGTGGACTAGACACTGTTCTAAGTATTCAGTGTGTGTCAACTCCTTTGATCCTCACTACAGCCCTGAAATACAGATGCTATCAAAATCCGCATTCTACAAATGAGGAAACTGAGGCAGAATGTGGTGACCACTTGCCCCAGTTCATTTGCCTCATATGCAGCCAAGCGGGAGCCAAATCAGGCTGCTGATTACAGGGCTACATTCCTGGCCCCTTAGCATCCTGCCTCTACAGAAGGGGCTAGACCAGTAGATTAGGACAAAATAAGCATAATCTTCATCTTTCCAAATTCCGATGAGGGAATCCTTTGACAAGCATGTATTATAGGTATGTACATCAAATCACCACGGTGTACACTTAAAATACCTTCCAATTTTATCTGTCAACTAAGCATCAACAAAGCTGAAGTTTTTAAAACTTTTTAAAAATAAAATAGCGACAAATCCTACCCTGGTGTCATTGCCTGAACAAGATGGCTTTGAGATGTGAGAAAAAGTAGTTCCATTAACACTAATAGATTTTTTTTCCATATCTTTGGCGAGATTGGCAAGGCCCCTACATCTCTTGGGTGAATGTAGCAGTGTCTGCTCCGCCTTCTCTCACATTTCATTCATAAGTAAATATATGAAAAGTGCTATAAAACCTGAGGTGCTGTGTGTGTCCGCCAGGACATTTTACTATTACATGACGTCCCAAGACATGGTGCCTTTCTGAGTTCCTTCTGTCCAGAGCCAAGTCACCTAAAAAACAAGGGGGCAAATGAGGAGCTGGATCTGGAAAAACAGAGATAGAGGCTCAGGGGACCTCATTAACAAGGGAAAGTGCTGCCCCAGGGAGCCAGGTGGCTCCCTGATGCAGCACACCGGCCACTTACAGCAGATGGTGATGGTGGATGGTGATGGCGGCTGATGATGGTGGATGGTGATGGCGGCTGGTGAGGGAAGCTGGTGAGGGCACATGATGATAGCGACTGGTGAGGGCGCCTGGTGAGCCTGTGGGTTGTGCAACTCCTGAGAAACCAGCCTGCCGCTCCCCTCAGTCAGAAGGGGCCCAGCTCTGCAAGCCCTAGGGGTCGTCTCCACACACCTCCCAACCCCCCTCATTGCCTGGACCAGCCCGCATGCTGATGGCTGCCCTGTCTGCCCCGCAGGGAGTCTGAGCCGGCAGTGGACATGGCCTTCCTCGGCACCCGGGCCGGCCTTCTCAGGAGCAGCTTGTTCGTGGGCTCTGAGAAATTCTCCGACAAGTGAGTCGTGCTGTGTCCCTATGGCATGTGGGCGGGCAGAGACTGGGACCCCGGGGTGCAGGGAGTGTGGGAGGGTTGGGCTTTGCAGACAGGGAGGGTGGGCACAGTAATCCTTCCACCTGACCTTCACTCTTGCACCCCCTGGAGGTGTCCTGAGGAGCCAGGGAGCAGCCCAGGCCTTGAAGCCAGATTGCTGCTCGGAGCCTCATTGCCACGGAAGGAAGCTAGGAAGCTGTTCCTCTGGGGTAGCGTCTCTCTGTGTGACGAGGCTAAATCTTCTGACCTCTGTCCCCCTCTTTGTCAACACTTTCCCCACCCTCCCAGCTAGCTGTTGTTTATGGGCAATTTTGCCCCCCACCCCAGGGACCTGTGGCAGTGGCAGCGTCTGGAGACCTTTTTGGGTCTCCAGAGGGGGCGGAGTTTGCTGTGACATCTCGCTGGTGGACACCAGGGGTGCTGACAAAGCCCTGAGCACAGGACAGCCCCTAGAATAGCTGCGCTTGAGAAGTCCTCTCCAAGCAAAGGCCGCCTCTGTGGGAATCTAGGGACCAGAGGCCCAGGTTCAGCAACGGGAAGGTGGGAGCCCAGGGAAGGGTGCTGGGGGTGAGGGACAGGCAGAGCCATCTGCAGTTCTGCAAACTAGGGGGCTCAAGTAGGCAGGCCAGTGGGCAGCTGGAGGAGAATGGCCCAGGGGGCTCCTGAGAGGACTTGACCCACCATCCTGTGCCTGCCCACTTGTTGCCCACCATCATCTTGGCACACTCAGCCAGAAGCACCATCTTTGAATTCTTGCAGCAAGGTCTGCTCTTGCTGGAAAGTTGGGAATTAAGTTGCTCTTCCCTGTGCTCACCTCCCTTCACCCCCTGGCTGGGGCAGCACAGAGGGCCCACTGTCTCCTTAACTACCCCCTTCTGCCCCATTAGAGGTGAGCAAATGACTCAGATGGAACTGGTCCAGGACATAAACTGGATTGACCTTAAGACCCTGAGCAGTGTGGGAACTTTCCTCCCCAAGCTCATCACCTCCTCAGCACACCACCTCCTCATGCTTTCTCATCCCCTTCAACTTCCACCCCCCCATCAGAAAATCACACACAGCTGTGGTTGGACGGGGTGAATCCACATCTGGCAGTGCAAAGGGGGTGACAGTGTTCCTGGTGTCCCTGCACTGCTCCCCCCTCCCCAAAGGCCTGAGAAGGGAAGAGGGACCTCTTGATAAGACAGAACATTCTGCAGTGTGAACGCAGCTACTTCACATGGCCACACTGCTCTGTGCGACTCCAGAGGGCTCCCTTCACCAGACCAGGGCCCAGGAGATGAGCAGCCTTTCTGGACACCAGGCCAAGCATTCAAAATCAAATCTCAGTTTTCTACCTTGTGGGTTATCCACAGTAACTTTTTATTTATTTTTTTAAAGATTTATTTATTCATGCATTCAAGAACCGGGGTACAGGTCAGATGTGCGAGAGGGTGAGAGGACCCACCAGAAACAGAGCGGGGAGCAGAACAGGCAGACTGACCAAAATACCCGGCTGAGGGGAGCAGCGGGCGAGACAGGCGAGGTCTGCCGCGCCGTGTGTGTTGCTCCCTGGCTGGCCGGGATCGAACCCGCATGCAGAGGCTGTGGACAGCTTCACAGCGCTGCCCTCAACCGCCTGCGCCACCAGGGAAGCCCCACAGTAACTTTTTAAAACCCCCATCAGTTCCTCCCCACCTCCCACTCTGCTTCAGGACCAACTGTCCCTTCTGTGGCTGCTGTGCCCTCAGGGAATGCAAGGTAAAGCTGCTCAAAATAAGAAAAGTTGCAATGCATTCTAAAACCTGGAGACAATAACTTTTAAAGGACCCTTTTTTGGGGACTCTATGCCCCTCTGTTAGCACGATGGGAGAGATGACTATATAGTTTTCTCGCTCAGTCATGCTAATGAGCCAGATAAATAGAAATCAGGCTGTATCTGAAAGAAATAGACCCTGAAGGCAAAAGAGTTTATACCAAAAAATGTAAATTATTCTTTCAATAATGCAGGCCCTGTACCTCTTCTAGTAGGCAGAATTACCCGGGAAATTGTCTGGGGCACTATCATTTTAGGGGCTTAGATTTTCTTTCTATAAACCTGCAGCGCTCCCAAAGCAAGAGACGCACTCTCCTGGCCCAGCCAGGGTGGCCTGCAGGAAAAAGAAATCAGAGCTGAGTGTGTTCCCAGATTTGGCATGGCACCAGGTCTTGCTCCTCGCAGGCAGTTCCTGACCCCTGTGGACGATGCCAGCGTGTTCACCATGGACCACTTCCCTCTGTGGTACCGCCAGGCCTCCGAGCAACCACCTGGCAGTTTTGTCTTCAATCTCCGCTCGGCAGAGGAATCAGGTAATCCCCGTCATGTGCTCCTGGGCCCAGGCCGGGACAGGGTCCTCCTCCTCCTGTTTTCTTAGAGGGAGACAGGAACCAGATCTGGGACAGAAGGTCCAGACACACGCTAGTGACTTTAGAACAATTACTCGCCTTCCACACACTGGCCTCCCCTCTAGCAGTCACACTAGCGTTTGTAATTTTAGTTTGGGATAGAGGAAAGAGATTTGACTCACATATCAGAACTGGATTCCAGCTTAATTCCTGAATGTGAGGATATTGGAATAATTGATCCCTGTGGCTTTTTCATTTCTAAATACCTGAGTGTCTTTGAAACTTCTTTAAACCACCCATTAGATAATGACAGATTGATCCCATGGGTACTATGCCTGCAGAGCTCCCTGCTCCACTGGCAGGTGCACTGCCCTGCAGGTGCATTGCCTTGCCCTCCGGATATGCACTTGGAGAGACTATAGCCTGGAGAGGCTGAGGGATGGTCACGGGCTGAGCAGCTGTGGCGGAGAAAGCCCCCCACTGGGTTACCTGTGGGAGAGCTTGACTCCAGCCCAGTGGAATGAGAGGACCCAGAAAATGTCCACAGCCAGGTGGGAGTGAGGCGAAAAAGTCGGAGAAGAGTGGAGCATCTGACTGGAGACGGGCGGGCTGGGAAGAAACTTGGAATGAGGCGTTGTGCTTCCCCTTCTGGAATCCCTTCCGCCAAAACCCTTCCAGCCACCACCTCCACTCACACCGTCCTCAAGCGTCCTGATGGAGAGATGCCCTGAGCGGACAGCGGGGAGCCCGGGGCACACAGGGACTCCTCCTGAGGGTTGTAAGCAGCAAGGATTGGCTCCCTCACACTCCCGTGCCCCTCACCTCATGCGGAAGCCCACTCTCCTCCTCTGCCTGAGTTCTCTGCCTCTCTGCCTAGTGCATCCCTGTTTTTGGTCTACAAAACTCTCTTCCATGCAGAGCTCCTTCCATCTGCCCTGTAAGGAAGTGTCGAGCCATCCTTCTTCCAACATGGCCCGCTCGGAGAGGTCCTGTGCCTTACCCAAGATCACACAGCCAGGACGGCACAGACTGAAATCAAGGGCTGCCCACCTAGGTCTGGGTCTTTGTAGCTCTCTGAGAGGAAGGCAGGGAGGGTAGGGAGGAAGCAAGCGCTGTTTCCCCCAGGGAAAGCCCAGAAGGAGTTTCTCAAGGCCAAGGTGAAGGACTGCTCCCCACTTTGCCCACCTGGTCAGAACGAGGCAGCCCTTTCTCCCTGGAACCATCCATCAGTGCCACCAACCAAGGAGGGGCTTCCCAGGGCCCTGGGCAGCTTTCTCTGGGAGGCGCCTGGCCCTGACCTAGAGCTCTGGCTTCCCCCCTGTCCCACTGTCACCAGGATGTGCCTGCTGGCTGCTGGGAGCTTTTGTGGCAGTGAGGTAGGTGGGCAGGTGGGTGGGGAACTGAGTGCAAGGAGAAGAGAGGGAAGCTGGCACCCCCAAGGGGGACTGTTGAGTAGGGAGGCAGGAGCTCACTCTGCTCACACCCTCGCTCACTGGCTTAGCTCATACATATGCTCAGAGTCACCGGGACACCTCTGCACACACTCATTCTCCCCCAAAGAGGGAAAACAACAGCTTCATTTTTATGGGGGTGAGGGAGAAACCCTGAGGAGGAGGAGGAAGAGGGGGAGACAGCTCTGGGGTAAGCGGAGACTCCCACTGCCTCTCCGGGCTGACTCTGCTGCCCTTTGCCTGGGCCCTGTGGGCTGCGCTCTGCCCACGGGGAGCTCTTTTGCAGCCAGTGCCAGCATAGAACGGTGTTGCCAGGTGGTTCTGGCCTGTTACAGGGGCTTCCAGAGCCCTGCTTCTGGCCCCACCAGAAAAGGGGAGCCTGCTCATTTACTCCAGGCACTGGACCAGGTGCCTGCTAGGTAACCCAGGTGTTGAAATTCCTGATGTCTCCCAAGATGGTGCCTTTCGGGTGCCAGCACCCTCGCTTGTGTGGCCTCTCAAGCTTATGTGGCAAGAACGCACACACAATGGCACGTCTGTCTCAGAAAGCAGCCTGCAGGCCTGAGAAAACTGCAGGGGGTCATACCCTTCCATATCTTCTAGATATTTCTAGAAAGGAGATGAGGAAGCCAACTTCTACGTCTGTCGTGGTGCCTGTAGCTCGGTCATGGCAAAGTCCTAGAATCAGCACATTACATATACTGTAAGTTCCTAGGATCAGCATTGAATTTAGATTTCTGTGAGGTATTTGGCTACAGCAAAGTGTAAAACAACAGCCAGAGAGACCAGCGGACATGTAAGTTCCCTTCCAACTGACGTGTATTATTATTGTCTCCACACAAGAGTCTCTTAACCTGTTTGTTTCAAGCAATATTTGATACAAAGACATTCTAACACAATGGCACATGATCAAATTCCATGCTTCTCTTGGAATTTTTACCAGTAGAATTTGACCGTAGACAAGAGTATTTTGAAAAGCTAACCCAGGGCCTTGGACTGATGAAAATGAAGGAGCTGGGGGTCAGGTGCCAGCCTGCACCACCCCAGAGTCAGAGAGCTCTGTCTAAACGTAGAACAGAAACTGCCACTGAGTTCTGCGCCTCTGGGGGCCTGATTCTGCTAAAGGTAGAAAAACGAACTCACCAAGGCCCCCTGCACCGTGGGAGCCTGGCAGAGAGCCCCACCAGAGTAGCTGTCACGGGGGCTGGGGGCTGTGGTGTGGGGGTGGCAGGTCGGCCTCGTCAAGGATTTATGGAGTGCCACGGGTGTGCCAGATGCCAGCAGCCTGCAAGCCAGCACGGCCCCAGCATCTGGCTTCCGAAGGCGGCTATCAGGGTCACCTGCCTCCTGACTAATGAAGGACAATCCAGGATCAGCCACCACTGAGCCCGGGAACACAGCCCGCTCCTCCACTTGAAGGGATCGCTGGACACCACGCAAGTTCTCCAGTGGGGCTTGTGCCCAGAGGACAGTGCAGCAGGGTCCCTGAGCTCCAGGGAGGGGGCAGCAGGCAGCAGGTCTGCTGCCCTGGGACAGAGCAAAGTTGCAGTGTCCTAATCACTCTGGCAGCGCCCAGGTGGCCAGGGACCAGGTTTATCTGGCAGGTTTGAATCTGTACAGAACAGTGGGCAGCGCCTGACCCTTCGGAGGGGTCCTGCAGAGACGGTGGTCAGTGATAACAGAGCCACCCCAGAAGTCTAAAGACCCCTAGCCTGGTTTTTATACTTGCCTTCTCGGCCTCCCCGTAAACACTGGTGCCGAGAAAGTGACTTGGCAATTTTTGTTTCTCCGGAAGGTCTGGGGGAGCCCGTGGCTGTCACGGCGAGCACAGCGGTGGCCGTGACGGTGGATGAGAAGACAGCCATCGCCGCAGGTAGGAGCTGCCCTCTGTGCCCTGACGCCAGGAGGTTGTGAGCCAGTGTCAAAGACAAGCCCCACTGTAAGAGCAGGAGGCCCTGCGTGTGGTCTGCAGGGCCCACGTGCAACTCTAAGTTTTCCCAGGCGGGGCTGAGGAGGAGAGTGTGCGTTTGTTTATAAGAATGTTTTGTTTGTAAGGCCTGAGGCCTAAAAGAATCTTTGACCTGAGTAGAAGGAAGCCCAGAGAGGTTAAGACATCTGCTCAAGGCCACACAGCCCAGACCTCCTTTCTAAGGGTAGGAGGTCTGGTAGGGTCCTTTCTGCATCTCTCCTCCATCGGCTTGGGCGCTGGGGCCCACTGAAGAGAGAACGGGGCTCGTGATTCAAACCCAAAGGCTAGAGCTCAAGACATCTGTTCCATATGTGCTAGTGATGCTGCCCGCCCCCACCCTCTCACCCTCCCCAGGTACATTCTCTCTTAGCCCTCAGGGTGATCCAAGGAGCCCATTTTGGGGGGCCCCGTTTGACACATGAAGGAACTGAGATGCAGGAAAGTGATTTGCTCAAACCCCTGCAGCTAGAATTTGAACTGCAGTCTCCTCTCTTTAAGGCCCAAATTCACTACCTTGCTTTGGAATTTACACAAATGTGATGACAGTGGGGCCTGACTGGCAGCTTCTCCGAGCTTCTCGCCTGGGGCCTGTGTGCCTGGCCCTGTGGGGGGCCTCCTCCACCTGTTTGCAGCTTCCATGCCTCAGACCCACTATGATCTCAAAAGTTGTTTGATCTAGTGGGCTCTAAAGCCTGAGCCATCAACGTCCCCCACGTCTGTCTGGCTTCCTTGCCGCTCGCCAGGTGAAGGTGGAGCTGGGGTGAGCGGGAGTGGCCAGTCAGGCAGGATCTGTGCATCTTCTCTCACCAGGTGGAACTGCAGGCAAAGGGGGTGGGGCAAGTGGGCTGGAGTCAAGCAGAAGTCCTCTGACTCTGTCTTCCTGCCTCAGGGAGGGCCCAGGGCTGTCCTGAGCCAGGGCCAGGGCTGCTTTCCACCCTAGGGCCAGAGGAGCAAGAGAAAGAGCCTGGGTCTCACGTGGCTCAGCGCCCTGGTTAAGAAGCGCTGGCATCTCTGGCAGTCTGCAGGAAGCACCTCCACAGCCATCGGAAGGGCCCCTGGCATCTGCACTGCCTTTCATCCTTAGTCCATAGTGTGCTAATCTGAGGCCCATTTCTAGGCCAAAATTTCACCCCAAGCTTGTCTCCCTAGAGAATGTTCTACGTGCCTGTTCAGCTCCCTCTGTGACTCAGGCCTTCCCAACTCCTGTACATCTGAAAGTCCACGAAAGAGAAGAGACACAGGGTCAGGTTGCCGGCTGTGCTCTCCTGTGCTCTCCAATTATTTGATATCATTTTTAACTCAGAGCGGAATTAGAGCCGTGAGGGGTTGCCATAGAAACTGTGTCCTGGTGCCTCTGGTTTAACTCACTGCAGACAATCGTTCTGATGCTCTGGGGTGCAGAGATGTGATAGGGAAAGGATGAGGCACTGCAGACCTTATACCTTAATTTGGGGGGAGAGTCTCCTTTTGCAATTATTTTTTCTTGGCTGCTGGCTCAGCCTCTCTGAGCCTGGGGCAGAGTGGGGCCTGTAACTGAAGGTAGCTTGTTTGCTGTCCTGGCAATTTCATCCCTTGAGAAGTGGTGGCACCATGTGATGTGGGCTCATGACTGATGGGTGCGCTGCACGTGTGATGTTTGGGCACCGAGCAAAGGGAGAAGGAAGGGGAAGGCACTGGGCCCAGTGACAGGACCCAGTTCTGTGCCAGGCAGGTGTGGGTGCGACAGCAAGTCTCCGACAGACAAATGAATGAATGAATGAATGAGGATGGGAACATGGTCATCTCTTAAGCAGGTGATTTACCAACAGCTGATATAAAATTTCTAGACAGCTACCTTTTTGATAGGATCCATTTTCAGTTCTGCATGTCCTGCAGGCCTGGCTGGCCAGGTGTGGCCAAGCATAATGGCATAGCTCGCCCTAAGCCCTGTGCTGGGCCTGCTGTCTGGAGCAGCAGGAAGGCTCCGCTCCCTTGCCTCCAGACCCATGCGTACGCGAGAGCCGCAACCTGAAGGTTGTTTCCCTGTGTTACCCAGAACTGTGCCAGTTGATGAGAGCTCTGTCCCTGCTTCCATGGAGGGTCTTTGGGAAGTGGTATCTCAAGTTTGCTGTCACTGTTAGGGACACAGGGGAGCAGCCCCAAGTGCCTCACCCCCTAGGAAAGCTGGGCCACCCAGTTCTGCCAGGACTTCAACTCAACTCGAAGAGTGGGGACCTTGATGGCTCCCTTATCCCGGGGCTTTCTCCTGGCTTGCTGGGCTATTATCCAGCAGAACACTCCTGGGAAGGAGAAAATTCCTTCTTGTTTCTCTCTCTCTCTCTCTCTCTTTTTAATATTTATTGATTTGTGCATACAAGAACTGGGGTACAGGCCAGAGGTGTGGGGTTGAGAGGATTCACCAGAGACAGAGTGGGGCACAGAACAGGCAGATTGACTGAAATATACTGCTGAGGGGAGCAGCGGGTGAGTCAGGTCTGCTGCGCCATGTGGGTTGCTCCCTGACTGAGGATGGAATTCATCCTGCAGAGGCTGTGGACAGCTTCATAGCATGGCGTCTTAACCTCTTGTGCCACCAGGGGGTTAAGAAGACTAATGGTCAGCAAGAGGCTGACCCAGCCCTGGAGGTGGGTTACCAAGTTTGGGAGGCCTTGCTGTGTTGCTCATTTCCTCTTCTGCCCTCAGTCCCAGCTGCCCCCTTCCATAATTCTGACTCCCCACTGCTGGGCCCTTAACAGGGAACATATTTGTAAGTCCGGGGTGTTGTTTGCCTGTCCCTAAAGTCATCTGAAACCCAGGATGGCAACAAGTTATTCGGGCTCCTCCATGTCCTCAAACCCTGCCGAACTCAGCGAGGCTGGTAAAACCTAGTCTGCAGAATTCTCCCTTGCACTGCTCTGAGTTACAGTGAGGTGAGGCCTCGGGCAGATGGGCCTACCCCTCAAGGGCATCTACCCTTGGCTGCCAGGCCGATGAGCTCCCACAGGACCCAGAGAAGTGCCGGGTCTCCAGATCACCCTCTTTACCCCCACAGCACATTGTTGCCCCGTGAAACATCGATCCCGCAGGCTAGTGCGTGGAGAGCTGGCTGCAGCTACAGACGTCAGGCCTTAGCCCTCCGCGCTGCGGCCCCCACCGCCCTCCCCTCCGGCCCCAGCAGGGCCTCGGCAGGCTTCTCGTCTGTCTCTGGAGCTCGGAGCTCAGGGGGAAGTCCAGCAGCACTCTGGGCAGCTGCCCAGGTTGATGAGGAGGCAGGAAGTGACTGTAGCTCCCACATCCCTGCCTGCCCAAGGAAACCAGGAAATACATAGGAAAATACAGTCTTTATTGGTCTTCTGAAACAACAAACCAGAAATATAATTTTGCCTTTAAAAATCTTCTGTCTCAGGCTGCTGAAGGTGCCACCATGGACAAGGCCCGCCCCTACCCCTTTCCCTTTAGAAAATCCCCAGATCTGGCTTCAGCCCACAAGCCAAGAAAACTGTGCCCCAGCCTTGGGGCAGAAGACAGCGTGGGGGGCGTGTTAGCAGCCTGACAAGCAGCCTGTGGGGGCTCCCTCCGTGCCTCCCCTGCATCCAGCCCTCCTCACCGTTCACCTCTCTGTGAGGTGGAAGGGCTAAGGGGTGCACGATGAGGGGGACCTGCCCTGTTCCTCTGCAAACCCTTGTTCTCAATGTTCTGGGTTTTCTTCGAGCCGGAAACCAGCCCTCTGAGAGCCATGGGAAAGCCGGTGTCCAGCAGAGGGAGGCCTAGTACTCACCGGACATCAGACTCACGAGGGGGGACAGACCTAGAAAAGGAGACTAGTGATTCCTAAAGCCCTGCACAACTTTCTTCTCCCCTGCCACCCCCACAGCCCTGCCAGCAGACACTTCTGCCCCTTTGGTGTAGGTTACAGATAAAGAACAGACGGGACCTCTGGCCCAGGCTCAGGTTCGGACCCAATCCAGGTGCAATTGAAAGTTCTGAGCAGAATGGGGCTGCTGGGGTCTGCTGGCAGGCTGGGAGCTCCCATGAGGGCCCCCACACTCTGCGCTGCGACTCACTTCCCCAGAATGCCACCAGTCACAGAGCATGAGCCAGTCCCCTCCCCGGGGTCATGGGCCCAGAGGTGCTGAGGATGGAGGGGTGAGAGTACAGAGCATGACTCTCGGGCTGCAGGCTGCAGGAGTGAATGGGTGTGTGCCCCACGGGCCTGGCAGTGACGGCATATTTAGGCAGCCCAGTGGTATGTGGCTGGGCTCTGGGAGGCTGCCATTCACACATGCTGCAGCTTCAAGGCCACTGGGCCCGTGTCCCTGGAAAACCCAGCAGGTTAGGTGTGAGAGGGTTACCATGGTGACGGGCAGTCTCATCCTGCAGCACCACTTTGGCCCACTTTAGAGGATCTCAGAGGAATCCTTGTGGTATTAGTTTGGGCTTCTCCCCCCTGTTGACTTGAGAAGATTCCAGTAAGCAAGTAAAAGTTTCTGTGGTCTGAGGGCTAGAGATTCGAGGGGAGACATGACTCTGCTCCCAAGTTCCCAGTTCCCATGACCTCTGTCTCCATGTGATACTGTGTGTGTGTGTGTGTGTGTGTGTGTGTGTGACTTTTTTCAATGAGATGGTGCTGGTGATGCTCTGAGCTTGTGAGAGTGAATTAGTGAGCCCAGGAGCAGTGTGGCTGGGTGGTCTAGAGCAGATACAGGGGCTGGATGCCTCGGCCACGGAGCTCTATCCTCACAGCGCGGTGTTAGGGCTGGGGCCAGATGACAGGGTTGGTGTGATTGCACGTTAGTACCAGCAATTGAAAGCTGAACCCAACTTCCACCCTAAAGGAATTTAAGAATTTCTTCCTGGCTTAGAAGAGTCCCAGAAATAGCCACCTGGCCCCCATATCACTTCCTCCCTCCCCACCCCCTAATTGCCGATGAGGAAGGGGTGAGTAAGAGGAAGGAGGGTCACCCAGCTGCGACAACGTCCACAGCAGGTGGCCAACAGGGGGATGCTGCGTCCAGAAGCCTCCACTTGCATACACACCCTTTCTTCCCCATGACCAGAGGCTTAGGGGGCTCCCCCAAATGTCCCAAAAATTTGATGACCCAGAAAGGAGCAGCAGCAGCAGCATAGTGGAGGCTTCCGAGGAGACTTGGAAGTTCATGGAGACAGCTGCCCTGTGGCCTGCTTGCTGGAGGGCTGCAGAGGAAGTAGCATTGCGGGGCTGGGATGAAGGGCGGGGCCAGCCTTGTGGAAGCCACCCCTTCCGTGCTCTCCCTGCCCTGCCTACCTGGGCCAGGAGGGACTGGGCTTTCATGCTACAGAGGAGATCTGCTTCTGCTCTTCATGCTCGCCCTCCGGGTCCCCCATCAGGGGCTGGCGCTTTTTGAGCTCCCGGTGGTACTTGGCCATGAGGGAAGCGTAGATGCAGCCGTAGGCGGCGGCCACCACCATCATGATGCAGACAATGCCGCAGACCACGCCCGCGATGATCACGGTGCCGATGGCCCGCCGCACGCTCACCGGCCGGTACCGCTGCTTCTGGGGGCAGGCTGTGCTGGGCTCTGGCTCGGGCTCGGCCCCGGGCTTGGGCTTAGCGGGTTCTGGACTGGCCTTGGTGCAGGGTGGCCCAGGAATATCCAGCCCAGCCGAGCTATTCTCCTCCTCCAGCTGGGAGCAGTAGTTGAACATCTCCATGGGGACCACGCGCATGTCCTTCCCCCTCAGCTCCTTGGGCAGGGTGCAGGCAAGCTGGTCCAGGCGGCCCCCTACATCCAGGGAAGGAAAAAAGGAGGGACTGAGCAGGCATCCAACACCTGAACTCCTCTCCCCATCCCCAGGTCCCCGAAAGGAAGGGCCAGAATGACTAGCTTCTAACAGCAATGCGGTCAGCCCTGGAATCCCATCAGTAGGAGATCGGAAGAGGGAAACTAGCAAGTCTGGATCCTGGCGCCATGGGAGGAGATGACCAGAGAGCAGGCCATCTAATCCATGCCGAAGCCACGTGAAAGGAATATGCTCATTATCCGTTGTGTAGAAAGCACACGGCCATTCCAGTGAAGACTGCCTTCTCCAGAGCCAGACTGCCCGCGGGAGGAGACAGTGGTAGCAGGTGCGGGCGCTAGAGAAGGGGCAGTGCAGAGAGAGCCGAGGGCCCTGCCCGTCCAGTCCTGCTCGCTTCCCCGGAGCCTGCCTGCTCATCGGCCTGTCTGCAAACCCAGGGCGCTATTCGCGACTCAGGGCTCTTCCCTCTCACAGAAAGGACAGAAATCAAAAGCCATTGCTGCAGCCACCACTCCTCCATGCAGGACCTTTGGTTCCCCAAGAGCATCTCCCAGGATCAGGGAGGACACAGCCAGGGAGGAATGCTGGCTGTCCTTTTCCTTTTTAAGAAGACCTCCAGTGATGCCCCCTCAGCACCCCAAACACAGCATCTTTAACTGCAGAGGCAACTTGGGAGGGGTCCCTGAGGCCCATGAGGCATAGAAGGGGGACAGGGCTATTGAGGGGTGTGGGCAGTGATGGTGAAGCCAGACTGGACTGGGATGGGATGCAGATACGAGCACAGTGCACAGGGTTGGAGGGAATGAAGGAAAAGAAGCTGCCTGGACATCCCCTAGGAAGTGAAAGTTCAGCTTTCAGTGGAACCTAAACGCAGCCCAAGACTCCCGGTCAGTAGACGAGGCCTCCAGCCACTGTCACTGCCAATCCCCTCTCCCAGCCCAGCTGCCTCCATCTCCTCCAACAATAGACCTCAGTCTCTTCCCAGGAAGCTGATGAAAGCATCCTGGAACTTTTTTTAAGGAGTACAAGGTTGAAAACAACTCTATTATTGAAAAGTTCCCAAAACATGCATGCCTATGCCTTGCCCTTTTGTTCCTGGTGACTGTGAAAGAACAAGGCCATTTTCTAACACTGACCTGGATCTGCAGGTACTCGGCTTAGAGGCCCCCTGAGTTCTGAGCACCTGAGACCCACAGCAAATCTTACACCCGGTGACATGTCCAGGGCCACCTTTGTGTCCACAGGAGCTGGGTGTGCTGATGCAGACAAAGTCTTCCCGCTCCAAAGGCCTGAGGTTGAGTCCTGCCTGTCTTATCTTCTGCAAATTATTTGACTTATTTAATTACTTATGAGTCTTAGTTTTCTTAGGTATCAAATAAGAACAGCTATCTCAATTGGCTGCTATGAGATTAAAATAGATAATGTACTTGAAACAATAGTTATAAACTGGAACTCTGCAAGTATTAATTATTATTTCCTTACTTATAAGAATGGGAGACATTATCAGTGACTCATGTTTTATGGCACTTTATAGTTTATAAAATCTTCTTCATTAACTAACGCATGAAAATATCATGCAAATAATTGAGATTGTGACTAGATGTAGAATGAAAGGAATAAAATTAATGATAAGCATTAGCATTATTTTCACAGAGCTTTGAATGATTCATTCATTCAGAAGACATTCATTGAGCATCCATTTCATGCTGGGCACCAAACTGTGTCTTAGTAAGCCCACTTAATACTGTGACTGCTACTAGCGAATGAACAAATAAGTTTTATTGAGGACTTACTGTATGCTGAGTGCTTTTCAAGACACTTTACGTGCATTACTGGTTAATCCTCAGAATGATCCTATGAGGTGGATATTCTTATTCACCCCATTTAACAATGATGAGGAGGGTCCTCACAAAGAAGTCAATCAACTTTCTCAAGCTCACACAGCTGTAATGGGCAGGGCCACGAATCAGACCCACATCTGGCACTTTCACCACTATGCTAGCTTTGCCAGGATAGAACTCTCCCTGTTTAAAAAATGGGGCAAAGTGGGGGAGAGAAAGTAAAACCAAAACCATTTGGCTCCTTATTAAAAGTTTTAATAACAATACCTCTTGGGAAAGGATGTTGGGATCATCCTCAAAATGCCTATTTGGTTTTATCTGTGAATTTAAATCATATTCCCACTCCTGGAACTGTTGAATATTTAAGAGAATCACAGTATTAGTAAGAAGGGTGGATTTCTCCCTACTTCCAATGCTGAGGGTTTCCCAAAAGAGTACAAAGTGGGATGCACAAAAAATTGTGCTGTGTCTTCGAGTTCCCTCATGAACCCTACCAAAGTGAGATCAAGTTACAGTGAGTCAGTCTAAAAGAGAAAAGAGGTAGAAAGCAGGGCTGAAGACACAGAGGCAATAGGAGAGCAATACCAGAGGGGAAAAGTAGCACCCCATCACTGCCCTGCTGATCATTTGGAGGCAGGCCTGGGCCTGGTGGAGAGGAAGGGCCACCCCCGTCTGTCCGCTGACCTCAGCCCTGACTCAACGCCCAGCCTCCAGAATATGTGCTGAACCAGAGTGATCCTCCCAATTCCTCAGGTCCAGGAAGGACCAGACGTACTCACCTCGGTAGGAGAACCACTCCATCCAGTGCTTGAACTCACGCAGGTTACAGTCACACTCCCAGGGATTGTCCCCCACCTGCAGCAGCTGCAAGCTTGCTAGGGGTTCAAATGTCAGCCGGTCCAGGTTCTGCAGGCGGTTAGAACGAAGTGATAGGGAACGTAGAGCTGGAAGTCCATCGAAAAGGCCAGGGGGCAGCTGGGCTAGGCCGTTGATGGACAGGTCCAAGTGGCGCAGCAGGGGTGAGTGTTGCAGCAGGTCCCTGTCCAGGGTCCTGATGCTGTTATTGCGCAGCTGTAGCTCTGTCAGATTTGTCAGATCCCCAAAAATGGAGCTGGGCAGCTGGTCCAGGAAGTTGTTGGATAGGTCCAACCGCTGCAGGCTGGACAGGTTGGCGAAAGCCCAGCTTGGCAGGGCAGTCAGCTTATTGTTCAAGAGCAAGAGAGTTCGGGTGGCAGCAGGCAAGTCTGGCGGCACACTGGTGAGGCCTAAGCCACTGCAGTCCACCTCCAGGCTGCGGCTGTCACATTTACAGGAGAAAGGACAGGCAGGGAGGGCCTCCACGGCATACAGAGTGATCCAGCAGGTGATCCCTGGAGAGCGGGGGGAGGCAGAAAGGTAGGAAGAGAACGCCAGGGTTAACACCTGCTGCTTCTATCCCCTCCTTTCTAGTTCATGTCGTAACAGCCTCTTGGCTGGCTTCACTTCCTTTGGCATAAGCCACCACCAAGGCACAAACATTTATTGACCACATAAAAAGATATAATTAACAAATATGAAACACTTCTGTATTTATGAACATCACACAGTGTCAGCAGGGCCCCTTGCCTCGCAGCCCATCTGGCAAAGAGATCGCTTTAGTGGAATATGGCAGATTGTATTGAGGACAAGTGTTGCTGGTCTACACAGATGCCCCAGCACACAGGACCTCCCACAGTTGATCTCCTAGGGGGCTTGGGACGCTCTGACATCATGAAGTTGACAAAATAAAGGCTCCAAGGATATCAGATGTCCCATGTTCCTTTCCCATAGTCACTGCCAAAAGAAAATCACCGCACTGCTGTTTTCTACCCTCTGTCCTCTTCTCCACCTGGAGCTGCACGAGGCTGAGACATGCCGTGCATACAGGGGAGAGCACAAAAGGGCCTCCTAGGTGCTATCAGATTGCATGAGCCCTGCATCCAAGATGGGGCCAGTAACTGAGTGTGGGGACCAAGAGCCCAGGCCCACCCCAGAGGCCACAGTGGGGCTCATGAGGACAATATGCACAGTTATTCCATTTCCACATCGAAAAGCAGCTGGGCATGAGCCACTGCAAAGCAGGAGACCAAGACATGGTCCATAGTTATTCCCATTCTAAAGCCATCCACATCCTGAGCCTGGACTCCTTCTCCTGAGGGCTGCAGGGCAGCATTTCTGCAGGACAGGACCTCGCAGCATTCCTTTCCTCATCCATGTTTTGCCCAGGATCTCTCTGAGCAGCCAGCACAGGGCCCAGTCTTCAGAAGGGCTGGGAGAAGCATCCCCCAGAGGACATTCATAACAGAGCCGTTCATCCCACTGTCCAGCAGCAATCCTAAGAGTGCTCAAATCCTCCTTAACTGTCTCTGAAGTATCAGAGAACCTGCTCACTGGGGAGGGGAAAAGAAGTGAGCATGGGACACTTCATCCCCAGCAAGTCAGCCCTTCAACCCAGAGGAACGACCACAGCTGGGGAAGGGCTGACGCTCAGCCAGGCCCGCCTGGTGCCTCCCAGGGACACCGGTGCCCGAGACCCTCTGGGTGATATCTGGTTATCTGATGTCCCCAAGGGCAGAACTGGAAGGAACAGGATGGGGCGCTACCCTTCCCCACAACTGGCGGATCAATGACAGAGAGAGACACCTGATCCTTTTTGTTCTCAAGGGGAAATGAGCTCAAGCACGGCCCGAAAGCCCAGAGAGACCCCCAGCCCCCTGGGGTCCCCTGCTGCCACCTCTGCCCTCTCCTCTGAGCCCATGTACCACCAGGGGGTCCTGACCCACGACCCTCTCCTCCTCATTGATTTGAAAATCAATGTTCTTCAGATTTCACTTCCCCTACAAAAAAAAATTCAACCCATCAGTTTCCCTCTCAAAATGATCAACGTAACTAGAAGCCCCCCAGAAGAGGAAGTGACAGGAAAACAAGAGAAAAGCATTTTCAAAAGAGTAACCCTCTGCCTCCCTGCCCCCTCCTCCCGAGAAATTGAGGGTGGAAGAAAAGCTCTGGTGACAAGGAAACATAGTCCTGTATTGCAAGGTGTTGAGTGATTCTAGAATGAGGTTGAAAGGGGATCTGAGTTGCTCTGGGATCAGCCACTCTCTTGCGGTGAATAATTCAGGCTGCTGATGTTGTGGGGCAGCTGCAGGACAGCGGCCACGCAGGGGAGAAGCCAGGCCAAATGGTGTCCCTCGCTGGAGACCATTTCTTGCCTCACCTCGTAGCCCCAGGCAAACCATTCCTCTTTGACCTTTTCCTTTTATCTCAAATAAAGAGAATTCTTGGCACTTTTTTCACCTGACCACTTCCAAAATGTCCCTGTGAGAAATGGGGGGCCTCCGCTTCCTCACAAGCAAAAGGAGGGGTTAGATGGGGTGCTTAAGGTCGCTTCCAGCATTGCATCCCGGGAGCCCCTAGGTCCCTGCATTTCAGGGTTGAGAAAAAGGAAACAGGACATTCCAGGGTCACCCAGCCAGTGCTGGAGGCAGAACAGGAGGGCAGCTCACGATTAGAGCGACAGGCTGAGACGTATAGGTGGGGGTGCTGAGGGGTCACACAGGCAAGAGGGAGACACACCCTGTCGTGGCCTGCATGAACCACTGACATTCTCAGCCGTGGCTTTCTCTGGCTCCCGGATGCAGGCACCACAGGAAGGGCTGTAGCGAGTAAGCCTGTTCCCCTGCTCCCCGCACCCAGGCAGTGGGCGTCCTAGGTATGCATCTCAGACCTCCCTGCAGCCCGGAATGCAGCCCGCACACCAGGCCACCCCAGCCACCCAGCCCCCTTACTCACAGGAGATCTGCCGCCACTGCATGGCCCTCTGCTCGGGGCCGCTTCCGGGGGCCAGCATGCTGACTGCCGCGGCTCCCAAGGCCCTGCACCTCTGGGGAGAGACGAACCCCTTGGCGTGTGCTCCCTGTCAGTCCTGAGAGAGAGAGAGCGAGAGAGCGAGAGAGAGAGAGAGAGAGAGAGAGAGAGAGAGAGAGAGAGAGAGAGAGAGAGAGAGAGAGAACACTGAGGCAAAGCAGGCGTTCGAGGCCCTGCTCCAGCCCGGGGTTAAGGAGAGGACCCGGTGTCTCTTTACACTCAGCCTTTTCCCTCCCCAGTTCTCGGCTATGATTCCCCGGGGCAGGGGGGAGAAGAGGCATGAGGGTCAGAGGCCAGGAAACTTCAGCCTCCCATGGGTGATTGGGGGTGGCGTGGAGAGGCCATGGGGCTCTCCTGGGAGCCTTCGGGCCTGGGGCGCAGGCCCAAGCTCTGCGCTGTGGATGCAGGAAGCCCCTGCAGTGACCTCGCCGGTGGCCCCAACCCCTCTGGCCTCTCCTGGCCTCTGCCCCTCGCCTCCCGGTTTGCTGGTGTCTAAAATGCTTTCCGAGCGCCGCATCGCCTCTGTTTCTGGGCTTTTCCGTGGCACGGGTGGGAAGGCAGGAGGAGGCCGCATGCTCTTACCATGGCCCCCCGGGAGGCAGAGGCCGGCCCTCCGCAGAGTCAGGCAGCGGGTGGGGTGTGGCGCCTGGCCCGCTGTCGCTGCCGGGTGGCCTCCTGCTTCTCCTCCACCTTTACCATGGAGGTGAGCTGCAGCGCCCCGTCTTCCGCCCGCCGGTCTATAATAAGACTCATCAGCTCAGGGGTTCCTGCTGCAGCAGCTGCTCAGGCAGAAGACAGGGACACAGACGAGGGTAAGATTCCAGAGCAGGAGGGCGGGGAGCAGGCCAGGAGGTGCGGAGAGCACATTTCTCTTCCAGAGGGGACAAGAGAACCCGTCTTGCTTCAATCCAGTGACTCATAGGCAGGACAGAGTGCCCCCTCTGAGGGTCCCCCACTTTCTGCCAGATAGGGCCGAGAGCCCTTTGACGGAGACCACAGCCTCCACTCTCCAACCCCAGGCTCGGCTCAGGGGGCGGGGTGGAGGGGGGGAGCAGAGCAGGAGGGACTGATGTGGTTGTCACCGCAGCTGGCATAGGCCAGGTAAGGAATGGGAAGGGGCGGGGTGGGGAGAGAGCAAGGACTCTAGCAACAGCCCAGCCCCCCCCCACCACCCCCAAAGGACACAGTCCTCCCAGCCCCTCCTGCTTCCAAAGGGCACATTCCTTTCAACCCACTGGCTCCCAAAGGGCACATTCCTTGAACCCCCTCCTGCTCCCAAAGGGCACGTTCCTCTCAACCCACCTGCTCCCAAAGGGCACGGTCCTCCCGCCCACTGCTCCTGGCTGCCCCTGAATGTTTGACCTTCCTGGGTTTCCAGATTCATCCCTGGGTAATTCCTGGTTGCAGCCTCCCCTCTCCCCCTCCCACAGCCTGTTTAATTCTGGGAGCCCGGGGAGCCAATGGCAGCAAGAAGCCTGCAATTGAGGAGGTGGAAGGAGCTGCTGCACTCAGCTCTGACAGCTCGGCCTCGGGGAAGCGGGTTTCCCTCAGGCGTCTCGGGTCCTGCTGCAGCACAGTCCGCATGTCCTGCAGCTTCTCTCCCCCAAGGGCAGCAGCTCTGGAGCCAGGAGCCTCTGTCTGAGCCCTGAGTGGCCTCTCCTCTCCCTTGACCTCCACCTTGGGAGGGATCCATGTCATCAAGGCCTGGCAGGGGCTGGCAGCGTGGGTCACAGCAACAGGGCACAGATGGGGGCTGTGGGGAGCGGCCCGTCCCCAGCTGCCTTTCGGATGGACCCCCCCCCTCCCTAGGCTGAGAGTAGGAGAGACACTTGAGCAGCTCAGAGGCCCCTCCAGCTGCTCTCCCCGGACCAGGCCCCAGCAGGCTCAAATAGGTCATAGAGGGCCCTGCCCAGCCACTCCCTGGCTGGGTGACCCTGTAAACTCTCTGGGCCTGAAGTTTCTCATCTCAGAAGTAATGACCGTAATAGTTACTGGGTGGAATTTCTGTGAAGATCAGCCTAAGGGATAATATCTGCTATATTAAGCATCACCTTAGAGGGTAACTCAGGTGCGTGCTCCTAGCCACGAGCCCCTGGCAGAGGCGAGAAAACCCCAGCCCCTTCCTCTGCGGGCGGGGTCTCAGCTTGCAGCACCTCGAAGGAGCATCTGTCTCCTGGTCCAGCAACCTCACACCCAGCTGGTCCTTGCGCCCAAGCACTGTGTTCCTGTGCCTGTGCAGGCCTGTGGAGCCACTCATGTTGCCCCTGCCGGGCACGCACACGCACACAGCTGCACAGGCCTCATCACACATGAGGTTGCCACCCTCGGCCCCCTCCAGCCCTGACCCTCAGAACATCTCGCTCCAGCAAGAACCTTCAGTGCCAGGGCTCACAGCACCCACACAAATTAGACAGGTCAGCAGCCTCTCAAGCACCGCACTGCCCAAGGTTACACAGTAGGCCAGGCCTTCAGAGCCAGATGCTCGTCCACTCCCTGGCGACTGTCACTCAACAGAGCCCTGTAGGAGACACCTATGTGTGCACCGAGAGGGGTGCTTGGAGCTCCCAACACTGCACGTGGTGCAAACACACACCCACAGAGAGCCGTGCAGCGAGGCACGTGCTAACACACACACACATACGTGCGCACACGCACGCCTGCTGGCAGCCCTCCAGCTCCTTCCTCAGATGCCAGCACTCAGGCAGCAGGCTGGGCCGCCAGCGGTTCCCGCGTGCTCCCAGCGCAAGTGTACGGGGCACCTCCAGCCTAGAAGTCGGGTCTAGAGAAAACCCTCAGGGGCCCCTAACCCAGGACATTTTCTGTGCAGAGGGCTGCAGACTCCACGCCCTGCTCCCACTTGTCCTGGCTTCCTGTCTGGAAGCTGGAGGGAGAGTCCCACTCACCCGAGCCTGGTTCCCACCTGAGGTTCCTCTTCGAGCAGGCTCCTCTTTGCCACCCCAACCATCCGGGCCCCAGTGTCACCCCTAGTAATGAAGCCAGCGGGTGACCATCAAGCCCCAATTAGTCAGACGGTGGCCTTGGGAGGAGGTCCTGATGGCCCAAACCGGCAGGGAATGGGCATTACCTTAGAAACAAGCCAGGCAGGTCGCCAAAACACAGACCCATACATCGTCTGAGAGGCGGCGGGCACTGCTCACCCTGGATCTCTGGATGGGTGAAGCACCAGCCGCACCCCAGGTCCGGGTAGAGAGTCTGCCCCCTGCAGAGCTGCCTGCCTCCTCGGACACCGCAGCAGCGACCCTCAGGGAGATGACAGGCGTAAACCCTTGGCCTTCTGCCCACCTGCACCCCCCCACCCAGGGACCCCTTCCTGCCCCCGGAAGTATCTAGCCTCATTAGGAAAGGGGTGACCTACATTAGGAAGCTCAGAGAGCAGCTGCTGCAGCAGGCGCTGGCCGGCTGCTGGAATAAATTAACACAGTCTGGGAGGGAAGTCCCCACCCAGGGTGGAGAATGGGGAACAGAAAAAGAGTTGGGGGTGGGAGATCCTGATCTCTAGTCCCATGCCTGTGCTTACTGGACCTACTCTTGATCTTCACGGGACTTTTGGTCCCAGTACCAGAGACAGAGACTCCAGAGAGAAGGGGCCTGCCCCAGAGGGGTCCCTGGGCTGCCGCCTCTGGCTCTGCTGAAGACCAGGGATGGAAGGTGGAGCCAGGGAGCCAAAAGAAGTCATATTCTTGAGGCACACTTCGCCCCCCAGAACCCCATATATGGGCTTTGTGCTCTAGCTTCCCGCTACTCAAAGTGTATTCCCTGGACCAGCAGCATGGGCCTTATCTGAGAACTTCCTAAAAACTCAGAGTCTCTGGCCCAACCCCAGGCTGATGATCAGAATCTGTGTTTTAATTCATATGCATATTCAAGTTTGTGAAGCCCTGGGCTACTCACTTCTTTCCCAGAAGAACTGGCTTCTCCCAGACAGGGACAAAGGCCACCCAGGAGGCCATGCTGGTCTGTCTCTGGAGGCCAGGCACCAGCTAGGTTGTGGCAGAGCCTGGGGGCTCAGGGGAGGCGGGTAGTGACAGTAGCACCTCCTTCAAGAAGCCTCTGTGTGAGGAGAAACGATTCCCACAGTCCCAGACACCTGCACAGTGGAACTCTTGGTCCTCCTAACAGCTCTCCTAGGATGATATAATTGTGAACACCATTTTGCAGATGCGGGAAACTGAGGCACAGAACTCTAGCAGGTCACCTCAAATTAGGCAATGGAAGAGAACAGCCTTGTGCCCCAGCAGTCTGGTGACACAGCTAGTAACTCAGTGGCCTTAACAGGCTCCGAGTACCATGTACTGACTTGCAGAGGCTGCTGGTTGAGAGAGAAAGAGGCAGCAAAAGGGAGATGCAGCCCTTTTTGTATGGCACTTTACAGGATGCTCCATGTCCACTGTCTCACGGAGCTGAAGAGACAGGTGCTCTCACCCCTCCTACTGCAGAGACCAGACAGGGCCCCTCCCCGCCTCCCGTCTTTCCAGTATCATCACAGATGCAGTGAGGAAAAGTGTCTGGGCCAGATCTTATCAGAGGATTGGAGTGGGCTTTCTAGAAACCTTGGGGTTGGGGGGAGTTGGGTGCTGAGGTGAGAAGGGTGGGCTGGGAGCTCCGGGGAAGCCGGGGGTGGGGAGGTAGTGATGGAACAGGAGGCGAGCAGGAGGAGCAGAAGGTTCCACGTGCTCCTGCCGAGCTGAGTGGGTGCAGCATCCCCTGGAGACTTGGGGGGTGGGAGCTGCTTCCCGCTGGAGCGCCCGCCTCAGAGCCCCCCCAGGAGCAGCTCCCGTTCCCTCAAGGGGCACCTGGCCCTGGCCTCCTCGCACTTCTGTCCCTTCCAGTTCTCCAGAGACAAAGGTCAGTCCTCCCAGCAGGGTTGGTGCAGCCACCACAAGCCTGGGGACCAGCCTCGCTCTGAGGTTTCTATCATGTTCACCCTCCCGAGTCAAGGCCAGCTAGGACCCCCTGTGCCTCCACCTGGGGGTTCCTGACTCCTAGGACATTGTATTCACCCAGCCTGGGGCTCCTCCCTAGTAGGTCCTCTTAGTCAAGGGTCCCTCACTCAGGCCAGCTCTGTCCCCCTCAGCCTGGAGGACTCACAGAACTTAGAAATGAAAAGGGCCTTTTCATACCTTTTCGTTTCCTCTGTACCCCTATCATTCTGCAGAGGCAAAGGCCACAGGGGGGTGAGAAACAGGGCCAGGATTGGTGCTGTCCCCCCAGGAGGGCTGAGCAGGACTTAGGAGGGTCATCTGAGGGCCCCGTGTGTGGGGAGGGCCTGGAGAGGGTGGGGTGGGTCAGAACTGCTGTCCAGGCTGGGTTTTCCGGCTGCCACCACCTGTCTGGCTTCGGGCTTTTCCAGGAAACAGTCTAGATCCCCTTCCCCGCCCGTCACCCCCAGAGCACACACTGTCTAGGCCGCGCGGAAGCAGCTTTTCAAATCCCTATATTTGTACTTGGAACAGGCAAACCCTCCTGGTTCATTTTAAACTGCATACCCCGTTCTCACCCCCTGCTTCCCGCGCTCTGCTTTCCTTGTCAGATATTCCCAGTCCCAAACAGGCCCTCTGAGAAGTGGAAGAGAAAAGCCCCCCGAGTCAGTCCTCATGAGAGGGGAGCTTCTCTCTGCAATGAATGAGCCCTGCGTCACCCCAAAGGCCGGGATCTGAACGGCGGGCTGTGGACTTTCAGGGACCGAGGCGGCCCTGTCTGGGCTGGAGGGATGGAGGCCCTATGATAGAACAGCCTTGCTCAATGCCCTCCCTCCTCCTCCAGACACCCCACCGTCACATAAGCCCCCCTCTTCTTGCTGCCCACTCCGCCCAAGGCCGCCCTGCCATCGCCTCTCTCTCGGTCTTGGTTCCTGGAAAATGGGAGCAAGATTTGCTCTTCTGGGCCCCAGACAAAGCTTCTAGCCAAGCCCCAAAGAAAACAGATCGGTTGCTTAAGAAACCTCTCTCCTTCTCCCGCCACCCCCAGGATGGTTTTCCTGGCCTTCCTCTTTTGGCAACACCAGAGACGGTGCCAGTGGGGAAGTGGGATGGGAAGAGTCGAGCGTTTCTTGGCGGCAGGAAGCTGCTGCGGGTTTCCCTCCTGGCTGGACTTCCCCCGCCCCGTCTCCACGTGCTCCCTGCCCGCCCCTCCCCCCCGCCGATGGAGTTATCTAAGCTGCCAGGGTGTCGGTGCCAGTCACAGAGAGGCAATGCCCAACGCACCCTGACAGCCAGGTGCCAGCCTCACCGCCACCGGCCCTGGAGCCACAGACCGCAGGGCTCAGGGAAAATTCGGTGCAGCCGGAAGCCAGGCCTCCCTCGGTCCACCCTCTCCTGCGTTGTCAAAGTGGGCCTGCAGGCTCCTGAGAGCCCCATCCCACTCCAAGTCTGAGGTCTGTGCCCCACTGGGCCAGGAAACCGAGTAGGCCTGGCGTGGCTGTGTAACATGTACTCCCCCTAACCTGAGTCCAGACCCCCAGCCAGGGAAGGTTTCCTCACCCGTTTGTGGAGGGTTGGTGTGTATCTGGGGGGCCCCCTGAGAGAGTTTTCATATACCTGGTTCCATACCCCCACCTTGACCTCGGGCAGGCTGACGCAGGACCTCAGGGGTTCTCCCTCATCCACCCCCAGCCACGCCCCCACCAGGGAGGCTTTGCCCTCCGCGGTGTGGCCCCGTGTCCAGTGGGGAAGGGTTTCTTTGCACCCTCGTTCAAGGGCAGCAACCTGAAGGTCAGCAATCCCACACTGAGGGCGTCCTGCAAAGAGGCTGGGATCCTGTGGTCTGTTCCCATGCCTGCTACCCCCCAACCCCAGGTCCCATGCCCCCAGCACCCCGTATTCCACAGCACCCAAGTTCCTCGGGCTGCCTGTGCTGAGCCAGGCATGCGATCAGCCCAGGGCTCCTGGCTTCAGGCACTGGTTTCTGCAACACCCAGACCTGTCATCTGGCACCACCACGGCCCTCCTTCCGCCTCTCCCTGCCCAGCTGCCCCCTTCTTCCGCAGAATCCCGGGTTCTGTCCCCAACACCGTGGGGTGAGAGTTCCCTGCGTCCAGTCTCTTCGAGCTGCCCAGACGTCTGGTCCTGAGCACTTCCCCGGCTCCAGCCATTGCACCCAGACAGGAGGCAACAGCAGCTCCCTGCAGGGCAGAGACCGGGCAAGCCCCCCAGCCCCATGCCAGACCCCCAGCTGCCCACCAGCTCCCTACTCACCTTTCCTCACCTCACCAGCTCCTCAAACCAAGTCGTTCTGAGCCTGAGCCGGTCCCTGAGCTCCTGCTGGGATTCCTGGAGCCATCCAGACAGCGCTGCCAAGCAGCGCCAGTGGGCACCGCGTCCCCGATGCTGCAGGAGCGGGGACCTGGCACGCAGCACGCAGCTCGCAGCCCTGGAGAAGGAATGCCTGCCGCTGCCGCGCCGCTGCCAGGGGGCCGGGCTGCTGGGTCAACAATAAACTGAGGAGGGAAGAGGGAGGGCCGGAGGGAGCCGGGGAGGAGAGGGGCGGAAGGCGAGAGGAGGCGAGCGCGTGGCGTGCTCGAGCAGAGAGACGGAGCAGTGGAGTGACAGCTGGGGGTACATCTGTGATGCCAGCCACAGGAGCACACACAGGCGCGGCGCGCACAGGCGCGCGCACCCCCAGGCGCTCGCAGTCGGGAGGGCAGCGCTCACCCTGCCAATGCTCACATTTCGGTGGGAAAAGGCGCCTTTGGATTCACTGCTCCAACGCCAGGCAGAGGAAGGCTCCTTGATCTTGCACCTCCATCTTCCTTCCCAGTGCTTCTCGCAGCCCTCCCTGCCCCGCTGGCCGCACCTCTTCTGTCTCTCTCCCTTCCCTTTGGGGAAAGAGGAGCGGGATCCAGAGGACAGGGAGGGCCCCCAGGAAGCTGGGTTTGTGTCCTCTTCAGAGATATGCAGGCAGCGTCTCCTACCCTGCCTGCGGAGGAGAAACAACCCCTTCCCTCTGTCAAAGGGTGATTCACTGCAGAGGGGACATTGGGAGGGTGCTTAGACCGCCAGGGGGTCCTATAGAAAGGGACCCTGAGGCGCACAAAGCCAGTGTTGTACTTGGCCTCTCAGGCCACTGAGCCTCCATGACCCCATGAGGAGGGGGCAATGCAGAGCAGCAGGCTGACAGCCTGGGGCCTGCACCCTGGGGCGAGCCCTGGAGGACCCAGGGGCAAATGCAGCCCCGCCCCACCAGGCCTGGCCCCTTTGGTTCCCCACTCTTATCTAGATGGGGAAAACTGGCGTTCAAGATCTGGGAGGCTCCTTACCAACCAATCAGGACAAAGAAGTTGGGGAAATTGATATTCCAAGAGAAGCAAAGTGTTGTTCCAAAGGCAAAGGAAGCCAGAGGCGGGACTCAGCAAGGAGGCGCAGCAGCACCAGCACCGTCCCCGAATAACCCTTCCTCGCTTGTCTTCAGCCTGCCTGACAATCCCATGGCCTGGCATGTCAGCAGCGTGGAAGGGCTGGCCCAGTGTCCTCTCCCACTGTGCCTGCTCCCTGGAGGATTCACCACCAAGACTGTGGAGGGTGATGGAGAAGCCTCTCCACTCAGGACTCCCCTTTCTGCCTGCCCTCTGGTCCCCTGAGCAGCAAAGGCTTGGACTGCAGCCATTCTGGGGGGGAGCATCTTTTGCCTCTTGGCAATTCACCCCTCTCATCCTGCACGGAGGCTACCGGCATGGAGCTCGCTGCTCCCACCTAACCTGACAGACCTCCAGATCCTTGCTCCAGGAAAGCATATCCTTTCCTGACACTGGAATGCTCTTCTCACCCTGGGCCTTCCCCTCCTTAAAAACTCAACCCAGGGGCCTCCCTGGTGGTGCAAGGGGTTAAGCACTGCACTATGAAGAAATCCGAATCCTCTGCAGCACAAGTTGAACCTCCTGCTGACCAGGGAGCTGCCCACAGGGCACAGCAGACCTTTGCTGACTCGCCCTCTACTCCCCTCAGCAGTGTGTTTCGGTCAGTCTGCCTGTTCTGTTCCCCACTCTGTCTCTGGTGAATCCTCTCACACCCCGCATCTCTGGCCTGTACCCCAGCTATTGTATGCATAAATAAATAAATCTTCAAAAAAAAAATCTCAACCCAAAAATCTTGTGCTTTATGAAGTTTCCCGGCTGGTCAGATCACGCTTGCACTTGAGTTTCTGTCCTTATGACAGGAAAGGCAGCCAGCTTTCTGTGGAGCCTATACTGTGAGCTCTTCCAGAAAAGGGACCTGCCTCCCCCCACGCCCTAGCTCCTCGTCAGCTGAGCGAGCAATGGAGGAGAAGAAAGAACCCAAGTCCTGTGTCAGGGGACCTGAGTCTAGACTCTGTTGCTCATTAACTATTAGCTATTTGCTAATTAGCAAGTTAATGAACTCGGCAGTCCTGGCCTGGGTTTCCTGCTCTGCAGATGGAGAGGTAGGATAATGCCCACCTCTGGTCTCCCTCTTGGCACTGGCATGCATGGCCCAAGAATTCCTTGAGGGCCACCTGCTCCCCAGCTTGTGCTAGAAAAAACGGGCCCCTCCAAACCCACAGCTCCGGATTCAGTTAAATAAACAGACTCTGGGCTGGGTTTCCCAAGCAGAGGAGGAGGAAAGACAATGTAGATACGAGAGCTGGGGGGTGAAGGACGGAGCTTGTGACTTCTCAGGGCCACAGCTCCTGACAGGGATAGTGTGTGTGTGTGTGTGTGTGTGTGTGTGTGTGTGTGTGTGTGTGTGTGTGTGTGTGAGAGAGAGAGAGAGAGAGAGAGAGAATCTGGCGCGTGCGCAGGCACACAGCTGTTTTGTTTTGCCGTCTGTGATGACAAAGCAGCACTGAGGTGACAGCCAGGACGCAGAGCAAAGAGGTACATCTTGATAAGCCGTCTGCCGCCCGTGGCCTTATTGGGGCCCTTTGTTAGCTAGTCTGCCAGCGCAGATCTTAAAGAAAAGCTGCTTTGGAGGAAGGCACGACGAGATCATTGTGGAGAGGCAGGCAGAGAGTGAATGCAGGAGGAAGCCTGGGGAGGGGGGAGGCCGGGTGATTGGAGGAGGGGACCAAGGTCAAGCGAGGCCTAAAACGAGGACCCTCATGCACAGGCTTGAGGGGGCGGTCTCTTAGAAACCCTCTGGGGATGCCACCGGAAAAGCTAAATCTCTCACATTCCTCAGACCCTTTGCTTGGGTCTTCCCCACAAGTCCTGAGCATGTCTGCAAACAGCTCCATGTGACAGCGTCACCTGCACAGCGTGGGCTCACAGGAGGCTCCAGGAGGGAGGTGGCCAGCCCTTGCCAGGGCCAGCCAGGCTCTGGCCGCAACCGAGCAGAACAGGGTCCCGGCACGAAACCTGGTACGTCCCTGGGGAGAAGGGTGGGCTTTCTCGGGGTCCGGAAAAGCAAGATTTGGCTTGTGAGGCATTTGATGAACCAGATTTGAAACAATTGAAGCCCCAGAGTGCAAGTTGTTTGGTCTGGCAGGACACGATCTGTTCAGTATCTCCTCTCTACCCCCACTCCTATGTGATACCAACTCCTGTTTTCAACATCTTACAGCCCTTACTGGGAGGAAGTTCTTCTTTGTGTCTCACTCAAACTCCCTGATTCTCAGTGAATTCCCTCCTACGTCTTGGAGGGAATCAGAGTACAGCTAAGTCCCAAGGATCTCCAGGGCACATCTGTCAGAGAGCAGAGCCCCACGTGGGAGGGGGCTCAGCATGGACACAGGAGAGTGAGATCTTGCAGGACTGGCTCTCTGGGATGTGACTGAACAGAGTTCATAACTATTTGCTTATTAGGCTCAAGAAATATTTATTGAGCCCCCTCTCTGCGAGGCACTAGTCTAGGTGCTAACCCAGACCTTGTCTGGCATTAGCCCTCCCCCTACCCATTGTAATGGGATAAGACTGGCAGTAAATTGGAATAAAATAAATAATTCATGTCATTTAGAAAATAAAGAGCAATGAGATCGAGGATGGATGGTGCAGGGGAGAGGACTGGTCCATCTGTCAGGGCAGGCCTCTGTAGAGATGATCTAGGCTGAGATCTGACGGTGAGAAGGAGCCGGCCAGGTAAAATTCAAGGGGAAGAGCATTCTAGGAAGAGAAGACAGCTGATACAAATGCCCCAGGGTGGGAACAAATTTAGCATGTTCCAGGGAGAAAGTGATTCAGGTTGAAATCAGAGAGATCCGCCAGCTCCTGCAGGGCACTGTGGGTTCTATTACAAAGGAGTTCAGTTTTTGTTCTAAGAGCGATGCGGGAAGTGTCAAAGGGTTTTAAGCAAGGGAATGACTTGACACGACCTTCTGAAAGATCACTGTCATGGCTACATGGAGAACAGGCCATGAGGAGCGAGGCGTGGGGAGCAGGAAAGTCTGGTGCATTCATCCAAGTGAGAGAAATGTTGGTTTGGCCCAGGGTGATAGCAGCGGAGGAGGAGGGAGATGTACGAATAAGGGCTGCAGAACTTGGATACTATGGATAGCACCTAAATAGATACATGTGCCCCAGGGGGGGATGTCTCAAGGAGGGTCCGGTTTTGGTAGGACAAGCCAGTGTTCAGTTTTGAACATGTAAACTTGAAAATGCCTATTGGTGACCGAAGTGGAGATGTTGCTAAGCAGATGGAATGGCCTAAATTCTACAAAGGATATCCAGATAGGAAGTCACAGATCTTAACCTTGGAGGCGCTGAAGGAATCTGGCAGAGGAGAAAGCACTCTGCACGCCTCTCCCCACTTCGACCCCAAAGCTTCAAAATCCTGTTCCATTATGGAAAACTTAGCCCCTATCCTCTCAAGTCTCTCTGTGTTAGGATCATAGAATTTCTTACAGCTCAGGATCTCATGATTCTGAGACCTGGCACTAAGCAGAGTCTTATTCCAGGAATAACTCGAGAGCTCTTTGACCACTGAAGTTAAAAAGGGGTCAATTACACTTTTCTGAATCCCAGAGATTTGATCATTCGAAGCATTAGTGTGACTCCCCTCTGAACATTTTTAGGAATCTTCCTCTTCTACTCAGCCTTTTTCTACAGGTGAAAGAAATCTGTTTAATTGAATATCAAGGGTGGTCTTGATAGGATGGATTAAAGGAAATGCTGAGGGGCCACCTGCAGCCTCGGAGAGAAGTGTCGGGGAAGAGGAGTCAAGGCAGCCAGTGTCAGGCTCCCAAACACACGCCAGACACAGATCTCATGCTGCATCTGTAGCTCTTGGCTTTGCCAAGAACCAAGATATGGGGTCTCCCTGGTGGCACAAGGGGTTAAGACGCAGCACTATGAAGCTATCCACAGCCACTGCAGCATGAGTTCAATGCCTGGCCAGGGAGGTTACCCACATGGCGCAGCAGACCTCTCCTGGCTCACCCACTGCTCCCCTCAGCAGTGTATTTCGTCACTCTGCCTGTTCTGTTCCCCGCTCTGTCTCTGGTGAATCCTCTCACCCCCCGCACATCTGGCCTGTACCCTGGTTCTTATGTAAAATGAACAAATAAATCTTAAAAAAAAGAAAGAAAGAAAACCCCTCCAGTGATGGCCCCTGCGGTCACTGTAGAATGTCTCACCAATGCAGCATAATGGCTAAGAAACCAGGTCCACTACCATGTCACGGATGAAGACACTAAAGCCTGGAGTGTGAAGAAGGCTTGCTCTTGCCTTGAAACTCCTTCCTAAGTCCAGACCTAGAGTGGGAGCCAGGAGACTAGAGGCTAAGAGCCCTAGAGATGGACCCGGCGTGTCCTGAATCTGTGTTCAGCAGCTGGATGACACGGGAGCATGTAAGCCATGTCAGCCTCCTTGTCCTGTAAGGCTGAATAATCAAAGAGCTGGTCTGCGGTATGGGGGAAATAAATTCATGGATGTAAAGGTGCCTGGTACTCAACACATCTTCCATATTGTTATTCCAGATGGTAGGAAATCCGTCTAGATTAATTGATTTAAATACAACTTGCCTTTTCTTTCTGTTCTCTGCCCCCACTTCTCTCCGTACATGAGCGCCAGCTTGGATTCCTATTTAGGAGTCAAAGAGGCGTCAAGTATCGTTTCGTAGGTGCCTGCGAGTAGGGCCAGATCTGTTGAGGACTGTCAGCAAGGAAGGAGACTCCTTACAAATAGGGGGGAGACCCTACATGGGAATGGGGTATAAGAAAGGTTGTCACGTCACACTTGAAATCTAAGAACCCTCATGAGTTGTCCAAGTGGCAGTGACCCTGAGCCCTAGTCTCAGACCACCCCCTTTTGGTCACGTGACCTTGAGCAAATGGCTCCAACTCTGTGGTCTCCAATTTTCCATCTGTGGGAAAGGAGAGCGTAGTCTGCTCTAGCCTCTGCTTTGAGCTCCCCAAATCTGAGCATGGATGCCACTCTGTAGTTCTCCAGAACTCCGACCTCATCTTTCTCCTGGGGCATGTTGTGCATCTTTCTTCTGCTGGGGGATGCTGGAAGCCACTGCTCTCTCTTCTCCCCTGTCCTCTGCTCCCTGGTTCACGTGCTGCGCCTGCTCCTGCCTCAGCTCTCCATCCCCGTGGTGCCCACTGCTAACTGCCCCCACCCCCGTGCCTGCTGATGGATGCGCCTTCTTTCTTTAACTTGAATCTATTTTTTTCTCTCACCATCTCTTCCCGCCCCCCACCCCCCTCCCCCAAAACACACACTTGGTCCTACCCTCCCTCTCCCTGCTTCCTTGCAGCGGTGGGCATCCACATGAGACTGGAGTTCCTGAGACACACGTTCTGGGCAGTGACACAGCAGGTGGGTGTGATGGTGTCTGCCTGGTCAGGGCCAGAGGACTCGCCAATGGGAGGAGGGGCCATAGGGGGAGGGGCTGGCCCTCAGGCCCACTCGGCCCAGGAGCACTCCTGCCTCTCTCCGCACTTCCTACCCCTCAGTCTGCTCTCCTGGATACTCTCCCTGCCGCCTTTCTTGGATTCCCCCGTCCCTCCACTGGTGACCTCCACCTCTGGCCCCAGCCCGCTTCATCCCCTGCGAAGGGCACAGCGTGCTCCTCAGATCCTGACCTCATCTCATTCCATCTCTGCCCCCCAAAGCCAGCTGCACAGTCCCCCTCAGGGCAGAGTAAAGAGAATGCTTGCCTGGGGGACTCCAGCCAAGATCCAAGCCTTGCCCATTGTCATGCAGAAACCCTCTACCTTGCGCACAGGCCTCCTGCCCACCCAGCTGCTCCCTTCCTACCTCCCCCCCCACCACCCCAAGCCTGCAGACTGGGCTCTTCCGGCCTCCTCCCTCTCCCCATCATTGCTCACAGTGTCCTCTGGTCCCAAATCTGCCACCACAGCACGAAGCTGCCTTTCGTGTTCTGCTGTGTCCTTACCTTGAGCCAGTTTAGCGCTCTTGTAAATGAAGCGGGAGGGAGGCCCAGTCCAGCCGGGGTCACCCACCACCTCATGAAGGATGAAAAACAACAGGAGCCTCCGAGAGGCCCCATAAGTCACTCATGAGGCTTCCAGCGAGCAGCTGAGCTCCCTGACCAGGGCTGCAGGCCTGGCTCCCTCAGAGGAGACCAACTGTGGGTGCTTGGGATGCTGCCAGCCAGCAAGGCCCCTGCTTCTCTGTGCCCTGACCCCATAACACGCCCCCGACAGACAAATACCCTGCCCAGACAAGGCGCACACCATGTACACATCCTTCTGTCCACACCAACACCAAATACAGCACACACGTGCACACACAGCACCAGTATGCTGTGAACACACTTCCGCCGCTCCCCACACATGAACACACACACTCAGACACACCAGTGTACCACACATGCACACCACACATACACAGCACATGCACGCACCCACATCTACACCACACTGCACACACGCAGCCACACGAGCATCCACATCTTACGAGTCTCCTCTTCCCTCCAGTGCAGCACTTCCGGGGGGCCATGCCCAGCCAGCTGCCAGGATGGCGTAAGTTCTTCCCTGTGTGGAGAGGGCAGAAATGAGAAATGTGGCCCCAAAACTACGTCCCCTCAATGATCCAGGTTCCCCCTTCTCCTGTGGGCCCTCCTGCCATGCCGCGCCCCACAGAGGGGCCCTCGTCCCTGACACTGGGGTAGTGGGCGGCCTTTGCAGACCCTGAGGAGTGGTGGGGCCAGCAGCTGGGCCTGGCCTGACCTCCACTCTGGGCGCCCCCCAGGACCTGGCCTGCTTTGTCATCGACCACAATGGGTTCATTCTGATCTCGGAGAGGCCGCAGGAGGTAAGTTCTGGGGGTCGTGGAGTTAGCGAAGGTCAAGTCATCAAGCAGACACATCAGTCAGAGGAACAGCCGCTGCCAGGGAAGTCACTGTGGCTTAGAGCCCATGGAGTAAGAGGCCTGAGGAAAATGGAGACACTCTGGACCCAGGGCCAGTATAACGAGATGACGAAAGTCAGATGGGCAAAGAAAATGCTCCTTCCTTCTGTCACGACCTGTGTATCCCGTAGTGGGAGGGCGAGGGTCTGTGCAGCAGGGGAGGCTCAACCAGGCTGCATGTCAGGCCCGTGTGTGACTGTGCCCCTGGCTGACCTAACTCTTGAGGGGCCACCTCTTTGGTGTAGATATGGCTGGCGGTCGGAGTCCCCAGCTCCTCCTATTGCCCAGCACCTCACCCCCTCTGCCCTCAAAGTTCACTCAAGCTGCTCCATCAAAACCACACACCAGGAGGCTATAAACATGGAGATCAGATGGGATTCCAGCACGGTCAGGTGAGGGCCCTGTTCCTCATCGTACACTCACCTGGCAGAGGGATGGGGGTGCCTCTGGAGACTTATCAGGGTATTAACCTCATTCGTAAGAGCTGTGCCCTCATGGCCTAATCATCTCCCAAAGGCTCAGGCTTCTGCCATCAGCTTGGGGGCTAGGTTTCAGCGTGTGGATTTGGGGAAGGAGCACATTCAACCAGATGAGCGTGGCTTTGTTCTGCTACAACTTAATGCAGACACTGAAATTTGAATTTCATATATTTTCATGTGTCATAAAATTTTATTCATCCTGATTTTTTTTCCAATCATTGGAAAATAGAAAAACATTCTTAGCTCCAGGGCTGGCATGAGTAGACACGGGAGGGATCCAGCTCGTGGGCCTCCTTTTACTGACTCTGCTCAAGATGCAGCCAGGACAACCTCGCAAGGAGGGGAGCCCATTTCAGGAGAGGCCTCTGACTGACAGACAGCCCCCCAGAGGGGCCCTCTGCATAATCCACTGGGTGACTTTCATCGGTTCTACCCAGACCACACTTGTCCATGTATTCACAGTTGAGGGATTATTGGGTACAGCTTTGGATAATACGACATAGCAAATATATTCAGAGGTTGGTGTTTTACAAGGTATTTGTTTACATAGCTTATTTACCCCTAAAGTATTATCCTTTGTTTTTCTTTTGTGGCACACAGATGATAAACATTTATTTCTCAGTTCTGGAGGCCTGGCCGTCCAAGGTCAGGGTGCTGGCAGTTCAGTGTCCGGTGAGAGAAAGCTCCACTGGTTCATAGGAAGCTGTCTTTGCATTGTGTCCTCACCTCGTAGGAGGGACAAGAGAGCTCTCTGGGGTCTAAAAAAAAAGACTTTTTTTTTTTTATACTAAAATATACAAGACTAAAATTTATTCCCTTAACCATTTTTAAATATACAGTTCGGTGGAATTAACTACATTCATGCAGTTATACAATCGTCACCACCATGCAGGCCTTTTCACGTCACAAAATGGAAACTCTAGGCCTACAGGAAAATAACTGCCCATTTTTCCTCTCCAAACTTTGGCAACCACCTATTTATGATCTTCTTACATTGGATGTCGTTTTAATAGCCATGCCATAAAACCCAGGCAGAAGATCTGAATAGGTATTGTTACAAAGACATGCAGATGGGCAACAGGTACATGAAAAGGTGCTCTGCATCACTGATCATCAGAGAAATGCAAATCAAACCCACAGAGAAAGATCACCCGCACCTGTTGGGATGGTAATCAACAAAAAGACTAGAAATAACAAGTGCACGGAGGATGTGGAGGAAGGAAACTCTTGGGCACTGTTGGTGGGAATGTAAATTAGTAGCCAGTATAGATAACAAGATGGAAGTTCCTCAAGAAATTAAAAATAGAACTACCATATGATCCGCCAATTCCACTTCTGGGTATTTATCCAAAGAAAATGAAAGCACTAACTCAAAATGACATATGCATATTTATGGCAGCATAGTTCACAATAGCCAAGGCATGGAAACCATCTAAATGTCCATGAATAGATAAATGGATAGAGAAAATGCAGCCTGCGTGCATACAGGGAATATTATTCCACCATTTAAAAAAGAAGGAAATCTTGCTTTTGCAGCAGGGTGGAACCTCAAGGGCTTTGTGGTGAGTGTATTTCTTTAGACAGAGAAAGGGGAATACTACATTATCTCTCTTATATGTGGAATCTAAAAAAGACACAGGTTCGTAGATACAGAATACAGATTGGTGGTTGCTAAGTGAGGGGGCGGAGTAGAGGCAAGAAATGGGTGAAGGAGATCAAAAGGTAAAAAGGAAAAAATAAGTCATCCCCAATCCTGCCAAATGAAGCAGGATGCAAATAAACGGAAATTAATCTTTGAAACAGGGTTGGGAACTTCTAGAGGAAACTCCAGAGCCCCAAGCTCCCACTGTGCTTGTCACCCTCACCCCTCACACAGTCCAGGCCCGCCTCCTCACCCCCCACAGCGAGGCCTGCAAGGCTGGGGCTTCCCCTCCTCCATGGTGATGCTCTCAGCCTCCTTTCATGACAGGGAAAATACTGAGGTTCTGCAAGATTAGATTCTAACCTGAATCTCACAGCTGCCAAAATGTCAGACCCTCAATCTAGAAAGACAAGTGAAGAGCAATATGGGGGGTTGGGGGGAGTCAAAAAAGTCTGCTGTTGAAGGAAACCAAGCTGGGAGAGCATTGGTTTTGATGGGTGTGGAGAAGTTGTAGGGCAGAGTGGGTGACCCCAGGAGACCCCGCTCTGGAAGGTGTGCAAACTGCTGGTCCTGATCCAGGGGTGTCAGCTTCCTGCCTGAGCCCCCACCCAAGGTCACCGCATTGCTACTCACAGCAGAGTTCATCCACTGTTGCACTTAACTGAGTCTTGTGTGGTTAGGACTGATACCTCTACGACCCTGAAGGTCAAGGCCTAGGAATCCTGACCCCTCAGTGAGGCCCTAGGCTCTTAGTGTCTAAGCTGTGGGTGCAGCAGCATCTCCAGGCTTCCGGGTCCTCTTTCCCCACTCTACATGACTCTGACCCTGAGATCTGAGCTGTGTCAGGCTCTCAGAGGCCATAAGGGAGTAAGACTCTTGCCAGAAACTACAGTGGTCCAAGCGGCGCCTGGCATTATGCCCGATCCTGGGCAGATGCTTGCTGTGTGGAGAATTGAACAGTCCTAGAAGTGAGGCCTAGATGAGGTGGGGCCAGTCTGGAGAGTCATGGGGAGGCAGAGTTGGGGGGAAGCCAGATGCTGACGCTAGCTCGGCTGTCTGTCCTCCCATCTCTGCTTTAAGGAAAAAAAAAATATGGCGGCTCCTTAAAATATTATTACAGAGAGAATTACCATACTCGGCAGGAGTCCCACTTCTGGGTAAATACCCAAGGGAATGGAAAGCCAGGTCTTGAAGTCATAGTTACTTATTCCCAATAAGGTCAATGTGGGCAGCCCAAGCGGTCATTGATACATCAACGAAGGAGCAGGCTGTGGTCTGTAAACACAACGGGATATTCAACCTTGCAAGGAGAACCCACTCTCGGCTTCCATGTGGATAAACATCAAGGATATTATGCCAAGTGAAATAAGCCAGTGGTAAAAAGACAAGCACTGTCTCAATCCCACTTCCGTGAGTAGAAATGAAGTTCTTGGATCCCACCCCATAATGAGGGGATGAGGGGCTCTGAAGTGGGGCCCCTCACCCCCCCCCCCGTACTGTCTGAAACCTCAGTAAAGCTGACGTCTGAGGACCGCAGACCTTGCTGCCACGCCTGTTATCTGGTTGCACTCCCCACTGGCTGCTGTGCCCCGAGCTTCAGACCACTCTTTGTCCTGGTGCAGTTCCCTCCAGGTGTCAGCCTGTCACTGTTCCAGGCAGACTCTTCCCAGACCAACTCCCTCCAGCCCTTCCTCCTACCCAGCAAAGTGCTACAGAAGCCCCGGCACCATCTGCAGCCTCCCCGGGGGTGGGGCTCCTTGGCTCTTCCGGGGCCTGGTGGTGTTCCAGGCTGCTGATTAGACATTTGGCCCACTGGGCCCTTCTTCCAGCCCAGGCCTCATTCTTATAATAAAGAACTGCAAATGACAGGATTACAGCCCTCTATTTGGGGCCCAGAAAGAGAAGCAGACAGCTGGGCCCCAGCACGAATGACAACAGCTCGATGGATCTTCATGATGTTTACAGTGGGTCTGTCACCCTGGATCCGGGGACTCTGAGGGCTGTCACTGCCTGTGGATACCACCCACACATGGGCGCTTCAAAACGGACCTCACAGGGGCAGTGGGGCCTAGAAAATCAGTTGCTCGGCAGTGGCACCTTTCCCCGAGGACTTGAATCTCACAGAGGGCACAGCACCGACCGACCTCCCTGCCCCAGCCCAAAGCGCCCTGGCAGGCGAGGGCCTCAGGCCAAGGCGGTGTTTTTCCACCCGCATGGGGTCTCGCTTGGTTTCCCCGGTTCCCACCTCTCCTCTGCTGTCCCCCTGCTGATTGGGCACATCAGGCTGCCTTCTGGTAATCCTGGTGCTGTGCTAATGTGGGAGGAAGCTCCAGGGTCCCTGCCAGTCAGGTGCTCTTGACCTTGCCCCTCCAAGCCCCCTCCCCTCCACCTGTCTCAGCATGGGCCCAGCGCCCCCTCCCCTGGCAGCAGCTCAGGCTGGGTGCCCCAAGCGAAATTCAGCCAGTCTCCTGAGCACTGAGACGTGGCACTGCAGGCGAGGCCCCTGGCCCTGCAGGTCCAGGGGTCTCCAGGCAGCTCCCGCAGGAGTGTGCTGCTGGCACCTGCTTCACTTACTTCCCAGCCCTATCGTTGGGCCAAAGGCACTTGTCAAGAGACTGGGTAGTTCGGGGGAGCCCAGCGAAGCCACAGCTTGGAGAGAACGAAAGGATGGGTCCCCACCAGGAGCCACGCAGAGTGATTTCCCTCTGGAAGCTCCTTTCCTCCTCTCAGCCCTGAAGAGGCCGTTGTCCTGCTTTTAGAGAATAAGAAACTGCTACAGGCTGGAAGCTCAGGCAGCCCTGGACTGTTCCATTGCTTATCTGAGGTTTACCCCAATGCTGTGGGGTGAGCAAACCTAGATGGGAAGGTGGAACCCCGGGCACAGAGGCCCCAAGCTCCCAGAGCCCTTCACAGCATCGTGGCTGCAAACAGGCCTGCCCGGAGCTCTGGTGCCACCCCTCCTTCACTCTGGCGTCCCCAACCCACAGACTCTCAGGGTTGAGTGCTCGACCTTGCCTTGCAGGGTCAGGAGCTCAATCAATTTACCCGCTTGCGACCCTGATTCACTTTGACAAAGTTCAGATAAAACGACACACCAGCCAGAAATTTTGTTCTGCTGTCAGGAACAGGGTCCCCACTTAACAAATTAACGGTTTATTCTTTCACATAAAAGGACGGATGAAGGCAGCCCCCGCCTGGTATGGTCTGGCCGCCAGGTGGCCACAGCCTCCAGATCACAACATGGCTACAGGAGCACCTGCCTTCTTGTCCACTTTCCAGACAAAGGGAGACAGGTGGATGGCAGCAGCCAAGAACAAGTGGCCCCAACAAGGGGCTCTTTAACTATGGGAATCTTTAAAAAGATTCCAGAAAGTTCCACCCTCTGACCGTGCTCACATCTCATTGGCCAACCCCAGCTGCAGAGATGTCTGGGACATGTAGTCTTTCAGCTGAGCACGTTGCCACCATAATTAAAGTTAGGGTGCTCATGAAGAAGGGGAGCATGGATATTCTCTGCCAGGGTGACATATCCTAGAAAATCAGAGAAGGGCACATTTCCCCAGTATCCTGGTATGCTTGTTTTACTCTCAGGTTCCTGCCTTCTCAGAACCAAGAGTCTGCACATCAGTGGGGTGGGTGAATAAGCCAAGAATCAGAAAAGAGAATGAGATGGGCTTGTGGGAATTTGGTCAGCCTCATCAGGAGCCTCGTTTCCTCCCTGCAGGGAGCGGGGAGAACATTCACTCCCTCGGTTAAGAGGGCGGCTGGGCTGCTGGCAGCACACAGGTGTAGGTTAAGAGTTTGTCCACGGAGTTAGAAAGGGGCATGATGATGTCTGCCAAGATGGGGAGTGGATGGAGGGAGGGGTAAGGAAGGTGACCCCAGAGTTCTCGAGCCATCTTGCCTGGCAGGATGTTGAGGATGCCCGTGTAAGAACATCGCTTTGAACACTTTTGACCAAAACCCACAGAAAAAAAAAAAATACAATTTACAATCAGACACACACCCGCCCCCCAGCCAAGTTTCACAAAACCTTAACTGTACTACAAGCAATTCACACGACGTCAGTCAAAGGAACCCCATACCATTACCAAAAAATCTGATTGTACCCCCTCGATTGACTTCATAGCCAAATATGAGATTGAAAATTAGAGCTTAAAAAGCACTGCGAGAGGGGCCTCCCTGGTGGCGCGAGGGGTTAAGACACAACCTATGAAGCTGTCCACAGCCACTGAAGCACGAGTTCAATCCCCGGCCAGGGAGCTGCCCACATGGCGAGGCAGACCTCTCCTGACTCGCCCGCTGCTCCCCTCAGCAGTGTATTTCAGTAGCTCTGCCTGTTCTGGTCCCCACTCTGTCTCTGGTGAATCCTCTCACCCCCACACCTCTGGCCTGTACCCCAGTTCTTGTATGCATAAATAAATAAATCTTTTTAAGAAACAAAAGCAGTGAGAGAGGGAGAATAAAGCATAGGAGCAGGCTGAGGGGAGGGGTGGGGTGGAGGGATGCGGTTTTGATTATGTTCAAAGGTCTCTGTGGGGAAACCCCACCAGCGCTCAGAAGTGAGCCAGGGTTTAGGTGGAGACATGGGAGTCTGCATCCTGCTGATTCTCTCTCTACCCCCTTCTCCCCTCCTGCTCCTGCCTCACAGATGGGAAGATTTCTGGGGGAGGTGGACGGTGCCCTCGTGACCCAGCTGCTCAGGATGGGGGTGTTCAGCCAGTAAGTGGAACTTGTGTCTCCCCGTCTGAATAGTCACATAAGGGGCAAGATCTGATGCTAAATAGCCCAGATCTGGGGACCCTGTCCTAAAAAATGCACTGTGAGGGTGCCAGAGGGGTGGGCAATAGGGGAGGGGGGTCAAAAGGCACAAACTCCCAGTTATAAAATATATGTTATGGAAATATACCACGTGGAGACTGTGGTATAATTAATAATTAATATTACTAATTAATAATTAATAATACTCTACGGCATACGTAAAAGTTAAAATCTTAAGAAGTCTCATCACAAGAGAAAAAGAAGTAAGAGATCCATCTTCTAGATTTATTGGCATCATTTCAGTGGGCAGATGTGTTTCATCCTGTTGTGCACCTGAAATGAATACGATGTTATCTGTCCATGATGCCTCCATGAAGACCCACACGCAGTAGGAGTCTTTTAAGGGGCTCCCCAAGCAACCTTTTTGAATCCGGGGACTTGATGTGAGGTGGGGAGGGGCTTCAAACCCCTATTGTGTCCCACCCCTATTGTGTCTGGGGTGTTGCGTTGGGAGGTCACAGGTCCCCAAGAAGGGCTGAGCGCTCTTCATCCCGGGACACCCCTGATCACGGGCCTCCCAGGGGGAAGCACATCCCTCAGGGGACGGAGGTAGCCCAGACTCACCCAGTCACTCAGCTGTGGGGCCCTGCCTCTGTTGGGGAGGGTGGGGGGTGGCCCCCCTCCTACTCAGGGGCCCAGCAGGGAAGGCATGGGATCCCTTAGAGGGGAAAACCCAGTTTGTTACTCATTTTCTTAGAAGAGAGGGGCAGAAACGTCACCTCCGCCCTGCCACCTCCCCCTGCCAGTCCTGACTCCACACCTCCGGGGTGGGGCTGGGGGGAGCGGTCTGGACTGCCCTCGCCTGCTCCTGGCTTTCAGGGTGACCATGTATGACCACCAGGCCATGTGCGAGCCCGCGGACCCCCACCCCAGCGCCGCGCGGCCCCTGGGCAGCGTGAGTATGGCCCTAGCCCTGTCCCTCCCCGGACAGCAAGCCTCTGGCGGTCCTGAAATAAGGTCCCCTGGGGCCGAGCTGGACGGGACTGGAAACCTCTGCCCTGCTCCCTGCACTGCCCCCACCCCCTCCGCTCCTGCCCCAGGCCTGTAGTCTCCTCTTTGGCTTCCGGGAAATTGTTCTGGAAACCCATGCAGTAACGGGGGCCTCTGGCGGGGGAGGTGGGCTTGGCCCTTTCTTGCTCTGTTCCTAACCTACCTCCTGTGCCCGCACACACATGATCGGGAGCCCCAGAATGTCACCCAGCGCTCCTCAGGATTGGAACCTCACCCCCCAGCCCCTTGAAGGGCGTGGTCTAAGTCCAGGGTCTGCGAGAGGGTCTCCCAGATCACTCGGCTCTGGGGCGCTGCCCCTGCTGGGAAGGGTGCAGGGTGGTCACAGCGCCTGCCCGCTCTGGAAGCCCCCCCCGGGGCTGACCTGAGCCCCTCTGCTTCCCAGCCGCTCTCTGCCCTCGTGACTGCGGCCAGGTGGCTGGGGACCGAGCTCTTGCTGTGAGTGTGGGCTGGGGCTGGGGCAGGCCGGGCACTTTGGGCAGGTGGGCCTCAGAGGGAGCCTGCGAGCAGGTCTGCCCACCGGAGGAGGAGAGCAAGCCCCCGGGACTGGTCACCCAGCTTGGTGCTGCCACCCTGCGCGCTGCTGCAGAGGGGGGCGCGGTGGGGCAGTTGTGGGGACCTCCCTGCTCATCCAGCAGCCTCGGGGCTGCACCAGGGGGCTGCGGGGCCCAGCTGCTCCCAAGGGCGTGGTCTAAGCCCAGCATCTGTCCCACAGTAGGGGTTTCCCAGTCACTCAGCTGTGGGGCACTGCCTCTGCTGGGGAGGGTGAGGGGTGGCCCCCCTCCTACTCAGGGGCCCAGCAGGGAGGGCAGGCACGTCTGGGAGATTAGGTCTGTGTCTGGCAGGTTCCTGCTGGAGTGGAGCTCCTGGGGGTCCTGGCACGCAGGCGGCGGGGCAGACGGTGAGTACCCGCCATGTGAGGCCAAGAGCTCGCTGGAAACCTGTCCTCTGGGGGGCTGACAAAGGGGGGTGCAGGCTCTGTAGACGTCATCGCTCATATCTCATCCTGCTGGGTTTCCTCTCCTCTCCTTCCTCTTCCTCCCGCCTCTCCTCGCTGCTCTGTGACATCACACCTTCTCCGGTCACCACTGCTCTGTGTGACGTCATTCATCTCATGTGGCATCACCGCCCTGGGACACCCTGACCTGTGTGACATCATAACCCTGCCCGGGGCCCCGCGGCCTCGGCAGCCAAAGCTGTCTTCCATCACTGTGAGTGGCATCAGCGGAGGGGCCTGGGTGCTGGGGTGGTGCGTTGGGAGCTCACAGGTCCCCAAGAAGGGCTGAGCTCTCTTCATCCCGGGATACCCCTGATCACGGGCCTCCCCGTGGGAAGCACATCCCTCAGGGGACGGAGGTAGCCCAGACTCACCCACACAACTACCGTCCTGCCTCCCGAGAAAATAAACTACTCCAGCCATGTCTTAGGTGAGAACGTTTATGATTCCCAGAGGAAAGGCCAGTTCGGTGCAGGGCTGTGAGCACGTGCAGGTGCGTGGCCACCAGGGCACCCCGTGGGGCAGGGAACGGTGGTACCTCCAGCTCGGATGAGGGGTTGCAGGCGGTGGCCCCGGTCTGGTGCCGGGGATGCACCCAGGACAATACGCCTCCCGTGACCTTGGCTCTGAGGACAGTGTCCCCCAAAGGCCCGGCCCCAAAGCAAAGTCCTCACTCTCAGCCCGCCGTGACGCTGGCCCAAAGCCCCGGGAGAGCGAGGCACTGATCTTCAAATGAAGAGGAAAATCTTTCTCTTCCACACCCCTGCCAGCCCAGGCTGACTCACTTTGGCAGGTTTTGCTCTACTCCTCCATGTTAAGAGCCCTTTCCGCAGGCTTCTAGAATTTCTCCACCTCCTGGGCTAGACTTCTTGTCCCATTGTTTGCTTAGAGTTTGGGTTCTGATGAAAAATAATTTCCACCTGTCCTCTCTCTGCTAGTGTTTCCTCCCTCCTGCCTCAGGCCCACAGGGCCCTCCCTCTGACCACGGCTCACGTGGCCAGTCCTTGCCGTGCTCATGGACGCCCTGTGGAAATCAGACCCCTCAGTCTTCACAGGACCACTCTGGGGTGTGACAGGAACCATGTGAACAACCCGCTTAGAACCAGGGTACCCGTCCCTCCACACAGGAATGCATGGTGGGGGGTCTGGCAGCTCCCCTCTTTCTCTGCCAGAAGTTGCATTTTGCAAAAGCTGAGAATGGTCTCCCTCAATCTACCTGCTCAGAAGGTCTCTTCAGGGAAGCAATCACTTGAGCTTCCTCCATCCCCACCCGGCAGGCCTGGTCCTGCTGGTCACCCACTCTGTCCTTGGTGAGAGCTGGACTGAGTGCAGGCCCAGCAGTGTGACCACAGGGTGCCACTCAACCCCGTGTCATTGGTGTCGTGCCCACAAACGACGAATGCAGCCCCCAAGAAATCAAGGACAGCTGATGCAAGCACAAAAGGGAGTTTAATACAGACCCGAGTCTGGACTCACCACACTCACTGACGCAGCGGTGGATGGCGAGAGTCCCAAACTGGGGAAACGGGAAGGTATTTATAGGGTTACTAGCAGGCTTAAATTTTAAAACAAGTTGGCAATTACTCATTGGCTACTAAAAGGCATTTCTGGCATGGATGCAACTCAAAATTCAAACGGATGGTTCGGGGATGCCACGGTTTCTTTAATTGGTTGCTTTTTTATCAGCGGACACCAGAATGGTCTGAGACCTTTGATATTGAGCGCCCGGCTATCTCAGTCAATAGAGCATGAGACACATTTTAGGAGTGTTGCATCATTTTCCAGGAATCATCTTCCAGGAAAGCGAAACGTAAACCCAAAATTCTAAAATGGCGGTTATACACACAAAATGGCGAAACAATGGTCAAGCGCGTAACAATTTGGTTCCACAATTGGCGTTGATATGTGCTTGTCCCCTAGAGGACCTGCCCACACAAAGTGACTCAGGTGACAGGTCAGACCTAGACCAGGCCCTGCTGGCACCAGGCTGGTGTAACTGGGCCCTGGAAGGACCACCAGTTCAGCCCAGGCTTCAGCCAGGTTCTGAAGGGCTCAGAGGGCAGAGCTGCCCCCCAGTAGCCCTTGAAGTTCAGCTTGACCACAGGTGAAACCTGTTTGGGCAGACCCCGACTGGACACCGTGGGTCTTCCTCTCAGGAGGTTTTGGCCTGTAGACTGTCCTCCCTGTTGCTTTCAAGGTCTAGTGGGAAGTTTCTGGGCCTGGGAATTAAGGAGACCGGGAGCTCTTGTACTGATCCCTGTAACCCTGTGAACATGGTCTATAAAATGAGGGATTGCTGTCCCCACCCCCAATCAAAAGGAAAGGCACGGAAATTTCCCTGAAGAAGCAGAGCTGTCTTTACAAAATGGCACTGCTGTTTTGGACAAAATGAACAATGTCCTTCACCTGCGAGCAGAGTCCTTCAGGCTGCCCTCTACTGTGAAGAGAGCCTGCATCCTCCAGAGCAGATCCAGAGCCTCTACTGCACCTTTGCTGAGGCCTGCTCTTTCCATTCCTCACCAGTCTCTGAGTGGCTCACGCGTCAGGGTCACTGAGGAGCCCACCCTGCCCTCCGGCACTGCGCCCCCCTCCAGCCCTTGAGGAGCCGCCCTGCAGAGCACTTTAGGCCACTTGAGAGGAATAAGGGACTAAAGTCCCTGCAAACCACCCCTGGGAGGCTGCGTTCCCCTCCCTCACAGGTTGGGGGAGCTATCAGTGCTGGGAAGGTGCATTTATAGCTTATACAGCTTATAATGGTGGGGAGAGAGGGGAGTCCTGTCAGGCACACACCTGACCTCCCAGGCCCTGAGGCCAAAGCCGCTGGGATCCTCGTGCCTCCTGGATCCTGTCCCGCCCCCCCACCTCCCACCCCACGACCCCAGTGCCTCCCCACCCCCCTGAGAACTTCCTAACAAGGAAACATCTGCAAGCGGCCTGTGGTGAACCCGCACCCTGAAAGTGCTGAAGCCTCTCCCTGGGCCACAGCCTCCTCCAACTGCCCTCTGTGCCCCCAGCCCACAAGCACAAGAAGCAGGACCAACTGCAGCCCTGCGACACGGAGTACCCCGTGTTCCTGCACCAGGCGGCCATCCAGGAGACCAACGGGATCATCGAGTGTGGAGCCTGCAGGAAGTAAGACCCCAGGGTGCTTGTCTGCTGCGCCCCACCCCACCCCATGGGTGCAACAGGGATCCAGAGCCAACTCGGAACCATCTCCAAAGTGGGGAGAAATGAGGGAGAGCGGCTCAAGGTGAAAGGTCACAGGGGCCGGGAGAGGGGCACCCCAGAACCCCCAAACCTCCCTGCTCTGAACAGTTTCTGCCATCCACTGCATCAAGACAAAACATATAGACCTTTGACGGAAAGGAGCTTTAATACAGTTAGTATGTAACAAAGAAAAGACAAAGAACATAGTTTCCAAATCAAGCCCCCAAAGTTACCCGTCCCCTTGTGGGTAAATGCCCAGACAAACAGGATTGGCCCAGAGCAAGGCCCGAAAGCCTGCCATGAGCCTAAAGCACGTTCCAGCAGGGACCCATAGAAAAGGGTCAGAAACAGCCAGGCAAGTCTGGGAGGAAAAAGAAAAATCAAGTTAAAAGCTGCCATTGTTATCCTCCCGCGGGCCTCTCACCCACACGCTTCAACCAGTCCAGGACCAAGAAGCAAGTGCAGCTTCTTCACATGTCTCTGCTCCACATGCCTCCTCCAGGCCTCCTCCTTGCTCCCCATCTTGCTTCCTTCCCCCTCCAGACTCCCCTCCAGCTTCTCCTCCCTGCTCAGCTCCACCCTCCTTTGGGTGGGGCAGGGAATCTGGAACCCCCCCTTTTCCTGGGGACCCCCCTGTTACAGTCCCACTCAAGGGGTCTCTGCTCCCCACATTCCTGTTGAAGAAAACAGGCTGAGGCAGAGCAGAGTGCAGCGCCGTGTGCGGACAGTGGGCGGCGGGTGTGCTGTCAGGGGAGCTACGGAAAGGTGACCTCCAGGCCAGATCCTGTGTCAGTGAGTCCAGATCCCAGAGTGATCCCAGACAAAAAAAGTTCCCCAAGTTCGCTGTGACCCCTCCCGTGTGTGCCTCGCTCTCGCCCGCTGGGACAGCAGCTCAACCCCACTGATGGTTGTGACTCGGAAGGCAAGGGCAGGTTTGAGAAAGGACCCTGGTGGGTGTTCTCTGAAGAAGGGGTCATGGCGGCATCTCTGGATGTCTGTGTGGGCCCAGCCTGCACCCCGACTTGTTCCTGTGTAGACACCCCCAGAACCAGCCAGCTCCCCCAGCAGCAGCGAGAGCCTGATGAAAGTTCTCTCCTGCCAACTCCCACCCCTGACCTCATGGGGGCCCTTCTGCCCAGTAACTTAAGTTCTGGGCCAGGAACAGTGGCCTCCTCTAGCCTGGTCATTCTCCGGGGGCGCCCAGGGATGTAGCCGAGACGCCCAGGCCTCAGCCTTTGGCATCTGCCAGGGCTCCATTTCTCATTAGCGTGCAGTGTTGGGCAAGATTTTAACCTCACCCCCGCAGCTGTCTTGGGACTATTGTTCTTGGTGCAGTGCTCGCAAAGGTTTACTGTGAGGATAAATAAACGCTATCTTGGAGGGCAAAGCTTTGCAGGAGACAGAATTGGGTTAAAACGCTGGCACAACCACTTCCCAGCTGCGTGACCTCTTCTAGCCTGTTTCTCAAGGACAAAAATGGGAATAATACCAACCTCAAATGGTTCTGTAAAGGTTAAATATATACCTATGTGTCTGCGTGCGTGTATCCACCCCACAGGAAATGCTCAGTAAGTGGCAGCTATATTTATGTAATGCGCCAGGCCTGCTGCATAATAGACTTTCCGCCAGCCCTCTCCAGGGGCCTCCCGGGCCGTGTGCAGGAACACTGCGCCACCTTGTGGCCACCTGTGAGCACTACCGCTCCCCCCTGGCCTGCCCCCGACAGGCTCCCCCAAAGAAGCAAGGAGAGCCACAGCACATCCCTACTGTCTTGGGAGCGCCCGTCTAGGCCTGATGTTCCTGCATAGATTAACAACAACTCCTTTCACTGTCAGAAATGTCCCAGTTGGGATTTCCTCACCTCCCATCTGCTGGGAAAAGTGTGTTCAACTGCAAATGCTTGTGGGTAAATGAATCCAGTAGGACTGGGTGGGTTGCCCAGGACCGTTCTGTCTCTGCCCCTGCTCTGGGCTGCCTTGTGGCATCCCTCCTTCCCCGGCCACCCCAACTCCACACTGAAGTCTCTAGAAGTTCTTGCTTAGAAGCCCAAGGCTGAGCCTGCCATGAAGTCTCTTGGCCTCACCTCTGTCTCTACTGCAGAATGTTCATGATGCAACAGATTCCTAAGAGTAACCTTCTCCTCCTGGTGACGGACTCCACCTGCGACTGCAGCGTTTTCCCACCTGTCCTGCAGGAGGCTACAGAAGTCAAATATATCCTCCCAGTTCCCCAGGATGTGCAGGCTGGGGTGGGGGTGGGGGTGGGGTGGATGTATTAGGGGCCAGGGTCCCTCACCACCAGTGCCCACCCTCCCCCACAGAGCATCCTGATTTGTCCTGCAACCCTTCCCCCAGACCCTGGGTGCCACCTCCTATCCCTGGGGCCACATGCTAGGCAGCTCACTCCACCAGGGGTAGATTCTTCCAGAACTGAGTCTCCAGTCTCCAGAATAAGCTCCTATCATGAGGCATTTGTCTTAACAGTGAGTCCTGCACATAACGCGTCTGTCAAGTGTGACAGGATGCGCTCCCAGAAGCTCCGCCGGAGACCAGATTCCTGCCACGCCTTCCACGCAGAGGTGAGCCTGGGGTGGGGATGAGGGCGAGGCTGGGTCTTCATCCCCAGTCCTCAGCTCCCTGACTGTGCAGATCTGAGTGTGTTTGGGACACGTGCTGAGGTAGCTGTGCCCGTGTGGCTCGTGGAATGCATTTGCACATGTGCGTTCCCCTTTAGACCCGTGTCATTCAAATACCGAGTTCCCCAGGATCCAAGGTGCTTCCACAAAGAGAACCACATTTCTCAGGGCTTGGGTCCTCGGTGGCTGAAACTCAGCTTCCTCATGCTGTGCTCATTGCTGCTGTCCTCAGCTCCAAATGATCTGAGCACACAGAAGACGCTGTGCACATAATGCCAACAGTGACAGGCATTTTTTGAGCACCCACCACGGAGCAGACCCCGAGCTGGGTGTTTCATGCTCGGTGTCATCTTTGCTGGATGTGGCTGCCACAGATGTCCCCCATCAAAGATGCCTCCAGAGCTGACGACTTCCCTGAGGGTATTCTAAGATGACCCCATGCCCCTTCCTGGTTGGGGAAGAGCAGAGAAGTCTTGAGCCCAGTTCTTGGGTTGAATGGACAGCCTCGACTTCCCTCCCTTGAAAAGGGGATCTTCCTAGAACTTCATTCTCAGGTGTTGGATGCCTGTTCATCCCAGAGGTCCCCATAGTACGCCTCTGGCCGGGAGGCTCCCCCATCTTGAATGCTGCCTCTCTTCTCTCTCTGGGTTCACAGGAGAATGCCCAGGACTGCGGTGGCGCCTCAGATACCTCAGCCTCGCTCCCTCTGCTCCTGCTGCCCCTGTGCACCTGGGCGCTACCCTCCTAGATGCTGTGGCCACTCCCACCCAGGCCCACCTCCCTTTGACAAGGCGACCCTCCCAGACATTCTACAGTCGGGGCATCTGTTTTTGAGTTCTGATGTGTTAGATGAAACCAGAAACTATTTCCCAAAAAACTTCCCAGGTGCCTGCATCATCCACCCCAAGTTTCAAAGGCATCCCCCCATTTTCTTCCCTCCGCTCCAGGAGCCCAGCACAAGCTCGATCTGGATCATACAGTCAGAAACGCGGGAGGGTGAGAGAATTCATGAGAGCCAGAGCGGGGAGCAGAACAGACTGATGAAATACGCTGCTGAGGGGAGCAGTGGGCAGGGCAGGAGAGGTCTGCGCACCATGTGGGACCCTCCCCGGTGGCCGGGGATCGAACCGGTGCTGCAGAGGCTGCAGGCAGCTTCGCAGCCCAGCGCTCAACCGCTGCACCACCAGGGAGGCCCAAGAGGGTCAGCTTTTCTAATGAACCTGGTTGGGGTGGTGAAAGACCCGCAGACTTAAAAGGAGGACAAAATGAAGCTGACAGCAGAAATGAAACGAACGTGCCCTCCCCGAAACAGGACTGTCTAAAAGTGAGACTCATGGTGGAGGGCAACGTGATTTCCTAACAGCTGCTCCAAAATGTTGTGCATTTGGGGGTTAGGGGAGCTACTGGAGGAGAGAGGAGGCAGGGAAGTCACAGCAACATGGTAATGAAAAGACCCAGAACGAGAACAGGTATTAAAATCCTTTCACGTCAGTATGGCTGCGTGTGATGTCCACAAACTGTTGCTATTAAAAATCTCCTAAAAACATCTTTGCAAAGCCTTAACTAAACTTTGCAAAGCCTTAACTTTTGTGTTTCTCTAAAGGAAAGTCAGTAGGCTGAGCCGTTCAATTGCCCTGAAAATACCACGAGCCAGGGAGAGGCTGGAATGGCTGCCTTCTGGCAGAGGCCTGGGAAAGAACAGTGTCCCCAGTGGCTTGGTGGGGTCTCTCAGCGCCAGCCAGTGCCATACTCGCTGGAGGTCTAGGTCTCATGATGGTATTTTTCTGCTGCTGTTCTAGAAAAGAGACTATCTGACTCTGTCCCTGGGTTGGAAATTTCTGGAACACTCCAATTTGCAGCGTCCACCTGGAAAGGAACTATTTCTGGGAACTTCATCATCCACATGCACACCTCCCCCAACTGCCCAGCTTCCCCCACCCCCTCAGGCCTGGCTCCCAAGACAGCAGTCTCTACTGTGGCCGCAACAGCAAGGGCAGAACCACACAGAAATTCTGAAGTGGCCTCAGATCTTTAAATTCACGGACCTCTAGTGAGGGGGTCCAGGCCTGCCCCATATGACAGGTATGCACAGGGCACAGCACCCTGTGGACCTTCTTCCAGCCTCCACACTCAAAGCACAGAGCTGCCCAAGCTTGCCCACCAGCAAGGAGCCCCCACTTCTCTCTGGAAGGAACCAGAGCTATCAGACATTCATGATGTCTGTAAAGTCCCTGCATTATGGATGACACATTTCCCCCACCATTTAATTCTCACAATTGTGTGAAGTGAGCATTAAATGGCCCTGTTAATAGCTAAAGAAATGGAGCTTCAGAGAAGGTAAGAGATTGACTCGAACTCACTCACTCAACCAGCTCAAGTGGCAGGATGATGCTGGCATGACTAAGGGCTACTTGTACCAGATAAATAACAGCAATTAACTCATTGAGTCCTCACCACAACCCTCTGAAGTAGGTACCGTTGTTAGCCCCGAATGACAGAGCAGGGAACTGGGCATGGCGTTGAAAACTGAGTTCAAATTACTGGAATAATATATTGTGAGGTTTGAATGTGATATTCATACAATGTGCTTCTAACCTCCTGGTATGTGGTAAGCACTGATTCCTTGTGAACTTGAACTGCTATTGTGGCATCACCCTGTTTCTTGGGGCTGGGGAGGAAGCCATGACTGGTGCACATGAGAAGCAGCAGGGAGCCCTTTCTCTGTCCCTTGGCTGCCCACCCGAGCTCCCCACTGTGGTGCCTCCTCACTGTGACAGGTTTGGCCCCAGTGCACTTCCTAATCTTCCTAATCATTGCCCAGTGCCTCTCTACTAGGGCCTGAGGCACCACAGGCGCTGGTAAGTGTTTTGGCCTCCAAGAGCGTCTGACCTCAACTCCAGCCTCCCAGACACAGCTGCCAGGTCAACAGTCAAATATATCAACTATCTTGTCCATTTAGTTTAAAAATCAAGCTTAGGAAGAGTTGGGCAAGCTCCTGGCCTTCTTGTCGGTTTCATCCCTGTGTCTCCCATGGCCCGGAGTGGACTCTAAGATCTGGAAACCCCTGCCGGAACCAACGGGAGGAAAAACACTTCTGCCAAACTAACTTACTATTTACAGACTATTCTTGCGAGTTTGCCTTCCGAGGTCAGAACTGTTATATTTCTCCTCTTTGTACTTTTAGCAGAACCAATAAAGGACAGCAGGTGGCAGCCTGGCTCAAGCTGAAGCATCAACACCTACATTTCAGAGCAGAAAGTCAAAACCGGAGTCATTAACAAGTGGCAAAAGTTTAAGGGACAGAATCTTGAAATCCCTTGTCAGTGTTGCACACCTCTGGGTGACCAAGAACTCAAGGCTGCTGTCAGACCCCGCTTCCTCAGACCCAGGGATAAATTACCAAATCCACCGAATAGTATTGTGTATTTTAATGAAGTGCTGCCAGGTGACATGCTTCAACCACTTCATAACGCTAAGTGAAGTCTGGAAAGCAAATATGGGGGAAGGAACCATAGACCACAAAAAAAAAAAAAAAAAAAAATTCTGAGCAAGAGTTTAGCGGAAATGTCAGGCATTTGGGACAGGAAGTTTGAGAAACATGGATTCGCGGCATCTCAGTGGAGGATGCAAAGTATATTTGATTGGCTCCATTTTACACGTGAGCAAACCGAGTTGAGGCAAACGGCAGGATGGGGCTCTGACCTCCCTGTTTCTACACCCAGGTAGCTGAGGCAGGCCCGGGGCATGTGCGTGGGCAGTAAACCGCAGGCCTTCACGCCCCCTAGCTGGATCCTCGGTGAGCCCGCGTGCAGCTCCGCGCCAGCACAGGCAGAAGTTGCAGGAGTTAAACTGAACTTGTTTTCACCAAGTGAAGGAGTTGGCAGAAAAAATTTCATCCATTCAGACAACACTTCATGCCCACCCACTGTGGGAAGGAAAATGCGTAACTTGCTACAATTGAAGCAAAGTATTTGAGAGACAAGAATTGTGTGTCTGGAATAATTTTGAGGGAACCAAACCTTGGTGCTCCATAAAGCCACAGAGTATCCTCATTTGCTTCCTTTACAAAACCCAACATCACCTGAGAGGAAGCAGACACCTTTTAGAAAGCAAACAGCGGCAGCTTATTTTTCATCAAGAGCAGATTGTGGACCAGTCTTTTATGTAGGAATATGGAGAAACCCTAGTGTCATCATCGACACTTAACAACTGAGAATTCAAAATGGATGTTATCACCCAACTTCCGGAAACCGCCCTCAAAAAAGCAGTTTTGAATGGAGCAAAAAGGACAGTATTTTTCCTCCCCTCTCACACATAGAAGAATCAACAAAAACGAAAAAATCCTTGTCCAAATACAGAAATTACTTGGAATTTTCTTCATAGAGTGCTGACTGCACGTTTCTAAGCTTGTTTCCTCCACTATAAAAGGAGAGTGAAATAACACTCATCGGCTCACGGCGCTGAGGTCACGACAATATGAGCTATCAAGAGTCCTTTAACAGATTCCCTTGCAAACGAAGTGGAAGTGCTCGTTGTATCATTTTTTGTATAATTTGGTGAGAACCGCCCCTGAAGAGCTAGCTCTCCCCTTTCATTCTAACCTGGTCCCAATTATGATGACAGCATAAGAAAAACTGGGGGTAATGAGTGGGCAAAAGCACTTACATTTGTTGTGCATTCTATTGGGAAGTCTCCGCACACTTCTCAAGCTTCCGTCTCTCAATTAAGGCTTCAAGCAAGATGTGCCAAACGCTATGGGGAGGTAAGCCGAGGCAGGAAAGAAAACACACAACCGACGTTTATATGCCATTTGGTTCTTTTTATTAGAAGTTGAGAATACAGCAAGTAGGGAAATCCCATGGTGAATGGAGCCATCCACACCAATGCCTTTTGGAACCCCAATCTTCTATGATCCCCCCCAAAATGTGCTTTGTGGCTTCAGCAATTTATGAAGTGGGAAGGGAGAAAATACTGAAAAAGGCCACTATTTCATGGTGAGAGAATGAAGCTGTAGAGATCCTAATGAGCCTAGGGCCAAAAAAGAAAATTAAAAATCTGTGCAGAGCAAGCAAGCCTCTGACTGCTGAGAGTAAGGCATTCAGGCGCCGACCTGGAGAGTTCTCAGGAGCACTGTAAGACCAAGTGCACATCGAGGCTGTTGGTAGTGAGTTGCAGACACACAGAGAAATGGGCGCACACATGCTCCCCAAACACACACACCCTAAAGAGGGAGATTGTTTTTACTGGATCACGCATCATTGATGTTAACTGCATTTTCCTAGGGATTTGTGCTATGTTGAACCAGATTCAGCTCCTCCTCTGGGGTGTGGGTAGCTGGGCCCCGAGACTGCTGCTTCTGTTGGTGGTGTTACAGGGTGTATCTTATACCCGATATCCCTAAGTGCATGACCGAAGAGCAAGTCTGGCTTCTGATATGTGCTGTTGTTTCCATGACATAAGAGAGCGTCCTTCCAGATGGCCACTGTCCTGAGGACTATGTCTCCTCCAAGGGAGTAACACTGTTCTTATTCTGTCAGGCACTGCACCAGTTCACCCAGAGAGTCTTTTGCTGGGTCCACCTAGCACCCAGGGCAGTGACCTTATCCAGAACCAAAATACTCTTAAGTTGTTCCCAAATTCTACAATGGAGTCTTTCTTCCTGGTTCCCAGCTTTCGCTGGAAATTGTAGAGAAAAAAGAGAAAAATAACCAAGAAAACATGATCCTGCACGAATCATTGACCCTTCCCATATTCCCAAACACCCATGTGAGGACATCAGCCCCATGCTTAGGGCCTCAATGTTTTGTTCTAATACCCACACCCCCCAGGATGTAACAAACACCCAAAGCCTCGGATGACAGCAAGGAACAGAAGACTGGAAGGTTATCTGAGTGGTTCCCCTATGAGCCAAGATCAGAATTCTCTGAACCAGATCCTTCCCCACACTATCCCTAATGCCAGAACAGGGTATCCCTAGGACAGGACCGATCTCTTTTTTTTTTTTTTTTTACTTCTAGTAGTTCTTCAAAGATAATGCTTTAAGAATCCTACCAGACTCCCTAGCAATAACAGTCTTCTTTGAAAACTTCCCACCAAACTATCCCTACAAAATGGGGTTCAGATAATGGTGATAATTCCACGGTGGGTAACAGACCCTACTTTACAAAAGTTCTGCTGGTTTTCTTGTTCAAGGAGAGTTGAGTGTCTGTCACACCTAGGATTGCCATGATAGTGTGCCAGAGCTGAAACTCATCTTTCCTAACCCAAAGACGTGCTCTCACACCTATGAGTGAGTTCAGGAGGCACCTGGACAAGTCAGAATCTCTTCTACAGCTGGCTCCAAGCCAGGCACTATGATACTAATGAAATGTCCATTTTTATTCCCAGGAGGAGGACGGGTAGTTGGGCAGTGATTTTAACAAAAGGAAATTCCCAGGGTGTGGCAGCACTCCACACCAAGAATGTGGAAAACTGTCACACCCCTCCAGTTAGATAAGAATCACCACAAAACTGAACAGGATGCCAGAAAGTAAGCAGATCAGCCCCTGTGCTAATATTTCCATAACTCCTCCACTGTCTCCACCCCGCCCCAACCCCCACCCCACCAGCACGATTGATTTCCCGAGTAGGTAGCTCTACTCCTCAGAAAGGGTCACTAGCCCTATAAACAAGTCACTCGCTCAAGTGACACCTTAACCAGAGCCTCTATCTAAAACATCCCGTTAGCCACTCACATGCTGCTTCCACTGAGAAACACATACCGCTTCCCTCCACCTCAAGACTCCCAAAGGCTCTCAGGCATAGAGTGGTCACGTGACCCAAAGTATGCCAGCCTTCAGAAGGCACCTTGGTGCACCGAGGCATTAGGTATTCTGGGGCTATCACCCAACCCTCCTACAGTCACTTTGTGCAAAATTGAAACAGTGTGTGGTACTTGCATGTTTCATTCTATACAAAAATTCTCCCTCCCGCCCGATCCCTATGTTTTAAACATTTATATAAATTCTTATTTAAACAGTAAGTTAGAAATCTTATTTACATTAATTTCTGTGTTCTCCCAAAAGAACATCTAAAACCACACTCCCACCCCTTAACAGGATATAAATGTTCACCTAAATTGGTTTGTACGACTGCTTTAAGGAGAGAGAAAGGAAGAAGGGCGAACCACAGCTGAACTGCGCCCCGCCTCCCACACCCAACTGTGGCACGGACCAGAAGCCAGTCTGCTGGGGGCTCATGGCCCCGTCAGCAGAACCCGAGAGTAAGTCAGGGTCTGGGCCATTCCTCCTTTTCTCCAAATTGATGCACTCCACCCTTTGAGGTATGATTTATTTTCGTGTTTCTCTTCTCAGTGGTGTACCGCGTGGAGTTCCGGGGGCACCACAAAGCCCACGAGGCCGGCGAAGTCTGGGTGCTCCTCTGGTACTGGCATCACGGCCAGTAAGGGAGGCCTGTGGCGTGCAGGGTCTCGCTCAGGGTCACAGTCCCTGTGTAGTGGCAGGTATCACAGCGCGTCCTCTTCACTGCAGCCCCCGCCAATCATGAAGCGGAACTCCTGGAGATTCGAGACACCGTGGAAGTGAACGAAAGCGCCGGCAACCACAAAGATGTGAAACAGCTGATGCGAGTGAAACTGGAGCACAAAAGGGAGAGGAGAGGAGAAAGCCATACATTATTAAGTCTCTGAAGAGTACCAGGGGTCACTTCTGCGGAGCAGAGGGCAGGGAATGGGCGCGACAGAGCTCAAACTTGAGACGTCCGCCATCTCAGAACATGAGGCCTATCACATTCCACTGAACAGAGAACCTGGTGTCCCCGAAGAATCAAGGTGCTGTGGCGAGCGCTCGGCACGCTGAGCAGGCAGCCAGCTTGTGGATGAGGGGCAAACGTGGTACAAAGACCCTCTTGCCAACGGACCACAAAGCCCCAGAGAATCCCTGATGCTGAAGAAGGGGCTGTGGTTAGACAGGGCGGTGTGCTCCTCGCTGCGGATGCGCAGCTTGGTCACGGCCCCATGAATGGTGCTGCTGCACAATGTAAAGGGGTGCAGGGCAGGAAAATCTAAAGGACTGACTAGGCCAAAACACATGGTGGTGGCTAGTTTCCTTCCGCTCTCACGTGCTAACCTGAAGCTTCTAACAGTGCCTAAGTTAGCGATGTGTTCATCCCACAGAGAGCTCAACTGAACTCGGAGGAGACCAGTGATAAAATGTCCCATCTACTATCTGTTGGTCTCCTTACCCCTTTCTTTCCTCTCTTAATCACAATGTAGTTATTTCAACCTCCTCCTCCAACTAAACACACATAAACACACTTAGTCTCTCACTGGAAACCACTGAATTTAGGACTTTGGTTACACCCACTGGGGTCAGCGTAGTCAATGAAGTAGCCTGTGTAAAGTGCTCTCTGAGCACGGCGCCGAGCACCAAGTAGTGCTCAATAAATGTTAGCTACCATGGGACTTGTCAGCCGGAGAAACACAACTCATGAGGAGTCTGGACTAGATAGAGGTCTCCTGATTGAGTCTACAGCTTTTTCAATTATTTCTGTCAATAACCCACTGACCCACGTGTGTATACACACTGACCACACTCACCCAGATGTCACACTTGCCAGGAAAGAAGCGCTCGGGGATGCGGGCAGCATAAAGGGCAGCTCCCGTGATATAGAGGCTGGCCATCAGCATCAACCAACCAATCTGGCCGATGGTGGCAGCCTTCAGGAATCCCTCCGAGATGACATAGTGCAAGGTAGGGATGATTCCACTCAGGCCTAGGCCCAAAAACACTCCTAGGATCACAAGAAGGCACCATTACAACACAGTACCAGTAATTCTACACACTGAAACGTCACAGGATACAACATCAGCTTCTTGTTTGAAAGGGAAACTGCTGCACAAGACAGTACTGCTATGTTCTCAAAGATAAATTTACTTACAAATGGTAAGAGTGGCTTAGGTTAACAAGTCAGTCACCAAAGGGTTTGAATTTACGTTGAGAAGTGTTTTAGGAAAAGATAGCACTAGGACTTTGTTTGAACCTCCCTAAATACTGTCCCTTCCTACGACAGATTACACTACAGAACAATTTTACATCCACTTGAAGCAACAGATTCCTGGGACGGGGGTCAAGTAGGAGGGTAAGGAGCCGCAGTGAGAAAGAGGAAAAAAAGAGATGGACCTGAAGTCTTTCAGGCCAAAAACTCCCCATCAGATGCAGAAGTCTATCAGTATCATTCCACCATAGCCCCTGCTGCCTCCAAAATCATCTCTAGTAGTGGTTTCAAACTTCTGTAAGATCAACTGAGTGAGTCTGGATCAGCATTTTTTTACTGAGCAAGAATAAAAAAAAAAATCAGACTATTTCACATGTGGAGTGTTAAGTTCTAATTTGTGTAACTTTGTAAGTTTATACACATGTGAATTTGTGTTTAAGGCTTTGACAGAAAATGTCCTGATCAACGTTTGAAGGTCACTCATCTAAAACCACTTTGAAATCTCTGTCTCAACCAAGTAACACAGGGAGAACTCCTCACAGCAGCAGTGGCTGCTCTTCTATTGTGACACACGGAGCTAAGAATGACTCGTGCAACCCAAACTGTCACTTGGAAAGCTTTCTCAATAGATAAACACCTATCTAGTACTCCCGCTGGGCATTACCACACAAGCCGCTGGTACACAATGATACAAGCATGCTCGGATGCATATTCAGCAATTAAATGATTATCTACGAAAAAACAAGAAAATTACAATGCTGATCTCACAGAAGGAACCACGCAGGCCTAAATAAAAACTAGTTCCTACTTCTACTCCTCACAATTATGACCTTGTTCTTCCTCTACATGCTAAGCAAAGGCTGCTAATGGTTTTGTCTATCTTCCCCTTAGGTCAAAAGCTCAGGTACTTGGGTCTTCTGACGTGTACAAATAGCAGAATGTATCACTCCGTTCAGCAAAGACATTGTTCTCGCATGTGTTCAAGCAGCTCAACAGCACAGTTAAGTACTGCTCAAAGTCAGCCCTGGCCACTGCTCCTGTGCACTTAGATACACTTAAAAAGGCAAAGAGGGCAGTTAGAACAGTGCTTATTAACATGAAGTTAATTCTAATTTCTAACCTTCAAGGTAACTGCAGATGAGCCGCATCTTGAATTTTTAACACTATGTGGTTTTTCAAAAAAAAGGATCAAGAAGAAAAATACTTTTAATACTTCTTGCTCATTCTTAGTCGACACTGAGTTTGATAATGGGGAAAGAAAATTGAAGGCACAGCCCCAGCGACAAGGAGCCCCCAGTGCAGGGAAGACAAAAGCATATCTCATTAACTCTGTACTCCTAAGAGGAAGACTCAACCAAAGCAGCCAGGAGCTTTGGCTTTCTATATTATCTCCACCTAAACAGGCACTATCCTAAATATAAAAAGCCTCTTTATACATAAAGCCTGCCATAGAACACAATCATTATGGAAGAAAATCTTATTTAACTAAGCAGATAACATAATTTAAAATAAAAACATACAGTAAACCAAAAGACAACAACAAAACCCCAATGACTACAAAAAAACATACACTGCAAGATGAGCAAATAAGAGGAATGACTATTTTACAAAGGTGAAGAGCGCTGGCCACAGACCGCATGTGGCCAAACTCTAAAGGAAACGATATGGCCCAATAGAAACCAGCTCACAGAGCTCACCACTGCCCTCTAATGCTACACTAATAATGAACACGAGTCCAGTAAAGTCCTTGAAGAACAGGTACCTATTCATCTTTACATCACAGTACCACAGCAAAGCACCGCGAATGGTAGGCCTTTAGTAAATGACAGGTAAATAAATGATGTCCAATGTAAAACCTCCATGTGCTCTTACCTGCTCTTACTCCTCGATATTGAGGGGTGGCAAACATGTCCCACTGGGAGACTATAATGGCCGCGATGCCCAGCACACAGATGACAATCAAGTAGATGAAGCAAGGTTGTGGATTACAGTAGAAAGAATAATAAAGCCAAGGGACAAAACTTCCCATAATCAGAAGAGCAATACCAGAGTAATCCAGTCTAGGATAAGGAAAAAAAATCCATTTTATTTCAAAAATTACTGCCCACAATAAGTTCCAATGAATCCCCCATGACATGAGCTGGCTAAAATTTATAGCTCAAATGCAAATTAGGGTGCTGCTTTAATTTATAAAAGAAAAAGTTCCCAGCAGATGGTATCCAGAATTCTGCCAATTCTGCTGGATGTTTTTCCCCAACCCACTAGCTCTATTGATCAAACCATTGATCTAAGTATGAACTTTACATATACTTACTTAGAGAAGATCCGGGAGACCCCTTCTGAATGGCAGTAGACTGTGTGGAAGAGCCATGAAAAAGAAAGGCAGAGAATGGCCCCCAAGAAGAATAATCCAAAGACTACCTTCTCTTGCAGAGGGGCCACAAAGGAGATGTTTGGGCGAAACATATAAAAGATCCCCAGGCACAAGAAGAATACACAACCTAGGAAAAGAGTACAAGGGGAAGAAAAAAGGTTATCTGTTTGAAGAGACAGTATTTTATGTTGATTATGTTTTTAATCCTTCACAATCACAATTATATCTGAATTGAAAGATCCATAAGAAAAAGTCTCCAAGCAGCTGAATCTTAACTAAAATTTTGGTCCACTTTAAACACTTTTGGCATCACAAACTCCTCAGCTTCATAAATATATTATGTTCATGGGGCCTCCCTAGTGGCACAAGGAGTTAAGTCTCAGCACTATGAAGCTATCACCAGCCATTGCAGCATGAGTTCGATCCCTGGTCAGGGAGCAGCCCACATGGCATAGCAGACCTCTCCTGTCTCTCCAGCTGCTCCCCACTCTGCCTTTGGTGAATCCTCTCACCTTCCTATTTATGTTCTTGCATGCATATATAAATCTTAAAAACTAAAAAATTAAAATTAAAAATCTTAAAAACTAAAAAATGTTTATGAACATTTATGTAAAAGGATAATCCAAAGAAACCAATCCCCTACTTCTTAAAAGACTAATTAGTCCACTTCTACCTTTAGATCTAGCATGAAACTGCATTTATAAAATTTGTGGCACACATATCATACCTATCCCAGTTTTATTCAGTATCATACCTATCCCAGTTTTATTCCAGTATCTTCAAACCCTACCAGGAAATACAGTTTTCCTGTACCAACAGCTAGCAAGGAGTCTTATGCTTCCCTGGTCTCACCATTTGGCCCAATAGAGTCAAGAGTTAAAGACAATAAAATGTCTATTCAGACTATTTCATAACCATAATATTTTTAATTGTTCTCCACAGCAAGATACCATGTTCTCAGTGCATAGGGAAGGACCACTTAACACAAGGGCAGGCACAGAATTAAGAAGTCAAACATTTGTTTGATCCACTTAGTAAAACATTTACCCTTGAGTTAGAAATCAGCAAAGAACTTGATTTGATTCTCTAGTGTAACTATACTAGCATGCAGGAGCTTGGGGACACAGTAGAAATAAAATGTGGAATAAGAAATATAAATCAAATGGGGTAAATCCAGAAAATATTATACATGCAGCCATTACCACTAATTCCACAACATTTTCATCACCTCAAAAAGAAACCCTACATCTGTCACAGTCATCTCCCATTCCCCACTCCCCTGCAGCCCTAGACAACCAATAACCCCTTTCTGTTTCTATGGATTTGCTCATTCAGGGCACTTCGTGTATACAGATCATACAATATGTGGATGTGGCCTTTTGTGTTCAGCTTCTCTATCATGTTTTCAAGGCTCACCCATGTATCAATACTTCATCCCTTTTTACAGCCAAATAACAGTCCATTGATGGATATATTTTATTTATCAATTGACAGAAATTTGGGTTGTTTCCACATTTTAGCTATTATGAATAATGTTACTAAAAACATGCATGTATACATTTTTGTATGAACATGTTTTCTATTCTCTTGAGCATGTTGCTAAGATTGCTGGTAACTAACTTTCTGAGTAACTGTGTTTCCCATATGAGCTATACCATTTTACATTTCTACCAGCAATGTAATAAGAATTCCAATTTTTCTACATCCTCTTTAAGACTTACCACTTTGCATTTTCTTGATTATTGCCATCCTAGTGAGAGAGAAGTGATGTCTCATTGAATTTCTCAAGGTATTTGATTTGTACTTTTCAAAATGATTAATGATGTTAAGTATCTTTTCACATGTTCAGTGGTCAACTGTAAATCCTTTCAGATTTACAATTATTTAATCTATTTTTTAAATCAGGTTGTCTTTTTATTGCTGAGTTCTAAGAGTCCTAATCACCTGCAAATATTTCCTTCCTCTCTACTAGTTACCTCTTCATATTCTTGGTAATGTTCTTTCACATGCAACGTTTTTAATTTTGAAGAAGCCTAACTATCCTTTTTTTCTTTTGGTTGCTTATACTTTAAGGTGTAAATTCTAAGAAATTGTCACCCAATCCAAGGTCACAAAGATTTACATTTATTTTTTCTCCTAATGGCTTTAGAGTTTTAGCTCTTGTTTAATATTTGATCCATTCTGAATTAATTTTTGTATATGGTGGGAAGTAAGGGCTCAACTTCATACTTTTACATGTAGTTACTCAGTTTTCCTCAAAGTCATTTGTTGAAAAGACTACCCCTTCTCCCTTCATACTCTTTCTTTAACATGGGAAAAAATTATGACTGAAAAAACAATATTACAGGCTACATTCTCTTCAGGACAAAATGAAATTTAATTGTGGATAATAGAAGTCATGGCTTTGAATAATCAGCTTACAACTATTAAAATACTGCACCACATTTTGTACAGCACTTTTCCTTGGCCAGACACTGCCTAAAAATCTAGCAGAAAAAAATGTCACTTAGCTATGATAAAATCACAGGCAAACTAGAATAAACAGAAAGAAAGTCAGTGAGAAATTGCATTAGAAACACAGAAAATAAAATGGCAAACCCCACCACATTTTTTTAAGTTCTATCCTTACCCTTACCCTTGAATACATGAAAAAGATTTCATTAGACCATGGATCTTACATACCTAAGAGATGTGTCCAGATGTTGCCTGTTTCTGTGTGTATTCTGAAAATGCTCTTAAAACAGGCCCGGAAAGAAGGCATAGGGGGCCGGTGTCCATGCAGAAGAAAGTCGTTATCCTTGAGCCAGTCTGGTAGGACATCATGAGGGATTACTCGCCATCGACCTTCCCAAACCTGGAAGAATTATCATCAAATGTCTTTGTGGTTTCAATTGTCAATTTAGTAACACTGTCAATTTATTAACACTGCAAACACTCTCCAAACAATTGTTATGCCACACTGTCTTAAAATGAGAAATATGACTTATTTTTAGAAAAACAATTACATTCAAAATGTATAATGTCCTACATTCTGATTTTAAAAAATGGAATGCTGAAAGGTATTTTTTTAATGAGGGAATTTTTTTCAGAAAAAGGAAAGTAAATGAACTTATGCCCTAAAAGGTACGGGGAAGGCTCCAAAATCCCACTCAAACAGATGCCCTTCTTTCATCCTCTACAACAGACTATACCTAGTCTGGAAAATCCCATGTTAAATACAACCATTTTCATACTTAACATTCCTATTGGTGGAAAAGGACTATACAGAAAAGCACTTTTGTGCCTTTTGATAAAATCTATCATAGTCGGGCCTCCCCGGTGGTGCAGCGGTTGAGCGCTGGGTTGCGAAGCTGCCCGCAACCTCTGCTGCGCCGGTTCGATCTCCGGCTGCTTCCCGGCCACCAGAGGAGGGTCCCACATGGCACGCAGACCTCTCCTGCCGCCCGCTGCTCCCCTCAGCAGTGTACTTCGGTCCTTCTGCCTGCTCTGCTCCCCGCTCTGGCTCTGGTGAATTCTCTCACCCTCCCGCACTTCTGACTGTACCCAGTGCTTGTATGTATGTATGTATAAATCAATCAATCAATCAATAAATAAATCTTTAAAAAAAAAATCTATCATAGTCTCTTCTCTTTCTACCATAATTATGATAAAGTAGGAAAGAAAGAGCTTAGGAGTCAGAAAATCTTGAATCTCTGCAACTAACTAGTTGCACCAGCTTTAACCACAAAATCTCCAAGCCTCAGTTTCCTCATCTATAAAATGAGGATCACAGTGCTTTGGAAGTTATGAGGATCAAACGAAATGACACAAAGCACTTCATAAAAGTGCAAACCCTAGCATCCACCACAAGAAATGTAATCCTATTACTTGTCGAGAGTCAGTGACTAATCTGCCCTCCTCAGGCTGAACAGATGGTAAAGAAACTCAGCCTTAACTGCCCTTCAGGTCCCTTCAACCCCCTTTTCTCCCTCGTCCTCACAGTCCCTCCCCCCTCAGATCCTAAAGGAAAAGGGATCAGGAGTTGATATCCTTTCCTTAAAATGTTAATCAATCTCTATACACTTCTCTTTTAATATTCTCAGTTCAGGGAGCTCACACCATAAAAATCACATAATCCTAAATCAACTTGCTTCTGTGCTAGCCACAGAAGGATGTGAGAAAAAATGCCAGACAGAGGGCCTACCTACATGCTTCAGCTTTAAACAATGACAGGGTTCATGTGACAAGCACCTCGGCTACTGCACAAAGCTGGCTGTGAGACTGCTCGCTGCTTAATGCCAATAATGTGCCCATTCCTTAACTCCACAACATTTTCCTGTTCTCTATACTCCTTCATTTTCCTTAATGACATTTATAGAAGAAGTGATCCTCTGTGCAACTCCAAAGGAAATGAGGACTAACAATTTAAGAACACAAGTAGCCCTCTCAACACTCTTAATAAACTCACCCCTTCTCTGCCCTCCCCACCGCCCCTTAACCATCCAATTCAAAATCTGAAGCCTGTAGTTACTGCTGCTGCCCTGGCCATTCCATGCTTATTCCTAACAAACAATAAATAAAATAATGACAAAAGACTAGTTTAGACTTTTAATGTCTACTTTTAAAAGTAACTGTCTGAGATCTTTTTTTTTTTAAATGGTTTCTTTTTTTTTTTTTTTAAGATTGATTTATTTATTTATACAAGCACTGGGTACAGTCAGAAGCACGGGAAGGTGAGAGAATTCACTGGAGCCAGAGCAGGGAACAGAACAGGCAGACTGACAAAGTACACTGCTGAGGGGAGCAGTGGGCGGCAGGAGAGGTCTGCGTGCCATGTGGGACCCTCGCCGGCAGCCAGGGATCGAACCGGTGCTGCAGAGGCTGCGGGCGGCTTCGCAAGCCAGCGCTCAACCGCTGCACCACCAGGAGAGGCCCTGTCTGAGATCTTTCAAAGGACTTTTTGTGAGGGGGAGAGAACGACACCAATATAACCAATATACTAAATTTCTTTCTATCCAATTTGAACTTGGGAAAAGAGAGTTGTTGAAATTAACCATTTTGAGATTATGAAACACTACTACTCTGTTTTACTTTGGAAGAATTTATTTTCTAGGTGGGAAAGAAAGAAACCAATGCTTACATCCTCCACACAGTTCACAGTGTGCAAACAGCTATGCTGTGACCCAATGAAAAGCACTACTGTGCCATACCTGGCCGAAATACGCAAAGAAGTCCTTTTTGGATTCAGAAGAATATACTGAGTTTCTTACTGGCTGTATGTACATAGAAAGCTCAGAGTAATTCTTCCCCACTGTTTCTAAACAAACATTGTAGTTGTCTAAAAAGTGAGCCAAAGAACTTTACTTCCAAAATTATACCGCAATTAGTGTCATATGCAACAACACTACACCCTCCTTCTCAACTTGGAGTCAAGCCCAATGCCAACACAAACAGGTATCCTCCTTTACCTACTGGGATAAAAAGAACAGAATCAGAGTTCAGCCAAAGACATATTTATTTATAAGCTTGACAAAGATACTGTCTAACTCAAACATCTTGGTAACGGTCAACTAGCAACAGTACACTCCCTATCCCCGTATGGGCCTGTCTGTGCTGGTAAAACAGCAACAACTGAAGACTGGGGAAAAAGGCAAGACCAAGATCAAACCTAGACACTCTATGGTAAGCAATAAATGATTTACTTTCCCTATTCCCTTAAGAAAAGTTTTCCAAAAGGGAAAGTGCATCGGCAAGGCCACGGCACACTTGAATCTGTTTACTTGCTTCCAAGTCAAGAAAAAGAATCCTGTGTCATCTGACATGGCTAATTTTCAAGGACAGACATGGCCGGCTGGACAGGCAGGCTAGGGCAGCCCTGCGCACACATGCAGGTAATCTCTTCGTTCCTCTCACACAAACTGCTAGGGGACTCTATGGAAATGGTAGTGATTTTGTACCCCACTCATTTTTCTTCAATAAATCACAGTAGCAAACACACACCTGATTTATTCTCCCATTACCTGTTAAATTCAAAGTGTATTTGTTTTATTCTTTACTATTAGCTCAGAAAAGGAGAACAAAAAGGCAGTTCAAGTCAGCTACATACAGGACCACACTGACGTAATAAATATTAAAAATCCCTAAAGGCCCAGACACTAAATATTCAACTTTAAGACATTTAACAACAAACTTGCTTTTTGAAAAACCAAATATATCTTTTGTGTCCCCTTTTGCTAATGCTCTGACACTTGATCACTACAATGGCTCTATTGTTTTGCTTATTTTTTTCTTCACCAATTTTCAAACACTAATTAAAATTTCCTGGGCTCTATGTAGACCTATAAAGGTTTACACCATCACCCGTCCACACATCTCTTTATCTTAGAAGGGATATCTAAGTTCAAATTATAATGTTTTCTTCTTAATCTCTCATCCAAAGTATAGTGTTCAAAATCAACTGCTCCCAATTATTTCCATATCATTGTGAATGTAGAAAAACCTAAATTTAGTTTTCAAGGTCTATGACCATAAAAAGTCTTGGTTTGATAAAACCTATGAAAAAGCTGTGTCACAAAAATTTCTCTCTAAATGATCAAGAGATCTCTAGAGGGCCTCCCTGGTGGCACAAGGGGTTAATTCTCAGCACTATGAAGCTATCCTTAGTCACTGCAGCAGTTCAATTCCTGGCCAGGGAGCTAACCCACATGGTGCAGCAGACCTCTCCTGTCTCGCCCGCTGCTCCTCTCAGCAGTGTGTTTCAGTCAGTCTGCCTGTTCTGCTCCCCACTCTGTCTATGGTGAATCCTCTCACCCCGCCTCCACCATACCTCCGGCCTACACCCCAGCTCTTGTATGCATAAATAAACCTTTTTTTAAAAAAAGAGATCTCTAGAAATGCTTAACACATTTTTATACACATACAAAGACAGCCTGTTTATGCTGACTCTAGATCATAAATGCCAGCGCTACTGCTGATCGATCAGATTAATCAGGTGATTATTAATTTACCAGTACTTCTATATTCTTCTGATTCTAGTAGCCATTTCAGAAAAAAATACAATTCCCATAATAGGTCCTAATGAATTAGATAACGAGTTGGAAGAAAAACCTTAGAGACAGAAAAATATGCCAGATAGACTGAACAATACTGTATCAGGTATGAAAACTGAGATTTCTATCTATATAAAGTTGTTTTATCTATATAGAGAAGTTTGATTACTACAGAATTCCCAAAAAGAGTAGCATGTTTGACACCACAGTAAAATAACAGAACAGATTTAAGAGACTTGGAGCTGACACTTAGTATCTCCAGGCATCAACCTCCGATTTTGTTTGACCCTGTCCTGTCTAAACAATCAACAAGACATCTATCCTGTTAACCTGTATCCGGAAAGACTTGCTTCCCATTGGATGTTGTAGGTGCTGCTGTTGTTTTAACTTTACCATGGCTGTTCTAAGTAAACGAATGTGCCTGTACAGGGTTTTAAAGTCTTTTTTTTTTTTGGGAGCAGCAGGGGATCGAACTGGTGCTGCAAAGGCTGCGGGCAGCTTCGCAACCCAGAGCTCAACCGCTGCGCCACTGGGGAGGCCCAAGTTTTAAAGTCTTAAGACTGCTCCTGTCACCATCTGCCACAGATCACCCCAGAGCAACGCAAAAGCTTTGGGTCTACCACGCTCACTAGAGGTTTCTATTTGGGAAGGCAAAAAAAAAAACGTAATAGGGAAAAGAAAAGAAATGGTCATCTTACCTTACAGACAAACTCTTCCATTCGTTCCATAGCATGGTGGGCTTGTAAGAGAGGGGACATGCCCATAAACCCCTCATCTTCCTGAGAAGCTTCATCATTGCATTCGTGTTCCTCAGGGCTCTGCAAGTCAATCACAGAAATCATCAGGGGAAGAGACCAGGAACCAAATGAAACAATCAACTTTCCTCGCAAAATACAATGAAAATTTCTTAAGAAACAATATAAGGAAATAAAGTCAGTTTATTACAGAACTATGAATATCAAGAATGAACAAAAGTTACTCAATTTTTAAAGTACAGCATACTTATGTTTGAGTAGCAAATTCCTGAAGAGACTTGAATTTTTTTTGTTTTAAAGAACTATATTTAAGCCAGAAAGAAAAAGAAAAATACCGGATGGTCTCACTCATAGCAGGAATTTAGAAAACCTAAATAAGGGACCTGGAAAAAGACCAATTATAATAAAGTAAAAATCAAAATCAACAAGCAACTATAAACCAGAGACACACACTGTGTGTGTGTGGGGGGGGGGGAGCAGGGAGGGAATAGGATCAAAGCAAAGGGGGTTGGGAATTTTACGGGGATGATAATCAAGATGAAAATGCATACATTGTACAAAAATGAAAAATGATGTAAAAAATACATGAATTAAAAATTTTTTAAAATAAAAATATATAATTAATGACACTTTTAAAAAAAATAAAGAACTATATTTGCAGACCACATAAATATTACATATACAAAGTTAAGAAATTACTGAGGTGAAAATCTTGTAAAATTCCACCCAGTCTACATAAAATAATCATCATATGACATGGTGAGAGCTCTAGTGACTGCAAAAAAAGGGGAAAGGAGAGAGAAATCTAACATGTAGTAAATTCTTAAGATATGCCAAGCACACGGGGCCACAGTAGCCATCTAAATTAAACCTGACAACCATCTTACAGAAATGGAAAACATCCAAAACCCATTATCTTTTTCCATATTCTTTTTTTTTTTTTAAGATTTATTTATTTATGCATATAAGAGCTGGGGTACAGGCCAGAGATGCTGAAGGTGGGGTGAGAAGACTCACCAGAGACAGAGTGGAGAACAGAACAGGCAGAATGACTGAAATACACTGCTGAGGGGAGCAGCGGGTGAGACAGGAGAGGTCTGCTGCACCATGTGGGTTTCTTCCTGGCCAGCCAGGGATCAAACTCATGCTGCAGAGGCTGTGGATTGCTTCACAGTGCGGTGCTTAACCCTTGCGCCACCAGGGAGGCCCTCTTTTTCTATATTCTTGAGGAAATCCTCTTATCCCTACACTCCCCCCGCACTTCTGGCCTATACCCCAGCTCTTGTATGCATAAATAAATCAAGCTTTTAAAAAAATAATAATAGTTAAAGGTCCAAGAAAGAATTCAGTACTAAAATGACAGACTTGTAAAAAGTATACTGAGGTCAAGGGTAGTTGAGACAATATGGGTAAGTTCAGGGTGTGTTTACCAGGATTTACTGCAATTACATCAGCTGAGTACTGTTACAAAGGAAGGACAGCGTAACAGAAGTTCTTTATTGTGCAGCTAACTGCATGTTAGACTCTGTAATAAGTGCTTTTACAAATTAAATAGTCAAATCTTCGCAATAACCTTCACAGATAAATATTACCATATCCATATTATCCCTGAAAATCCACATCAAGCATGGTAAATGAAGAAATGGAAGCTAAGGAAAATTACACTGTTCTAAGTAGCGCCTTGATTCCCAGCCTGATGACATTATCTTACATATAGGTATTGACTGCTTTTTAAATACATGCAGGTGCCACAGTAATTTACAAAACACAAATTCACTAAAATGAACTAAATTCAGAGTTGCTTCCATCATGTATTTTTTCAAGCTAATATTAAAAATACGACTGTCACATACATGGTTTGTTAAATGTTTCTGACATTAAAAGAAGGAAAGGGGTCATTACCTAATCCAGCAACTCCACTCCTAGATATACAGTTAACAGAAATGCAACTATTGATATATAACTACATATTTATCAGAAGACAAATACTAAAATATTCAAAGCCACACTATTTATAATAGTCCAAAATTAGAAACAACCCAGACAGCCTTCAAAAATAGAATTATGTGGTACAGTCATCCAAAAATAACTATAGTGCAAGGAAAATGAACAATCTATAACTACACTAAGTAAATACAAATTAATCTCACAAACATGATCCTAGGTGAAAGCAGCCAGATACATAATATAAGGTAGAAAACCAGGTGGCGCTGATCTATGCCTTTAGAAGCCAGGGTAATAGTTAACACTGGGAGAGCGCCTCTGACTACGAGGGGGCACAAAGGGGGTTTCCAGAAGTGTGGGTTATATAGGTGTGTACAGTTTATAAAATTGTACCAAGCTATCCTCTGAGCACATATGCAGTTTATGTACGCACATCATGCTTCAATGAGGACTTTATTGTTTTTTCTTTTAAGGATCCTCCTACTCACAAAGATGGGAAAATAATGATATAGAAGAAAATTAGGGAATCAAATCCAGATCTCTCTGCCCTCAAATCCTGTCCTTTCTCCCCTTTTACCAAACTGCTTCCCTCAAGAGTATCTAACTGCCACACAGAAATGGCTTTGCTAAGTAAAACCAAACATGACAAAAGTAATAAAAAGTCATTAAATAGGACTGCTGAGGAAAAGATACCTAATTAGCCTGATCAATGAAAAAACTAATTATAACCCTCATTCAACTTTTATATACTAACAAAAAAAAAAAGTTGACACTGACTGCGAGGGGACTGCAAAAATTTGGAAGTTCAGATAACATAGACATCACTTAGTCCATCAATTCCATTTCAAAATGAGGAATATGAGGTCCAAAGAAATTAAGAATATTGGCTAGGGTCACACAGTTGATTGGATGTAGGGCCTCCAGTAAGCTACAAGTTTATGCATTCATTTCCCAAAGATTTATTGAGCAAATACAATATTGCAAATATAATTATTTTAGGTGCTAGGGAGAAATAAGTTCAGGTGAGTGGAGACAATTTTTTAAAAATATGATGATAAAGCTTGATAAGAACAATAAAGAAATATAAAAACAGGGATGTGATTAACTCTGGATAGGACAGTCTTTCTACTGTGCAATGTGTTTTCTTTCCACACAAATGTATACTTCCTGTGGTGTGTTGCACCCAACACCTACTAAGCACAGCAGGCCCTCAAATATGATGTTTCATTCAACATTGTTTCACTGTAATATTGATGAGAAAAACAATCCCAGTAGATAATGACCTGAGGAACTGCTTTCCCGATTTTGCCTGTAATCAAAGTTTTCAAGAGTCTATTAACCACAATGAATCAGGACTTACTGTGCTAGTAATGCCAGTATTCCATAAAACCACTTTAGAAATGAATGCAATGATAAATGCAAAAGAGTTTAGAAAATAGCTTTGCACATTGTAAGAGCTCAATAAATAAGAACTATTACTAGTCTTGCGAAAAATAATAAGAATGCACATACCTATCATAGATTAAATATGCTAAAGTCTCCCTGCACATCAAAATAGCATATCCCAATGTTCTCTTCCCATACATCTCTTTATGGAAACACTTAAGACAATTTAGATGTAGAACTATAAACTGGTAGCTGATAAACTCATTCAACAAGCATGTTATGTGCCAACCATGAATCAATCAGAAACTGTCTGGAATCTGAGAATGTGATGAACAAAAGGCAAAATTCATTCTACCATAGAATATAGAGTCTACAAGCAAAAATAATTATTCAACATCTAGTCATACAGATACACAATTTTAAGTTGGTTATGAACAGTGATGTAAAGTAAAAAGTATAATTGAAGCTAACAATGGGGAGGCTGAATATGAAGTGGGGGTACAGAATTTTGAGAAGTTTCTTAAATATATTAATTTGATATAGAACTTGAATACTGAAAGATAAGCGGCAGTTAGCCAGAGGTATGGATTTAAGAACACTCCAGGCGGAAGAAACAGCACATCTATTTAAGGATGTGAAATAAGGCCAGTATTGAGGCTCACTGAAAAAGGAAAAGAATGTCCTGAAATGAAGTCAGAAAGATAGACAGGCAGTGAAATCAAGCAGGGTCCTATAGGTTGTGGAAAGGACTGGGTATTTTACCCTAAGTGTAACAGGAAACATAACTTTATAAAATGGGAATGGCACAACAAACACTGCATTTTTAAGAGCTCTCTTTAATAACTGTGTGAAGAATATATCGGACAGGAAGCCAATATTTCAAATAGAATATATTGCTAAGAAGCCAATATTTCAAATAGAAAATGACAGTCGCTCAGATTAAAGTAGTTAAAGAGGGAAAAAGTAGTCCGAGAAAGTGATGCAAAATCAGAAGTGTCATTTGCACCATGACTCTTAGGTTTATTTACTTTGAAAATGAACAGAAGGTCTATCAAAGGGTTAAACGGTATCTGAGAAGCAAAATTATTCTAGCTAACAGAAAATGAGGTGTGCAACAATTCTGACCCCCCAAAAAAGTACAAACAGCTGAATCTAACCTCTGGACTCAACATAAATGCTCAGGGGCACAGTTTGGAACTCAAAAACATGCAGTAAACAGTGCCAATCCTCACAAAGGCAGCTCTGTTCAACAGAAAGAGCAGTCAGAAGACTCAGCACATGCTCTCATTGAGCCATGTGACCTTGGGCAAATTACTCTAAGCTCTCTAAATCTTGCTTTGCCCACTTTCAAAAAGAGGTATCTTACTCTTATTTAGAGTAGTTTTTGAGAGTGAAATAATGTCTGTGAAAGTGATGCAAACTTGAAGGCATTACATTTGCTAATAGTTCAGAAACTTAAACTTCAAAACTGGAAATTACAAGAAATGACTCCTTTCTCCAAAAACAAACACAAAATCAGCATATGGAACACTTAAGTCTCTTAAAGATACTAAAACTTTCTTTTAACTTCAGTCTCAAAACTGCAAAGTTTTCTATAACTCTATGTCCCTTCTTTTCTTGCTCCCATGATTATTCTACATTACCCCTGAAATCAGCAGCAAGGGACAGTTCAGAACATAGATTAAATACAGAACAAAAGTTGCAATATTCAATGGAGGGGAAGGCCCAAGGGAGGACCAAAGCAGAAGAAAAGTTTTTGCTACTTATGTGATCCAGTAAGTTTTCTATTAAAACCACCTCCCAAGAAGGTAGTACATACAAATATGCTGTCTCTTCATAAACTACCTTTCCTTTTTCAGCAAAGGACTTCCACTCCAAAGAAAAACAATACACAAGGGACAGGTTTTCATCTCTTCCTATAATTACACACAATTCCTCATTAGTAAACTGAAGAAGGGTAAAAAGATGATTCTGGAGAGGCTTTTCAGCTCTAACACTCCACAGTCTATGGACCAGGTCCTCTCACTCCTTAATTCCTCATAGAAAATCTATTAAAACAGACGGAAAAAAACAAGGAACAGTTCATTTGTGCAGGCTGTTGGCTTCAGGGTTAGCATGAAGATCAAATACAGATTTTTTTTTTTCAGAGCAATATAATGAGTTCATTCACAGGATGAAATACATCCACTCACTTGATTATTTGTTAGTGAAACAAAAAACACAAATTGTCACATTTAGAAGACACCACTCTATGTAGTGAAAGTAGTAACAAAAATACACAGTATATAACAAGAAAGATACTAAGAATGTGACATAGAAGGGACCTGCATAGGCAAATTCTGAACTCCAAAACCATGTTTTATTATCTCATAGTTAAAATGTGATAATAATATAAAGAGGACATCATTGCCATTTCTATCTCCAATTGGCTACCCTGAAATTTCTTCAAGCTTTTAAATTCTTCAGGCTTGATAAAAACACATCAGTTTTAAATGTAGTTAAGAATTGGTACATTAAAATCACATAGTGATATAGTTGTTGGTGCCTACTCAGTATCTTTTCCAAGATGACTAACAAGAATCTCAAATCTCACATTCTAAAACAGAGCTCTTTTGATTTCCCTCTTCATTCATGCCCCCCTGCTTAAAAACATGCTCTGCTCTGACCAATCTCAGTTAAAATATCCAGGATTCATCCTTGATTCTTTTCCTCACTAGCCATCTCCAATCCATCACTAATCCTGCAGGTCTAAGAAAATATACCCAGAATCCATCTACTTCTCTTCATTTCTGCAGCTACTACCACCCTGTTTCAAGCCAACACCATCTCTCACCTAGAATATTCTAACAGGCTCTTGGCCTTCTGTTCTATCTTCTCAGAATCTATTCTCCACATTCAGTTATCTTTTAAAAATCATCAATCTCTTCCCCCTGTTTAAACACATCAAAGGCTACTCACTTTTCAATCACTTTTATTTAAGTAAAATCTAAACTCCCTCTATATACACCTACACGATCTGCTCCCTGCCTGGCCCAATGATCTCATCTTACCCTCTTATTCCTTTGCTCTAACTGTATTGGTTTTCTTTCAATCCCTTTTTAAAAATAAAGGTGGGGAAAAGGAGAAAAAGAAAAACTTATACCTATCTTTGGACCTCAGTACTAGTTTGTTTCCTCTATCTAGACCACTCTTTCCCCGGAATTTTGCATGGCTGATTTCTTATGGTTCAGATCTCACTTCAATCATGCTCTCTAATTTAGAGAGGCTTTCTTTCACCACTATGTCCAAAGAATCCTGGGGCACAGGCAGGGAAGAGAGGATGAAGAGACAGAGATTCTTTTAGGGCAGTAAAACTACTCTGTATATAATACCAGTAATGATGGCTATGTGTCATTATACATTTATCCAAAGCCAAAGAATGTACAACCTCAAGAAGGAACTATAATATAAACTATGGACTTGGAGTGATTACAATATGTAAGTTAAACAATTTTAAAAATGTACCATTCAGGTAAGGATGTTGATAATGGGGGAGGCTATGCATGTGTGGTAGGAGGGGGATGTAGGAAATCTCTACTTAGCCTCGACTTTGCTGTGAATTTACAAAAAAAAGAAAAAAGAAATACCTTTGGACACTTTTTATGCTCACAGTATTTATCATTACCTGAAATTATTTTATTCATTTGTGTTTAAGAGGGCTATATAGCTTGTTTCTTCTCTACTTCTACACTTGTACCATGCTGACTAGAAACACGGCTGCCTTATTCACCACCATATTTCTAGCACTTAGAAAGACACCTGGGCAAACAATGCCACTGTATTCCTCTATGCATGTTACAAATAAGACAACTTAAAATGGGTCATTTGCATGAATTATGATTTGATGGATTATCTCGGAGATTTATAAAGTGGTATTTCTGGATCTGGAAAAAAAAAAAAAAAAACACTGCCACAATACTTCTATTACTAAAATGTGCAACAGTTCTAGACATACTAACTCCAAGATTCCAAAGCACATAGTAAAATAATCTGCAACAATGGTTTTCTGATACTTTTCCTCTCTAGGTATAGGTGTTCGAATAATTTAAAAGATGCCCTTTTCTCTGGTAAGCGAAAGGAAAGATTAAAATCTCCCTTCTGTTCTCAGAATCCTACTGATTTCCAAGATATACACTGGTGATAACCCACACATATCTCCATATCTGGAGAAGTATGTCCCAGCATACAATTAGAATTTCTCCAGAAATATGATACTATCACAACTAAAGCATGGATAAAATACAAGGTTACATGGTAACTACAAAACCCCATTTCTTTTCTTAAACAAGATAAAGCAGATATAACTATGAAATCCATTAATACCTAGCTAATTTAAGAATTAAAAACTTTAAATTATCCTGAACAAAAAATTTACAAATTAACCCAACTGTTAATTTCATAAATCATGAGTTTTGTTGCAAGATTTTTCTAAGGGGCTTCAAAGTTTATGCACCAAAGTTTATGCACCTTTCAAAACCCCATCCTCTCTCCCCATACATTTCTTTTTTTTTAATATCCTTCCTCCCCGGGTCACATTCCCCTAATTTTTGTTTTCTTTACCATCCTCTCACTTACTTTTTTATGATGAGAAGAAAGAACAGATGCCTCTAAAACAGGCTCCAGATCTCCTTGGTAGCTGTCATTATCATCTCTCCTTGTACCATCAAGTTGGTGCCTTTTTCTGAGCCTTATATCTGGCTCTGGAGTCCTGCTGCACCCCAATCGGTTTTCTGCTGTCTCGTTCATGGGACACCCAAACCTTTCTTACAAAGAGGTCTTTCTTTCTGTCCCTTCTTCTTGGGAGGGTGACTTTCAGGATAGTGAGTTGACCCTAAGGATGGAAAGTTTAGAAATAACATTTTAAATAAATGCAAAAATATAATTCATAGAAGTATGTGGAATAATTACTGGAAAATATTCAAAACTGTGCTCTCAAACAGTATATAGGGAAGAGCCTAGGATCTGGAATGAGAATACTTAATTTTCACTTTGTTCTGCTTGTATTTTTTTAATAGACCATATTTTTTTCAGTTAAAAATAAACATAATTACAGACAGAACATCTATGAATTTTATGTATTGCAGCTGTGTTTTACAGACCCAATCTTAAACATCACAATGACCCCCATTTACTTCAGATGAGGAAACCAAATTTCATTCCTATGAAATAAAGACGAAGGTTCTGATTTGTATAGCATATATTTCTAGTGATATATGCTATATCATTCTGCATTCAAATTGCTTAATGCCTGACATTTCAGTATTGTTGAGTTTTTTGAACTCTTAACTACCTTGACACGGAAGGCAAGAAAACTCAGGACTAGTGCATACTCCTTTTATATCTTTGTAAAATCCCAGAAAGTGCTGTGCACATAAATGTTTAATGAGTATTTGATAAATGATACTTAAATGTTCCTGAGTGGTAAAAAAACACTTTCAGAAATCATCAATATTCTCTAAACTGGACTTCAGTAAGTTCCCTAGGAGGTCAATTATTTCAAGTGCTTGGTACTCTCCCTCTTAACTCACAGTACACAAGTTTATTTTAGATATTTAGTTACATATTCAAGTAAGGCAATTATCACAAACAATCCAAATAGAAATACTAAAGCAGGAAACACTAGAGTACATATTCTCCTCAGAAACCCATAAGATTCAAAGGTCCTACCAGATGGGGAAAAGCAGGACAAGGTGAAAGGGCCTTGACACAATTTTAAAAAGACAAAGGGTGTATTTAGTGTTTACATATGTATGGGCAGGCAAGACTAGGAATCAGCAAGAATTCAAATTAGACAAAGAATTAACTCAACTGTTAATTTCATAAATCATGAATTTTGCTGCCAGATTTTTCTAAGGGGCTTCAAAGTTTATGCAGCAAGAACCAACACAAATCTTTAAGGGTGACCAGACCTGGGCAGATGCCTATAACTCAAGGGCCTGAACAAGCATATCAAACTACAAAGATTATAAACGATGTTATTAATCTCCAATTCTGAAGGAGGAAACAATGCCACAGATTTACATTTATTTATTTATTAATAATTTGCAAAAAGCTATTTCACACCCACCAATTAATTTTGTTTTAGTAAAGAAGGAGCTAAACATTTACTGAAGATCAACAAAGTTAAATTCTGTACCAGATTATTACACAGTATCTCACATAATCCTGCAATACAGTCCTCTGAGGTACTTTATACCCACCCCCAAATACAGATGTGGTCTGTACATACAGAGACTAGGTCATCAGGCTACAAAGAAGAAAAGCTGAGATTTATACCCAGGTCCTTCTGGTCCTCATGAAATTCATGTATTCTTACCTCCCACCCTGCCAAAATAGGGCTAGATGAAAAAAATAAGAACTTAAACCCTAAAATCAGTTCAGTCAGTTGGTTTACACAACAAGTAAAACTATGGAATTAGATGTGTATTCTCAAACTGCAGCAAACATAATAAATCTTGCAAAGTAGTCTTGAAATATGACTTCACCAAATTTCACCTAAGCAGGAGTTACAAATGAAGAGAGCTACTCATTTATGAGATTATAAATGGAATGCCCTCTTAGTTAGAACTGTTTTATAATCTTCAACTCAGAAAAAAACAAATGAAAAGAAATTGTTACCTTAAAATATTTGGGAAGGATTCTCCTCTCTTTAGAATTAGAAATAAGTAAATACACAATAAAAAACAAAAAGACACAACACTTTCAAACAAACCTTAAATCCTATGGAAGATCCATGAAAAACTTCTAAAACGAAAAAGTAAGTTCAGCAAGGTCAACATACAGGAGCAACACTTAAATATCACATTTCCATATACTAACAATAAACATGTGGAAACTGAAATCTGAAACAATACTGTCTATAATTACCCCAAAGAAATTTTAAAACTTAAGGATACATTTAGATAGGATCCGCTTGCTGAAAATTATAAAATATTGATGAAATAAATCAAAGATCTAAACAAGGGGCAACAGATCAAAAATTTATATGGAAGGCACAGACCCTAGGGTAGCTAAGATGATCTTTAAAAATAATAAATTAGAAAAATCCCTTTCCCTGATATGAAAGCTTATTATATAGTAATATATAGTAAGTTATCAATACAGTGTGCTATCTTCATAGGAAAAGACACAGATTTATGGAACAGTACAGAGAACCAAGAAATAGACATAAAGCAATTATTTTATAAACATGCAAAAACAATTCAACAGGAGAGCCTTTTCAACAAATGATGCTAGAACTGGACATCCATGGGCAGGGGGACAAAAACCTCAATCTAAATCTCATACTTTATCTAAAATTAACTCGAAATGGATCTTAAATGTAATGCACTTAAATGGAAAATGTAAAACCATAAAACTTTGAGCAAAAACGTAAGATATCTTCAGGATATAGATCTAAGCAAAAAGTACTAAGACTTGACCTCTAATAACCTGATCTGTAATAACAAAAAAAAGGTTAAGTTGGATTTCAATAAAAATTAACTTTTTAATGAAATATTTTATTAAGAATTTGAAAAGACACATTGTAGACTGAGAGAAAATATTTATAAACAACATATCCAACAAATACCTATAATTTATAGCATCTGAGGAACACTCAAAATTCAACAGGATGAAAAACTAACACTCCAATGAGAAAACAGAAAGAGAACAAGAACAGATATTTCACCGAAGACAAGTGACAGACGGAAAATAATTACATGAAAAAATCTTTGACATCATTAGCCATTAGGGAAATGCAAATCAAAACCACAATGAGACATCACCACAACCTAATCAAAACTGCTTAAAAAAAAAAAAAAAAAAACCCTAACAAAAAGCTTCTGGCACGACAGCATGAGGAAATCTGCCAACCAGCTCCCCAGTGAAACTGATGAAAACTATTAAAAAAAAAAAAAAAAAAGCCTTAAGTCTCTGGAAATAACCCTATAGGTAAGCAATAAATGAGCAAGCACTTAAGAACACCTGCAAAAATTCAGTAAGAAAAGGAATAGTCTGTGATATTGGAATCAAGATCTCTTCCTCTATGACCCCTCCCAACTCAAGAGACAGACATGCCACTCCAGAACTCTGCAGTCAAAACACAGGAGGTTCCTACTGCTCCCAGCACTCAAGTGCAGGGGTTTCTTTCCAGAGAGAACAGCAAATCAGTATTTCTCATTCTGTCGTAGCTACCTATTTCTGAAGCTAAGTTTAAAAGCAGGGGCTCCCTTCCTCCTCTCAACCTCGCTTGCGGAGTTAAGCACGCATGGCCTGCTTAGAATACTAGAGGGGCAGATGATTCTTGACCTAGCTCATGTGATGGTGGCTCTTCACCAGAAGCAGCAAGCTAAGAGGATCTGAGGTCTCCAACGTCTTAATGCCCCACCAAGCACTCACCTCATTCAAAGAGGAACCTGCCATTGTCCCCTGTCCCACATCTCTAGATGTCCTGTTTCAGAAATGTTTGCTTGGGGAAAGAAAGGCAGATAGTATCTAATCTCTCCCGGAAGGACCTATCTTCATTTGCCCACACACGGAGAAGAAATTGAAGCCTAAGGGCATGCTAAAGAACAGTGCAGGCTGTGGTGAAAGTCACCAGGGAGAAGAACGAAGACACAAGTTAAACTCAGGCAGGTTACTTTGCCATAAAGTATCAGGAAACAAGATAGCTGGCAGGAGTCCTCCCGGCATGTGAAGAAAACTTATACTAACCTCAAAAACTATTCTTTCAAAGGAACCAAAATTTTATTGGATCAGTAAGTAAAGCAATTTATAGCTGTAAGGGCAGGACTGGACACAGTGCAGGTTTTCTGATATCCAGCAGACCAGGTAAAGAAGGAATCGGAGTCCTCAGTGGTTTTGCAGGTTTTTTATTGGGGTTCACCAGGCATATGGCAGGCAAGGGTGCTGGGGGGCTGGGAGGCTGGCAGTCCTCCCAGCCCCCAGCAAATCCTCACTATCTGGACTCTCCGGCCTTCTCTCTCGGCTTCTGCTCAGCTTCTACTGCTGCTGGTGTCCCCGTGACGCCGCCCTTAAAAAGCATAGTCTCAGGCCAGGTGAATCCCATCTACCTATGCCCACACCCCACTCCAGGTGCCGCTGTCAGGCATGCATTCAGGACCGCAAGGATCCATCATCTATCCTGATGGCGGGAGGGCAGAAAAGCCTGACATTTTTCCTTACCCTACAATAGCACCAAGCATTGCTAAAATCAATAAAGTAACTGGCTGGTGATTAGTGATGTTTAATAGCTGGGTAGTCAGAGAAGGAAGAAAACCCAACAAAAACCATTCTGATCCCAGTGTAACTGCAGGCATATTCCAAACTACACCTCCCTGAGGAAAAATATCAGAGGCTGAACACTTGGGAAGAAAACTTCACTAAAGTAATCCAATCACTTACTAAATTAACTAGCAAATAAAGTAACAAGCCTGGAGGAGGGGAGTCCTGTACCCAGAGTTGTTACAACATATTATGTAAAATGTCCATTAACAACAAAAAAGTTGAAGTCATGCAAAGAAACTGGAAGATATTTTCATACACCAAAAAAAAAAAACAGGCAACAGGAAAATGCTTGCGAGACCAAATGTCAGACTTAGAAAGACTTTATTTTTTTTTTTTAATAGAGGCATGTTTTATTTATTTATTTGTTTGTTTGCTTGTTTTGTTTATACATGCACTGGGTACAGTCAGAAGCACGGGAGGGTGAGAGAATTCACCAGAGCCAGAGCAGGGAGCAGAGCAGGCAGAAGGACCGAAGTACACTGCTGAGGGGAGCAGCGGGAGGCAGGAGAGGTCTGCGCACCATGTGGGACCCTCCTCCGGTGGCCGGGGAGCAGCCGGGGATCG